GGCACCTGCAGGACCAGGAGCACCATCAGCACCGGCAGGACCAGGAGCACCGTCGGCACCATCGGCACCGGCAGGACCTTGAAGACCTTGAAGACCTTGGGGACCCTCGGCACCCGGTAGACCTTGAAGACCCTGGAGACCCTGGAGACCCTGAAGACCCTGAAGACCCTGAAGACCCTGAAGACCTTGCGGACCCATTGGCCCAGGCGCACCATTCAACCCATTAATACCTGGGAGGCCGGCTGGACCAGGCGGCCCTGGAAGACCCTGGATACCATCCCTGCCATCCCTTCCATCCCTCCCATCTCTCCCATCATTACCATCTTCCCCATCATTGCCATCCCTCCCATTGTCACCATCTCTCCCATTGTCGCCATCCCTCCCATCCCAACCATTATGACCATCCTTCCCATTGTTGCCATCCCTCCCATCCCTGCCATCAGATCCACGGGGCCCTGCTGGACCTGGGGGCCCTATAAAACTTGAAGCAGCATCGTGATGTTCGTGGCTACCCTCGTAGCCAACGGAGCTCGAGGATGTTGTGAAGCCCGGTCGTCGGGTATTGTAGTTGGGCACTATCGGACTTGAAGCGGCATCATGATATTTGTAGCTACCTCCGTAGCCAACGGAGCTCGGGGGTGTTGTAGAACCCGGTAGTGGGGTGTTGTAGTTCCAGCCGGCCCGACCAATAGGAGCCAGAGGCCCTGCCGGACCTGAGGGCCCTATAGGACTTGAAGCAGCACCATGATATTTGTAGATAGCCCCGTAGCCAACGGAGCTCGGGGGTGTTGTGGAACCCGGTCGTCCGGTAGCGTAGTTGTAGCTGGCCCGATCAATAGGAGCCGGAGGACTCAACTGATCTGTCCCAACGGAAGGTCTGCCATATGACCCAACGGAAGGTTTGTCATATGACCCAACGGAAGGTCTGCTATATGACCCAACGGGAGCTCCGCTATATGATCCAACGGAAGCTCCGCCATATGATCCAACCGGAGCTCCGCCATATGTCCCAACGGAAGCTCTGCCATAACCATGGTTGGTGATATCTGGTCTGGTATCCAGCCACTTCGGCCCGGCAGGGCTGTCCGTATTACTTACGCTTCCTGCAGCTTGTTGAGCAGACCTAGTATCGTCATCCATGACTAATACATTGATCGATTCGGCCGATGGGAAACACCGGTCATCTATTACACACATGAGCCAAGGCTGGTGAGATCTGTTTCGTTGTAATCAACTCACATGGCACATTGACAAGGTTCGCCGGCACACAGTCAGTTGGAGTGCTTGATTCGTTGAACACAGCCAGGACCGTATTCGACGCCGATAAGCAAAAGCTGGCTTTTCCGCTGGCAAAGCTCGGATGCCGCCACTGAAGAAGGCCCTCTTCGAGCGAGAACCCATGGTCGATGGCTCTGATGCTCGGTGTCTCGAGCAGCGGCTGGTGTGTCGTACCCTCGTTGGTCGCGACTATCTCTCCGTCTGCGAACAGCCGGTCGCCAACCAGCGAGAAGAATGTCGCAAACTGACATTCTGTAGATGTCCCCTTTGGGAATAAATAGGAAGGCGTTAGTCTTCTAGGCCTTAGTTCGTCCAGCTGGAGGAGGAACTGAGGTTGGTTGTTGGGCCTGGGCGGAGTTCTAGGACAATGTTGGCTGTAAGCACTTTTCTTTTACGGCATACACATTCACACAATGGAAAGTACTGGACTTACCCAACGCCCGCTGACTCAAAATCCCCATCCAAGCCAGGAGACTTCAAGTCAGTAACCTTCAACAGAGGCAACAGCGTCGAAAACTTGGCGGGTAAACGCATGCTCGTCCGTTGGATGTCGGCTGGTGAGAAAATGTAAGGGGGTGACTACCTAACGCTGAACAAGTGCACTTTCAGGCATCAGGGATAGGCATCAGAGAAACGCGCAAGGAAGAAACGAGAGTGAGATTACTGCCTGCATTAAGGTAGTATTGCATTACATGTTGGTAGTCTTCATGAAATCGACGTCTATAAGTACCTACACTACCTATAAGATAAGATGAAAACAGCAAAATTCAGTGTAAATAAAATTCCAATTACCCCGGAAACAGATCGCAAACTCATGGGGAAGATCAGCATAAAAACAAAGAGGTAGAAAACTTATGTAATTCCATTTCTCAACTGGATCAACCCTGCTGCATGTAGTACACACATTCCACCGCGGCTAGCCTGCGCCGGTATGTCTTAGAAGTCATCGCGATGTCAAGTTAGTCGTTTTTGGAAGCGGGCTTGTTTCGGATGAAAGCACACGCACCTGGCTTGTTTGATTGGCCGGCCCGACTCTTAGGAATGGACTGCCAACATCATCAGGCGATGCAGAACGTAGGGCAAGCTGGATTATGCAATATGAAACAAGTCGTAATGCGGTTAATGTAATCGCTTCTTTGCTAGAGCTTCGTATCGTATAACAGTCTCATGGTCAGGATATTACCAAAATTAGATGCAACGGAGTGAACCTCTAAACGTACCTAGAGACCAACAACATAGTCGGATAAAGGTGCGTCCTAGGTACACCACTGCAACTCTAAACTCACATCTATCCCATCGCATCTATTTCCTGTCCGTCATGCAACCGGCCAACAGTTGTAGGGTATATTGGAAAGATGAGAACTGACCATACCCATGCACGCCCTGGCATGCCAACCCGCGCGAGGAGCTTTTGCTCCTTGGGCGACCCGGCGTACAGGGCATTCAGTCATGGTCTATTTCTGGTAGCGGCGAGAATTCGGGATGCTTTACCCAGTCTTCCCCGTGGTATTCATTTGGCATCTTGGCTTCGCCATAATACCCCCAGGCTCAGACAAGCTTGTTTTTCCGTAAGAATCAAGGGATCTGCAGGCTCTATAATGGTGCATAACTGTAAACGAGATCAGAATATCTGGCTACACCAAGGGTAAGTAGGAGTGTCAATATTTTAAAAAGAAGATGAATTCCGTCGATTTACGTTATCCTAACCTTTAAAGTGTAGGTTAACTCCAGGGCTTTAACTGTGAATTTATGGACCCAAGTGCGAACAACTTGTCTTGGAGTATTATGCTACACGCTATTGGAGTCAACCGAGTACATAAAGCCAGCATTGCCCTAGTTTATTCTATAGTTTAGTACCAGTAACAATAACCAGAGTCTAACTTCCGACACAAGGTCCTTTTCTGTATTCATCTTGGCAACTCAACTAAATCCCAGATGCATAGCACCTTGATTACTCTTTTCGCCGCAGCGCTCTGGCTTGTCCCTGGCGCCCAGGCCTTTACCAATCCTTGTATCTACCAGAGTTACAAGTGTGGCTTTAATCTAATCAATCACTATGGTAATTACAATCACCTTCCTTCCGTAATAGCCTTTTAGTTCAAATGAATGCCTGTCTCATGTCGTTATGCTTCCGTTACACCTATAGGTTACAACCTTACTGAGCTCGCCGCCGGTGCCGCCCTCACGCCATCTATTCCCCCCCTCCCCGACGTTTTGCTTCTCCAGGTCACCTTCCGTTGCATCAATATTAGCGGAGGAATAGTCGGCAACGCATACTGCTTTGCAGGCTGCATCGATATGAACGGTACTCTGGTTAACGACCAGTGCGTCATGTAAGCTGTCGAACCTTTCTTAAGTTCTAGTACCGACGACATCTTTCATCAAGATGTCATGGTCCTGAGATAGAGACTATTCGGTGGTGCAGAGTTTCTAAGATTATTTAGGCAAAGTTGAATCTAGAATGCGATTCTAACTAATGTAACTTATGCCACTTTCTACTTTGCCTTGAATTTGTTCTGTATGTTATTATCTATGGACGGAATGTATTTGGTTGAGGTTAGGTACTTGCAAGTCCCCTCCTTTTTTTCAGTAAGATATGATAGCTCCAGCCAAAATGAAACTCCCGTGTAAAATCGCAGGCCGTCTCTTTTTCCCGACTTCCGTGTGACACATTCATTCCTTTCTAGAGTGATGAAACGACATGGCCAAATTAAACACTTAAAACTCGAAATTATGTCGCTAGGTATTCGTATTTTTAATTCGCCGCGACCGCTCCCTTGAGATGAGAACTTATCCAAAATATTATCTCATATGAAACAAACAGAGTTCACATCGTGACTGATGAAGCTTCTGTTATCCAGAAGTAAGGTTGTGCACGATACGATGTAGAGACCGACTGGAGTCATCACAGTAACATAGAAGTGACCATGCGAAGTTTTAGAAATCGCTACTCTCATTAAAAAACACCCTGTAAGATGGGAGAAAAAGAGTAGTAGCACTATCACAATTTCACCGCCTAATCCCTCAAGCCCTAGCCATCGCAGCAACCACCCAGTAACCACTCCACTTTACATAGTGCACATATCGTTGATGGTATCGTCACCGATCGCAGCACAGTTGACAATACAGTAAGAGTTGCCGACAATGCCACCGGCTTGATCGGTGCAGCGGAAGAGGACCTGGGCCAGCTGGGCATCTGTAATTGTCGGAGCATTGGGGTTGGCAGCATATGCTGGTCTCAACTCAGTAAGAGCAGTGTATCCTTTACGGCAAGGTTAGTTTATAACTTAATCTTAATAAGAGGTAATGGAGAAGTAGAACTTGCCATTGGCTATCAGTGTCGCGCCACACACATACTCCTGATAAGTACATGGCGTAGTGATTTGGGCCGTCGCGACAGCAAGGAGGGTAGCAAGGCTGGCAAGAACGAAGCGAGTCATTTTGTTTGTAGTAGGATAAGAAGTCTAGAAAATTGAAAAGTGGTTGATAGATCGAGGTCTGTGAGGAGAAGTGTTCTGCATTTATTGTAATTATGGGATGTAGTTCAACGAGTATAAATAGTTACTACGATCTATTTTGAGAGTTTGATTATGGCCTCTACCCCATGACCATCTCCATTTCCGGCGAGAATACCGATGCCCCGAGATCTCTTAGCAGCGATGTCAAAAGACATAGGGAGCTTGGCAAGTGTCTCAACGCCCTCCTCGTCATACACGTTTAATCGGCATTGAAAATTGCCCTGTCTTGTGCGGAAATGTGACAACTAAGCATAAAATAAAATTAAGAGATACGATAAATCGAACTCCATTTCCTAGAATGAGACAACAGTGCATTATGGCCTGTTACGGAATAGGATGAAGACAAAAGGGACAAGGCACTTACACACTTGAGACTTCCCAAGCGGTGAGTACTCAAGACGGTTAGAAAAGGCAATGAACGGGACGGAATGGGACATGTGATAATCTATTCTAAGTATACTGTTCAAATAGCCAAGTCATAGGTCTGAAAAAATGTTATCAGTTACTATATTCTCTATATTCACAGAGTAAGGAATAGGGGCATTCTAAACCTCGATGAATTTAATAGTATTGCAATGTGACGGCTTACTAGTTAATCTGATCTAGCTATAATTTACATCTACTACAAAGTATAACGCACAAGGGGAAAGTTCGACTTTTTACAGTTTTGAAGAGTGATTTGCTGTGTTAGAGATCTTGCATGGCTATGTGGAAAGCGCGGCAAAAGGCGAGTTTTGCCGGGGCAATGTTAATATTGGGCGGCTTATGGACATCGGCCAACTCTAATCGGGTGACTCTGAGACCTCTCCCTAAGACATCTTTACTTAGTACAAGGTAGGGAGAACAAGCTTGGTATCAGAGTTGAATAAACCAAACATTCTCTACTCTCAACGTCTGGGCCCTAAGAATGCCTTCTCTTGCACCCTCAGAGCCCTATGACGCCCTTTTCTCAGAGTCCATTACGTCCCTAGCCCTGATTCCAGAATCGCCGATTGTCGTTTGCCCTTGCAGCCTTGTTTCAAATGGGAGTTTACTTTTCGTCAGTCAAGTCCGATCACCCTCGCGTATGATGTGTGCAATCGCCGATTGGGTACTAGTGCTGTGCACTAGTAAGTAACACCAGGATCCTGTACACTGAGACAATAACGACGAGCTTGCCCCGCCACATTGTCTTGGATGGCCATACCCGGCACTCTCTCACGCGCCATGTTCTCTGCAAGTTCTACCCATGAACATGGGTTTGGGAAATGCCTTGCATTGATTTCGTCCTCGTGGTTGCTCTCGTCGCTGCGAAGTTGTCTCATGCTCGCCCTTATGAATCCCCATAGGGTCACAGTACAAGCGAGACGTTCAGCCGACCGTTAAGTGAAGAAACCGCCTTGCATAATTCACATACTACTCGGATTCAAGTCGGCGGATGCATCCCATAAGATCTGTCTCTTACTCGAATATCACGTCTAGACTCCTCTAAGCAGAAGTGGCTGTACATAATAGACAGGACTCGGACGTTGCCGTCGCACTGTCGTTCCCGCGTTCCGAGGGGTTAAATCAGGAATGTTGAGCCGTTGAAGAGACTATCTAGCGTCTAAAGGGGCTTCAGGCCCGGCGATCTCCTGAATTGAATAACAGCGATCGTTGATGAGGGCCAGCTGGCCTAGCGTTTGTGTGCTTCCAGACTCTCCACCGACTCTTCAATCTGCTTTCCCAGGGGTTTATTCCCAACTGGAACCACTCTTTATCATACCACCCGTGATCATACGTCTGGATTGTCTACGAAGCCGACACAGAGTGGAGGCTGCTTGCCAGACACAGCCCTACGGGGACAGGCGGTGGATCGTCGGTCTATACTCTGCAGGTATGTTCAGCGCAAACACTAAACTTGTTTACAACTAAAATCGGAGCAGACATCAGCGAGAAATAAGAACATGGCTTGATTGTCGATTATTAGACTGAAAGACGTCCAGACGACGGAGAATTCTACTACAATGAAAGAGAAGGTCAATGTGTTTTTGGGCTTAGGACTTGCAATTTGAGAAGCGATGGAGGGCGCGCTTAGCTGCGCCTCAGAGTCGACCAATAGCAAGGAACGACTCGAGGAACGCTCCAAGGGCAACTTTCTTCTTGCACAGGATTTATACTACCTGAATAAATCACGTACTTCGAAGCTTGCATAATTATTATGTGTTCCTGTTGATCTATATGCCGTTTTGTCTTAAATCTGTAGGCTCATAAGCTAAGGTGCATTCCAGACCTTAAGCGATGGCTTCGTGTTACAATCTGATCTAGTGGAGGTATGTAACCTAGGAAGATTATGGCTAAGTCTACATACTAGAGAGCTAAGCTTCTACTCCTTTACAGGAGTATATACCACAAGGGTCGTGAGACTAATTTTTTTCTCACAAATACAAAGATACAAGTCTAAGTAAGAATGACTAAATAGGTAGATACAGAGGTTAATTTTATAACACTCCTCGAGACAATTTCACAAAGCCAGCCGTTACTAAAGTGCTCAGACTAAACATAAGTTACCTGTTTTATTTTATTCTTCCGCACTTGTGACTCTAACCGCTTCAGCGCTATCCCCTGTCCTCAACCTTAACATAAACCTATTAACCTAGGCCTACTACCTTGAAAACATTACCCTACATTAGGTTTCAGAAATCAAGGCGTTACAATTAACTCTTTGCTTCTACCCGGCCAGTTTTCATATGTAGTAATTATACATTTCCCACGTCTTTATATTATATAACTATATCCTAGTATCATAAGATTCGCCGCTCTACTCCCAATATATACCAACTCGCCATATACTATCGTAGCTGTTGTAGCAATAAGCCCACAAGACTGGGGCTGCTTGGCCTCCCAGGAAATCAATCTGACCAAACCGTTGATTTACAGATTCCCAGCGGAAGGGTTAAGACATCAGTCACCTGACCTCCTCTAGGAACTCAATCTCATCAAAACATTGCTCCCCAGATTCCTAGCGGAAAGGTTAAGATATGGAGACTTCTAGAGCCTCTACGACAGATTAGGCCAGGAGCTCTATGCACCTGCAGACGCGGAAAGTCACGGGAGCTGGGACATTTTCCAGAGTGCGGGATAACCCAAGGCTTCCTCCTCAACATTTCTAAAACTGAAACAAAAACGTCATATCTCTGAGACTCCACAGGGTAGAAAGAATTCCAACAGTTTGTAAAGGCCCATAAAAGCGACCGTTAACTGAGACAGATTGAAGAGAGCTTGTCCGCGGCGTTTACTGTCCTATTACCCATATCAAGATTTATGTATTTATATACTTGGTTAGCAAAAAACCAGTAAGTCTTCTGCCTATTGATCTATGAATTGAAAAGAGGCCAATAACCTAAAAATATAATAGATATACATATATATACTCTATTTCATAGCACTTATTAGACAGTCTGGAATGCTCCGCCGTGAACATAGCCTCATTATGGAAACTTACCATAACATCAATTGCAAGATTAAGCCTTACGGTACTAGTTGATAAGATTGCTGAACTGTATTGTGCTCTCTCTGCTAAAGAAGTGCGGAATAGCAAGGTTAATAAACTGCAACGCTCAAATAACAAGGCCTTATGGCTCACATTTATATAGATTACATACATACGTCAAGTCAAATACTACTTCAATTCCATGATAAAGCAGGAGCTAACTAAAAGTACGCTTCTGCTTTCTTATGTTTTTACTGAATTTTCATTCCTATAAATCTGACCCTTAATAACAGAAGTGGAATGTCTGGTCGCTCTCAAACCAACATGTACTCACCATGCGGAGAAAGGAATGTGTAGCATACTATAAACTCAATTTGTATCAATATCTTCAAGATTCTTGATTCTTGGTTTATGAAATAAAGCCATTATGAAATTACTTTTTCACAGAGTATTGACATCTGTTTTGTGTCCTAGGGGTTTCCCCCTCCGAGTGTTTATTCCTCCAGGCGCCAATGGGGTGTCAGCTGGTTACATGTATACAATCCAGTATGTCTATCAAGGCTGCTACGTTCCGAATCCAGGCGGAAACTTCGAATTTGGACTTTATGTTTCTAAGAATATTCCCACGACATCAGTAGACGACTGTGCAAGCTTCTCTGCCAGTCAACCTACTGGTAATACTCTTTACTTTGCGCTTGATACAGATTCCAATGGAGACTCGGTCTGCACATGCAGCAATGTAATCACATCTAATGACTATAAGCATGTAAGAGTATATTTTTTGTACAACTCTCCAGGTAGACTATCTAGAACACCTGGTGATAGGATTTACTGTGGTGGGAACTTCGTTGACGACCCACTGGGCTCTGTGTTTGCGGCAATTTGATCTTATATTTCACAGCTTTTCATACATTATCTAGTTTCTCCTGTGACATATCGATATATCATTAATGTATACAACTAATTTCGGCAGCACATTAGGAGGCCGCCTTAATAGTATACGGCGCGCAATATATACTGCTAAGTGTAACAGACTGGTTCATATATATTTAGTATATGGAACTGTGCCCAGGGGATAACCTCTATGCTCTAGGTTTATACTAGCAGACTGTTACAACCTAGGCCGCCGTAACAGATAAATCGTTTATACATAGATAACTGCGTTCCAATAGTTGCTACAATGACAATTATTGGCCTAATTTTGCTCTGTTGGCGCTACAGCTGAGGTTTCTTTGTAAATCTATTATCTTTCACTGCTATTCTATTACTCAGAGATCAATCTACAGAACAATATTGGCTTCTAACGAGTCATCGACATGGAAGAACAAAAGAGAGAGAGAAGGGCGCGCGGAGGAGGGGGGATGGGGTCACTAGACCAGGCCTCCAATGATCTCGATCAGACTGTCAAAATAACTGCAATCCTCAAAGACGTTAGAAATCTGTCTCATGGGAAGTACAAAGCAATATACAAACGTTCCAAAAGTTGCCGAAACCAATTAAAATATCTTTAAGACCTCATCAATGCTGTAATGACGACCAATACACTCACACCATCTGACACTGAGTTACCGGCATATTTGGGCAAATATCATAAGTTGGTAAAACCAAGTAGAGGATGTAAAGTAGAGGATGTGTCAAAAACGCAGTAGTTGATTCTAATTGCAACTCGATTCCATTTTCCGTTATTCTCATTATACTTTGAACCTTGGAGCGCGAGACAGTGCCATAGAATTTGGGTGGTAAGTAAATCCTAATGTGTCATTATTTTGAACGGAAAAAGAAATAAATACAAACATCTTAATCTCTTTAGGTATATAATTCTTCTGGTCTCCCATATTGAATAAAATGACCTGTTGGTATATAATGAGCTTGAGACGAGAATGGCGGAGGCATGGATGTGATAAATTCAGGATAGAGCCCAGGGGCTCCAACGCCGGGGTTGTGCTGGCGATCGGGTCAAGTCGCAGTAAGCGCTATAGAAGCGACTAGAAGAGAACTTGAATGTGAGGCAATGGGCTTGTAGGGGCTGGGGTTACCATTGTTGGTAGAAAGAGGTTGGAGAAGAGGTCAGGGCCGACAAACGGGGTTTGTAAGCGAGAGGGCCACCCTCTTGAAACGTCTATTGTTAAAAACTATTAGAGGCCCAATCGGACTTAGTTCATCTGTTCTTTTTCATTACTACAAAATGACAACTCTGCCAAGTGGACAGAAACTAGGCAGCTATCGCCGAATCATTTATACTTGTTCAGTACATGAATTTCTATAGCTACACTAGGTATTATTAAGTTACTAGATGTTTATGTGAACAGCTTATCTGAACAAAGAGATGAAAAATACTCCGCCCCTCGGGTAGGCGCATATTGTCTCTATTCCTCATTTCCTGAGAGTTACATAACAGTAACAACGCTCCTTTCTCTGCAGTTAGTTTACACTGCCATTGCTTGCAAGTGAAATTATAAAGGCTAAGCATTCGTCATCAGAAAAGAGAACAAAGAAATGTGCCTGTTTGCTTGCCAGCGTGACTTTGTTAGTGTAACTGGGTCGACTGATTAGGCCTTCAGTATAGATTGATTCGTCCAGAGTCACTGTTCACTGACTACTAAGGGCCAAGGCCAAACGCCCTTCGGAAGAGAATAAAGAAAAAAAGAGTCATGGCTGTTTTCCTATGGCTCTTACTCTTTCGCAATGTCAAAGATAGATCCGCCACCGGCCAGAGTCCTCTTGGCATTTGGGCTTTTCGGATGCCTCTCAGCAAGGCCCTGAGTGTTGGAGATTGTCCTCTTTTACCTGTATTTTACATATAAATATCACAGCTAAATCCATACTGCTGCAATTTCTCATAAAGTTCATCATCGTCAGCCGCTCGAAAGCTCTTGAAGTATTCTATGTATGGCGGATAATTTATTCTTCTTTCCGAAATCATGTCTCTGAGGCCTACAATCCAAGGCACAGTCGAGACTCTCAAGTCCATAATCATAATATGGAAGACAGCCAGGCATATAAAATCCCTTCCAAAAAATATACAGCTATGTTGCCGCACGTCTTCCCATCATCCAATATACTCTGGAAAGGATGTTTGAAGACTTGGAGGGAGAAAGGGGATCGGTTGCGGCCGAATCACGCCAACCATTGACCGAGTTTCTGGAAAGCTGCTCTGAAAAGGCATTGAGGCTTAAACATATTCTAGAAGGCCTCGTGCGAATCTCAACAAGCAATTCGGTCATGATATCCCGTTTATGCGATCGACGCTTACCGACATGGAGAAGAAGTCAGAGGCATTAAGAATGGCATCTCTAACGACATCCAATGTCTTACGGCGTATTACTCGATCAAGAGGCCCACACAGGCGCAAATTCGGGAGTGATTTGGCGGAATCAAGGGGGTTTCTGATAAGGTGGCACAAGAGACTGAAGAGGCTGGGTAGTGACAATGTACACTCAGTAATGCAAGCATGGGTTCTTGGGGCAGTTATTACAGATACTCGACAGAAAAATACGTGTGTTAAGGGAATTTTTGCAAATTTATAGTCCTTTTACGGTCTCGTTTTATATCAATTTTTTTGTTGTTGCTGGAATGCGTGCCTGTACATGAACGTCTATATTGACAAAAACTATGCGTATCAGATAATATCATGCAAGGCTATTTTAGTGCAGGAGCACTCTCTTCCACCACTACACTCATTAGCCACGTACCTTATTTAGCTTGATCATCCAATTTCCTATTTAACAGGAAGTATAAGACTCGTACTGTTTATGCATCACTTAACTTGACGCTACTTTGGGCCTGTCTAGAGCCGAGATTGTCGGATGACAGACATTTCCATAATCCAGAGCCAGCTATGGGATACTGTTGGAGTGGAGCATGGAAGATATGCGTGGAAAATGTGAGTTCGTCTTGGGTAGGTGATTGTATCTTCAACTTTATCTGCTCTGATAACCATACTTCAAATATTCTTCATAATCAAACCATCAAATAAAGTAGCCTCTTTAATTGAGGCAAGTTCAAGATCACTTCAATGGGTAACTCCAAAATAATATCATGCTTTGATGCTACTCTATGCAAAGCGCCACGTTTTGAATCAGCCACTTTCTCGTCGGCCCTTATTGGTGTAGAGCTTTCTCCTTGACAATGAAATAATGGTCGAGAATCAGTTTAAATGAAGGAGCCAGGCTTTCCAATGTAATCTATGTCTTTGAGATTTTTGTTTGGTTTTGATACTTCATTCAAGCTCATAACTAGGAAAGCAGAAGTTTCTTTTTCTTCTTTGCTTTGAGAATCATGGGTAGATCAGAGGTAACGAAATGCACAGTATTTAAACAATGAAGAGAGACAGTTTTTCTATTGGTTGATGGTCCGCAAATAGGAGTATTCTCATATGATTATACACCATTGCAAATATTTGTAGCTCTATGGTTCCCTCGGATAATAGTAGATTTTGAAGCAGAATACAGAATTGAGATAAGTCACTTATGAGAGAGAGCACGATGAGAAGCCGTGTGCTAACAGTACTTGTACGAATCAAGTTTCAGTCTCCTTGCTTTGAAAATCTATGGAATATAAACTGCGAGATGTCGTTATGTAGCAATATGAGGTTCATGGACGCATGATTCAATACAAATGACGCGTACTCATAAGTACCAGCCAGTAAAAGAGTTTAATTGTGTAGCAGCCAATTACATATAATCTCTGTCCAAAGGTAGGTATATGCATATAAATATCCATACTTTTAACCACAACGAAAAGCAGTGGTACTACGACATTTGCCCACCTGCAACAAGATATCAATATTACAAGAAAAGTATGGCATATTATAATAGTTATATACGTATGATGTATTGTGTTTTGCTATATCATTCTAACCCTTAGGTGGCGATGCTGTGTGAAAGGTATAACCATTCCCGTTGTACTGGCTCCCTCCTGTACAGTGATTCTGGTGTCCCTCTCCAGCATGATACAACTGGACGCCATCTCCCCAATTGTTGATGGACACGGGCGCCCCATCGTCTTCTTCCAAAGACGGCTTCAGTTCAGCCACTTCATCGTAAGCAGCCTGTAACGATGATTTCAATTTTTCATCCACTGATAACATAGTCGCCAAATCTATAGCTTGTTGCAGCATTTCCTTCAAAATAGCCTCTACCGGCTCCCCGCCGCGTTTCACTGCTGCGATGCGGTACCTTTTTGCTTTGGGGATTTGGCTTTCGGCTTTTATAGCATCCAATATAGCATCGAAATACTGAGCCTGTTGCTCAGATAGCTTCGCAAACTGAACTGCAGCTGCAATTTTCTTCTCCTTAGCCTCTTTCTCCTCCTCGTTTATCTTAAGGGAGGGTTCCAAGGACTTGAGAAACTCAGTCAAGATAGGCAGTGTTTTCCCGACTCCGTAAAGAGCTTCAGGAAGGCCAGTAACCTGCTGAATGGTGGCCCAAGAGTCGGCAGTTTGCTTGAAAACCGAAGCGGCAGTAGAGAGCATTCTGGTGATTTGAATCTTGTTTCTATCGGATGGTAATTTCATATTAATAGCCTTATGGAGGTTGCGTAGCTATATGGAAAATGTGTGAGTTATAATAAAAATGTAATATATGATAATCCCATGTGCACTTGTTGGGGAGCTATGCTTCTGAATGTGCATCATGTCGTTGTTACGGGGATTCAAGATCTCTTAAAATACTCTACATAAGGCGCAAGATACCAGTGGATAAATCACATTGCCCTCATCAATTATCTACTCCGATTAGCCATTGTGTTTACTCACACCATGAAGGCGGCTGTTTAGGTGTTGAAAGGCATCATTGCATATGGGCAATCCATGCAGACAATGGCCACGTGGACCACTGAGCAAGCCATTCAATTCCAAGCAAGACAAGGCAATGATGTTCAAGTTGGATACCTTCATATCGCAATGTAGGATAGAAGAATTCTATATAGTAGAACAGGCAATCCTTCCTGATAGGCGTGTATGTCATGGACCAATATCATCGTGCAATTAGTGCAAGGGTACTGCAAAGTACATGCAGATGCTGGTGTTATGTCCCCCATTTGACAAATTGCCTGAGAGGTCTTTGCGACGCCTTTTGTCGCCTTAAATTCTTTCCTCCAATTACAAGTTATTATATCGTTATTTTTAATGCCTTACTTCTCTGCCCTTCTATTTCGTTTCCCTTATACGTTCATATTGCATGAATGCTCCACCCTCAGCCTAATTTCTTTTACCAATTCAGCCTCATTGTACTTCGCCCCAGAGAGAGGATGCCCAAGGCTAGCCTTGAGGTGTCGGTATCTTTACGGTGATACAAAAACCTCTTCAAGGGGGTTACTTAATATATTTGTCTCACACACTCCGGCTGAAGAGTTCTTAACGCCGACTCTTGACTGCGGGTATTCTTTCCCTGCTAACTGTGATTATTTTGCTCGCACAGGGGTTGAAAAGACAATCTTATACCCATGGCTGTCTCTATAATTTGCACGAGAAGCTCATTATCAAATTGAACGACTGATATTACTTTCAATGTCAACTTGGCCATTTGTCTGCTTGATTTCGCCCTTTTCGAGACAGCCGACGGTGTTGTAGTGGGTAGAGGAACAGGTGCCCATAGAACGGTATGCGATATGCCGCGCCACTTGGCAGCCGTATACAGGCTTTGCGCGCACAATCGGTGAAGCCGTATATTGTTGATTCGCTATCTAAATATTCCTCCCCATAAATCCTATCACGAGTTGTGCTACTTCAATGGCCATTGGGCCAAATTGGACCCGGAAGGCTCCTGCATATGCAGCTTGTCTGGGCGTGTTAGATGCAATATTGAACCCATCCATTCTCAGGCTGGATGTCTACTAGGATATGTCTCCCACTCTCCAAAGCGAAACGTCAGATGGCTACTACCATCCTCCACTCAGCATCGGCTTCGGTGTTGAGCTGGCTTGCATTAGCGGAATTCGCCTATTCCCGTCCAGATTACCTCGGAGCTAGAGTAGCCTGGGCTCCGTAAACGGGTTACCATCGACCGAATTTGGACTCTCCACCATCTAACAACACATGAGCCCCATTATTGAAGCCTAGCTGGGGACAGTATACTGCCGTTAGGCCTCTAGAGTCAGCCGCCTTGCAGGAGGCTCTGTTTACTATAAAATCAGCCCTGGCATTTACAATAGTAATACATTTGTACCTTGAATAAATGCGGTCTACTGTTGCAATGATAGACTATAGCTTGGCCGACAACGGACGCAGGTCTCAGATAAACCCTGGCTTGCTACAGCAGTATTTGTGTTCAGAAAGCCTGGCAGTGGAATTAAGATGTAACAACATGTATTGAGGCGGAGCAATTTTTTTCACCTGCCGAGAGAAGGCAAAACAAACGGGAGGCCGAATCTTCTTATGATTACACCCATACGAAGCAAGTAGGCTGCCACAAGCATGATTTTTCCCCCCATCTCTTGTAAACTACCAGAGAAGGATTATTTAGTACATTTACTTGATTTGTTCTCACTGCTGGACGAGGCTGCTGCGTAAGCTACGTTTAATTGTGTCCGATAGGTCATTATCTAAGTATTCCGGTAGCTTAATGGAATGAAACATCTCCAAATATCAGGTTTAGTTTCTGTAATTTCTTTGTCTCACGATACATAGCTAAGGACGGGAGACAATAGTGCTACTGTGGCGAATGATCCAGTAAACAGGCTGCACAAGATGGTCGTATTCCATTATCGCATCCATACATATACGGCGCAGGGAGTGTTGCAGTCGCTGCGCTTCTTTTCCGAGAGATATCCGCTTCGCCCACATGCATGCAACCTTTTGAGCCTGATAATGACCCAACCTCCATCCCCAACCTGAAGAAAAAGAACAATAACAGATCACGAAACCATCAAATAAACCTGAAAATTAGTCTTTAATATTTCTTTTTCACCTTATTGCAGTCAATTGCCTCTTCACCAGCAATGTCAGGCGCCGAGCTAATTGGGATCATTTCAGGCATCATCTCGATAGTGGATGCCTCGCTCAAAATTTACGAAGCCGTCGAGGACACCTCAGGCCTACCACGATGCTTCCGCAATGTGGCTGCTCGTCTCCCCGTTGTCCAAGATACACTCGAAACAGCGAGAGCGACCTTAGAAGAAGAAGAAGAGGGGGAAGAAGAAGAAGACAAGGAAGATAAAGAAGAATTACAGAGGGTGAAATCGCGCGACGCCTTGGTGAAGATTCTTGAGAGCTGTTATGACAAAGCGACCGTGCTCAACAAGACTTTACAGACTATAATGCCTAAACAAGGCACATCCAAAACAAAGCGCTATGTCAAAGCGATCAAGATGTTTCCCGCTGCCGACAAAATCGAGAGTCTGATGAACGGCATCTTAAACGATGTACACGTATTGGCTGCGAATCATTCAGTAAAATCAGCCACTCGGACGCAGGTTAATAATCTTATGGACATGATAAGGAACATGAAAGCTGAGAAACGAGAGCCCCTATACTTTGGTCGCCGTGCGACCGTAGCATTGTGCAATATGGGCAGAGGATCACAGTTCGTCTATGATGGACAAGGCAATCAGAACGTCTCAATGGGAACAGGGGTACAGTTCAATGGAACATCAACAGCGCCACTGCATATCACACTGACAGGCATATGACTCGCATGGAGCTCTTCTATTACGGACATTGGTTATGGGTTACATGTACATAGAGATGTTAAAGCTATTAGGCGCCTAGATCGCCTCAAGAATGATCCACATCGACTAAAGAGCCTTGAAGGAATCATTGCAGTCGACCTTGCCAGACTAAGCATGCAGAGCATCCCGTGTGTATGTATGTACATTATATTACCTCCCTGGTCCATGCTACTTCCGCCAAATCGGTTTACCAAGACCCTGTTTAGATGTATCTTCATCCACGTGCTCTGAGTAGCTCTTGGATGTCAGGATAATTCTCTCCATAGTGATATGCCGTATATCCGCCTGCATCCTCGACCCTAACATTAGCTCCAACGTCAAGGAGACAAACTATCAGCTCATGTTTACCGAGCTGAGCTGCAAGCATTAGTGGTGTCCTCCCACTCCTATCTCCCACGTTCAGATTAGCGTCGTTTTCTGCCAACATCTTTACCAAGCCCGGGTCGGAGGAGCCGTTAACAGCGTGGTGGGCTGGCGTGAAAGAATTGTCATCAGCCGAATTTGGATCACCTCCGCCATCTAACAACAAGCGGAGTCCTGTTTTGAAACCCAGACGGGCGGCGTGATGTACTGGTGTCAGGCCTTTCGAGCCAGCTGCTTTGCAGGAGGCTCCGCGACGGACGAGGATCCCTGTTATGGTTGGATTCTGTTTCTGTATGGCCAGAGAAAGGGCCGTATTGCCATAAACATCGGTGACATCCAAGTATGACGCTCCTGCAATGTGGGAGGTCAGTAGGGTCACAATGTCTTCCCTTTCCAGCAGGACGGCATGATGTAACGGTGTTAGCCCACCCTCCCCTTGGACAATAGTGCTAGCGCCACGCTGGATAAGAAGATGAACAGCTTCAAGATCCCCGCTGTATGTCGCCAAATGTAGCAACGTTCTACCCGTCCCGTCAATAACAGCGTCTGGGGAGGCTCCGTGCGTACAAAGCAGCCATGCCACAGAATGATTCTTTCGTCTTAGTGCCTGTTCGAGGGGGGTCTGCATATACATGCCCGTATTCTTGCCGCCGGTTTTCTTGGCAAGGCTCGGAGCTGTGACGGAAGCACCTCTATTGATTAAGAGCCATATGAGATCGTTATCTTGCCTCTCAATAGCATAAAAGAGTGCTGACTTGCCGTTGGCGTCCTGTTCGTTTGGCCTTGCCCCGGCATTCAACAGCACCCAGGCTGTATCATGATCCTTCAGCTTGATAGATTCAATCAACAAGGTTGACCCGTTTCGCACTTTTGTGTTAACGTTGGCCTTGAGGCTGGCAAGTAGCTGCACTAGCTTGCTGCTTTTCTTCTTGACTGCCTCATGCAACGGGGTCGAGCCGTCACCACCAGTCTCGTTCCCGTTAGCACCGTAGTCGACTAACAGTTGAATGGCACCGGCCATTCCATAGTGTGTGGCCCACCATAGAGGAGTTTTCTTCTCCGGGCCCTGCAAATCAACTCGAGCTGGGTTAGACTTCCGAGTCAGCAGCCGCCGCATGAGGAGGAGGTCCCCCTTGCTAGCCGCAAATACAAGGGGTGTCCATCCATCCTTAGTCGAAGGACGGTTAAGATCCACGCCTCGCTCTAACAGTAGCTCAATAAGGAAGTGGGCGTGGTCTTCGACCGCGACTTGTAACTGACTCCATTCCCCGTGCTCTGTCTGGATGTCCCCTTGATCTACTACACCAAAGATTTGCTGGCCGTGAGAGAAAACGTATCTTAACAACGTCCAGTCGTCCGATATCTCGGCGTCAACATCTTTTCGACTCTCAATCATTAACTTCGCAATCGATGTAGGCCCATATTGGATGACTGTTTTCAGGGGTGACACACCCTTTTCGTTTGGAATATCCAATTGTGCGTCAGCCCTTATGAGCGCTTCCATTATTGCGACATTATCCGTAGCTGGCCCCATGAGGGCCTTATGGAGGGGTGTATCACCAGCCTGATCGCGTAAGTTCAGGCTCGCGGATTTGCCGATTAAGAGCTCCACGAACTTGCGTCGACCGTATCGGACTGCCCAGTGTAAAGCCGTCTGGCCATCTGAACATCGAGCGTCGACATCAATATTGGATGGAAGACGCTCGGCCCACGACAAGAGGTCGAAGTGCACGGCAGCGTGCCAGCCCGTCATGCCCTTAAATGCGGTGCCTCCTGCCTCTTCCATTGCCTCAAAAGCTCTGGTGAGATTGGGTCCATCTGTGAGGAGCCTCATAACCAATGAGTCTGTGTTCTCATCGAACACCTGAGCTTTACTGTTGAGGTGCGACCACCAACATTTGGCGGCATATTGTAGCAGTGGAGAGCTCTCCTTTTTCTTGCATGTGTTGATCAGAAAGTATAAGCATGTTTTGCCTATGTCGAGGTCGGCATCGTTTGATATAATTTCATACTGGAGAAGGTGCTGTTTAACTGACTTATGGACCAAGCCAAACGTCCCTTTCTCCGTTTTGACCAATCCAGTGCAATCACGCATTACTAGCTCTTTGGTAGGGCGATGATCCTCATAGCAATTCCCCTTACTCTTCTGGATAGCAAAGCTATCCTGTATCTGCCCAATATTCATGTCGACTTTGGTGTGTGAGACCCAAAGAAGAATATGTTTTGTTAACAGAAGTTCACCATTAGCCTTATTCGCCTTTATTTTCTGGGCAATTTGCTTCGCTAATGTTTTGAATGCCCCCAATGCGCTGTCGGGGAGATGATTCAAAGCCTGCATTATGTCAAAAAAGGTGGTTCGTTGCTTGCTCAAATGATCCATGTGCAGCTTGGCTGACAAAAACCTGAATCAAAAATTAGCCACCGCTACTAATAAGGCGAAGTTTTCGAGTGTTACACTGACATCTTGCTAGACATGGCCCTCGTCGTAACACCTTTGATAATTTCTTCTTGGTGTTCAGCCCTAAACAGTACGCTCCGCAAGCGCCTATCATCTGCGATTCGATTCTTGACATAGGTCGACACATCTGCCTCTCTTGGCGTGATGGATAGCTCTCGATTTGCTCCGATATCTTTCCCTATATAATTGTCTCTGGATGTGAAAAGAATACGAACATTATCTGGGAGTTCGACGAGAGCTTTTAGGAAACCCTTTAGCGTCGCTTCTCGGGGAGCGTTCTGGCAGCTATCCAAGGCATCAATGACGAGGTAAACTGTTTTGACGGTAGCTACTTGTGCCTTAAACAGATCAAAATATTCGGACGAATCAAGTGCGGCTGATCTTTTGAACGGGTCGGTGAATTTCTTCTTCAATGCACTTGCTATGTTGCTCGTATTTGCGCTTAAGAGCTGTGTCAACAACGTCGCCCAGATACGTGCGAGTGGCACAGCGTGCTTCTCCGCTTGAAAGAAGAAGTAAATGCAAGCAGCTTCATCTTGACTTGGGATCCGTTTTTCGATAAAATCAACGATAAGTGACCTTGTATGTAATATGTCAGCATGCAATTCTAATGCTGTCTACTGGGGAGTTCTAACAGGAGCATAGTTTTGCCAGATCCAACTGCAATGACTTCATCAGCGAAAAGAGTCAATTTCAAACAGGGGCATATTTTCCACTTACGTATGCCTTGCATCCACATAATCCGGTCCGATTTGGAAGCTTCGGAGGCTTCTTTCCACTTGAGAAACTCCTCAGAATTGAGAATCCACTTGCCGGTACCCTTAGAGAGCTGAATAATGAGGTTGCGTTGATATTGGCTAAAATTGAGTGGGCTTTGGTTGGGTTGGGTTGTTAGCCACTTGAATATGTTTCCATCTATTGACATGTGTTAGTATATTCAGATCTTGGTCATTCCGCTTTCTGAATTACCCACCACTCGGCTCTTGTGGCCAGTTCTCTGGGCCCCCGTATTTCTGAAGAAATTGCCCGACTGAAGGTGGTATTCCCATCTTCCCATTCCTTCTATTTGGAAAACTGACTAAGCAGTTCGTTAATAGGCATTTTGAAACTCCACGGAAGAATTTGTGAGCATACTATTGAAGTGCTGATGATATTTGACCATCGTGCCATTACCATATACCGCATTCTGATCTCCTGCGCCTTCGAAAATGTACTGGTAGCCATGCCCCGAATTATCGGCATTTATGTTTGGACGATTTTGTCTCCCGGGGATCGACATCTTGATAATAAAGTATTATTGCAGGAGATATGTGCTTCAGAGGGTATGCCTCACTTCAATATGCTGATAGGACGCTATCGTTGAACAAACTCAAACTTACGCTCTGGATAGCATATCTCAAGACAGATTTCTCCAACAAGATGCTGTATGATTGAAGAGTTATAAATAGTTGGCGTGACGTATGCATGAAGAGCCCACGGCCTTCATGTAACTGCATAACAGTCACGATTAGCAGAGCTCCCAGCCGCACAAGGCGTCGCGAAGTGCTGGCTTTTCCAGTGGAGAAGGCTTCCGATTCCGGTGGCTAGACGCCAATAATTATTCGAGCTTGGTCGCCGGCATGCTATGGTATGTCATACAAGAGGCAAGTTTAGGCGAGCGGAGACCGAAGAAGGAAATATTGCACCTGTCCTCCACCGCCATGTAACTGCGGGAGGTCCGACAACGCGGATAGAACCCAATGGTGGTAGCTGAAGGAGCGGCTGTGCCTTTTTCAGCCTCATTCTAATATAATTTAGTACATGCAGTAATCAGTAATCACACACACCATTCGATTGCGGCTCAAGCGATCTCACACTCCGTAGTGGAGGTAACCGCGGTGCCATCCTCCTCCTTTTCACCCGCTCAATGTCAAGGCAACTGGTTGCCTAGTAAACGAGGCAATCAATTCTGCAGAGTGTAAAGTTCCAAGAGTATGTTGAAGCCGCTCTCTAGTCGATTTGTAACAGTGTAACAAACTTCTATGCTGCAAACACAAGAAAGCAGGGTCGTCAGCGAATTTCAGGTTTGCTGTAGAAATAGGAGCAGTATACTTCTTACCTCGTATTTCCACCATATTTCTAGCGGCGAAAGCCTCCTATCATATTCCAGGAATCCCCCCTCGGACAAACTGCAATGGCAACGGTCAATTCTCAGATTTCCGCCTCGCATCCATCTGCTACCGACACTAAGAATCCGTATGAAGCCCAATCATATTTCCACGTTCTTCCCTGTCAAAGTACATGTGTTTAGTTAACATGAACTCATTCTGGCATAGCATCGGGCCGTACCGTAACGAGCCGCCGCGCGGGCGTCGACGTCCTCGGAATTCACGACCTGGCCGGCGGCTAGACTTAAGCCAACCAAAACCTTTTCGCAAGCCTAGAAAACTGCAGAAGGATCAGAATGCCAACGATCCCACAGAAGTCACTTCTGTATTAGAGTTCTCTATCGATGGATTATACCCAAATGACGATGTTGTTTATCCCCCTCCACCGAATCTTTCGGGTTACCAAACTTCTGCCCGAGAATTACCTGCACATATCGTCAGCCGACGCACGCGCGGTGGAAATCACAATCGCTTGTCATCTATCATGGAAGATCAAAGCTCATGCCCTCTCCAAGAAGACAATGAGCGTGAGAACCCCAAACGGCATCCGCATGTCCTTCCTGATGAGTGGGAACACAAAATTCACTCCAAAGAGCCACCTCAAGAGCCAAACATTCGAGATCACCTAGCACCCAGGATTATACCTTATAGCAACGAGCAAGTTCATCGTCCCTTACTTCAAACAAATACCTTACCAATATCACAACCGATGTCTCGTGATCCATCTACGTCAACACATGACACAGTGGAACAGAACACGGACGAAGCGGAAGTACCAAAACTAGAGACGGTATCGAAAGTCTCCGAAATAAAACCCCAGGTGGTCGAACCTGTGTCGGACATGTGCGGAGGTCGTATCGTGGTCGGTATCCAAGGGGGACCAAACGGAGAGCTACCGGTTCCTCAACAGTCCAAATATCGCCTTGTAAGACTACTGAGCCAGGTTATTCCGAAGACAAGACCCCCAACACATAATACGAAATTAAATGAGGCTTCCGGAGGCGCACCTATTTCTTGGGCATCCGAGCCCATTGGGGGCCCATGGATAGATCAGGAACACCAAATGTTCCTAAATTTCGAGATGTGGCCATAGCTTAAGGATCATTTTCATCTATATTGTTACTCAGTTTGGAAATATTATGCAAATAGTTCATTAAGCCGTATATGGGTGGATGAAGTAAAATGAGGTGCATTCGTATTCATTATGAAAAAAGGCGACTCATCATAGTGAAATTCTCGTCCGTCTTGTTGAACATACCAACAAGCGTAAATTAGTTCAAAAGTCTCAGAACAGTCAATATTGGATATGATAAAGAAAACAAGAGAGAAAGGTGCAAATAATTGCTATATCGTACCAAACGAGCAACCTTCGCTTTGGCAAATGCTCGTGGTATGTGCCGCTCTTTGGACTACCTCTCTTGAAGCGTTGTGTAATTCCAACTACCAAGATTCGGCTCGCTGAGCCCATTCAACTTTCAGTCGAACGGCGCAGCTGTGTTTAGGGCATGCGGAAGTTGCACCAGCGCATGCCGAAACACTAGAAGATGGAAGCGATACGGAGATCGTATTGAGTACCCAAGGCGATTGCGATATGCCATAGCATACATAGCGGTGGAATCACATTACGATATGAGGAAATGCCCCTCCTATGGTTGGGTACTGATGGTTTATTAGTATACAGCCGCTGCCCGTGCCACACCTTATCATTGGACCGCAATGCATAATCCCCTGCAGATGCCAGGCTTCTATACCTTTGCTATATTGCTGTGAAATACTACATAGAAACTTGCATCAGCTCGTTTCCTCAGAACATGGCCCACCCACTTATGGGTAATCAGTACCGGAAAGCCCATGTAGCTGAAGAGATGGGCGAGAATGAAAGCCAGTGGATTCCCCGGCCACCTGCCGCACCAGAGCCACCAGAAGCAACAGACTTTGCCGACGATGATGAGCATGCTTCTGATACAAACAGTAGTGAACGGTCGAACATCAATTATCAAGTAAGCCCCGCAACGACCTTCCAAGGTGGATTCAGTGGCTCAAACTCCCACAAGCACCAATTGTGGAAACAGGAGCACCAAGAAAACAAGGAAAGTGAGGCGGAGGCTGCTGAAGCTCTGAGAGCTGTATTTGCAAACATAACCGTAATATCACCCTCTTTCAGCCGACATCAGCCACAACAGGCAGAAGAGAACGAGCCGAAAGTAAATTACGCAAAACGGAAACGTCATCCTGGATCATTTCACTTCAAGTCTGAGACGGATAATGGAAATCCATCTTGTTTGACGAGCGTGGGCAGTAACCTGCAATGCTTATGACGCCACCAGCAAGTTCACGAGTTTCTTCCACAAGTGGTCGTAGAGACAAAGCCACCAAGCGATTGAAGCAAAAGTCGTCTTCGCCGCGCCTACTCCCTCTCCGGCTGGGTGTGAAAGATACTGCAGCACCTCTAAATAACAACCGGAGCCTTGTCAAGATAGAAGTGACGTCCATAGAGAAAGTGAGAGCCACCAGGGAGGCTAAACCAGAAGGCCTCTCACAAAGCGAGGCGAAAAGATGACTGGGCATAGCGTGGATCGTGTGAAGACTCCTAAACATACACACAGACATGAGACGCTTGGTTCGTTTGATGGACTTTGGGAAGACCTAAAAAGTGAAGCTACTCATACTCCTCGTATGATCTATTTGTGTAGCGCACGGATGATGTTCATCTATAGCAGTAGTTAATTTTGGGAGTCTCGCGCCAATTTTTGGGGAATTCCTTCATAGCAATGCGAAGTATCTAACTCTGTATTTATTTATTACGCGGAAATGAAGTTATATATTCGATTTAATGGCCAATCACTAGCTAACGTTTTGATCAATAACGGATTACTGTCTACCTCGATGCATACATATGTATGCTTTCAACCTTTCATTTCGCGGCTTCCAGGTGTTTCAGCATATCACCCCACCTTTCTGGCTCTCACCATGGAGAGAAGAAACTTAGCATACGCTGCAGCTGTTGCGGCAGCATATTCCTGCCATTCATCATTTTTATGGGAATCTGCGTGATCGCATATTCCACGGATAACTAAGCATGGAATGATATTCATTATGCCAGCCGCCTCCATTTCGATCCAGAGAATCTTGCATTTTCTGCTGATTTCATCTCTTTTCTGTGCATTCTTGATAACTTGGTTTCCAGAGGCAATATTACCGTAGTGGATTCTCGGTACTTGGTATTCGCCATTGCTTGAATCAATTATTCGACGCTCTTTTCTTTCAACTGTGGGACCTTGGCATTTTGAACATGTATCATAACCTGACTCATGCGTAAATTCAGCTGCAAAGAGTTTGTCGTGGCTCACTCCTGGGTAACGATACGCCTGCTGCCGCTTCCCAATCATCTCAATATCCTTGAGCAAGTGACTTAGGGATAGATCAAGATCGGACTGGACAGTACTAATAGCTGACAGCAAGAATTCGGGTGGGCGCTGTAGAGATCCAATTCTTTCGTATTCGCCGCGCTCAGTAACTTTCTCAAAATCGTGCTGAACAAACTCCAGGATATTCTCTCGCTGGAGTGCTGACCACCCCATCTCCAAGCCGGATGCCATTCTGACTGGAAGGTTACCCCCCTCCTATCTCAGCTGAAAGGCAAAAAGCTATGCTGTCAAAAGTCCTCTTCATGTTGGAAACCGCAGAAAGCCGCCGAGTTCGTACCATATGCACCAGACGGTAAGCAAAGAGCTACAACGTACGAGTACAGCGGGTGTTATAGCGGGCTTTTTGCTGACTAAGGGCAGGTTCTGTATGGTTGTACGGTCTCGTGGACCTATTGGTCATCTAGTTCAAGTGTATACAGATCTCAGAGCCGGCAGCTCCAGCCAGAGGTTGGGCCTAGCATGGGTTCGACGCGTCTTTGTCTGATATAGCAAATAGGCGTTCATCCTTTATTTTGGGTGAAAGTCATAATGCCACAAATTTGCACCCCGTGTCGTTTCGCTCATGTACCCACATATTCATGTTGCCAACCAGCCACACCACCAAGAATACTGTAAGATACTGTGCCATATTGTCACTTTTTAGATATCCATTCTCATAGCGCCTTTATTGGCTCTATAAAAATTTACTTAGCGACACAGACTTTAATTACAGGGACCAAAGTCCAACTATTTTAGTGGAGGTGTACAAGAGTACTTTATAATACAGTGCATAATATAGTGGAAACCACTGTATTTTTAGAAGTACCTCTCATAGTAAAAAGTCACTATACCCACTTTACTAATGCAGTCCCTTGTTGATTGTTCTCTTTTGGTCATTTTTGATGTATATGTAGCCTCCTGGGCCGGGAAGCCCAACCTACCTGTATCCATTTGTTTTTAAACATGAGAAAAAAGCAGATCACCAAAAACCAATGAATCTCCAATATATAACTTCCATTGTTTTCTTTCATTCTATTGCAGCTTATTGCGCTTCTGCCCTTTTGCCAGCAATGTCAGGTGTCGGGCTGATTGAGATCGTTTCAGACAGTATCGCTATAGTGGACGCCTCGCTCAAGATCTACGAAGCCATCGAAGACGCCTCAGGCCCGCCGCGATGCTTCCACCATGAAGCTGCACGTCTCCCCGTCGTTCAGGAATCGAGAGCGGTTTCAACAGAGGAATACGAAGAGAATAAAGAACAATTGCCGAGTGTAAACTCGCGGTCAACCTAGGCAGTATGCAAGACTTCTGCTGCGACATGCATCCATCCCGCCAACAACATGCAGGTAGTCCGCCCATCATGTCTGACAGGCTGCACCATTGCCCCCATATTTGCACACCTGCACCAATACAGGAGGCCATCGGTAGCAGACACCTGGAAAATGCACCTGTGGGCACGTCTATGCCTGAGATGCTACATCATCGCACCTCTGATAACGATTGGCCTGCAGGGATTAATAACCGACTTGAATGGTCCCCTTAAGATTGAAAGGAACGGATATCATTCGCCATCGCCAAAACTGATAATTCAAACCAATGATACGTATGTCACGAAGCCTTTTGATCGTCGGGGTTTCGAGATAGCCATTATCTGCGCACTCCCACTTGAATATGATGCAGTTTCTCTCGTCTTTGACGAATTTTGGGATGAAGAAGGAGATATTTATCGAAGAGCTGCTGGCGATGAGAACACTTACACCACTGGCCGTATCGGCAAATTTAACGTTGTTCTCGTTCTTCTCTCGTCCGTAGGGAAGATCAGTGTAGCTAGCGCAGCTGCCAGCGTTCGTTGGAGTTATCCCTGCCTGCGCCTAGCCCTCCTCGTGGGGATTTGTGGTGGTGTGCCTCGAGCCCAAAACGGAGAGGAAATTCTTCTCGGAGATGTGATTATCAGCAACACTATCGTCCAATATGACTTGGTTGGCAATATCCAAACGAGTTTGTGCATAAGAGAATGTTGAAAGATGATATGAGCCCGCCAAATAATGATATCCGCAATTTATTAACGTCTTTCAGCACGCGACGTCACCGAACCCAACTTCAAAAGAGAACAGCCATTTTTCTTCGTCAGTTACAACTGAAAGCTGCCGAAGTGGATCAGGATGGTATCTATCATTATCCCGGATCAACCCATGATCAGCTTTTCGTGCCAACCCATCGACATAAGCACCATAACCCTCCACAATGCATCTGTCATCATTGTAATACCAAGGCCGACGCTGTTTGCGAAAGTGTTCTCAACACACCCTGCAGCGCTCTGGGATGCGTCGAAGGACGCAACCGGGGCCAACTTATCGTGCGAAAAAGACTCGAGTCAAAGCGGCGGTTGGAGGAAAGCAACGATGAGAAGGCACAAGAGCCTGCTCTCTACGTGGGAGCGATTGCATCGGGTGATACAGTAATGCAATCCGGCGAGCATCGGGATCAGATCGCAATGAGACAAGATGTTATTGCTTTTGAGATGGAGGGCGCTGGGGTGTGGGGAGTGATTCCTTGCATTGTCGTCAAAGGCGTGAGCGACTATGCTGATAGCCACAAAAACAACATGTGGCAGAACTTCGCTGCTGCGACCGCTGCTGCTGCATTGAAGGCAATTCTGGAGAGATATATTCAACCAGACAAGTCCGTATGAGGGGATTTCTTTCTTGTTCTTTATTCGATATTAAAATGTGGTTTGACGCATTGTTTAGATTACCTAGCTGTGTAAGCAACTATAAAATACAATAGAATTGTGAGCTATCGACCAAGTTCCAGCGCAATGGTTTGCGCTTTTGTGAATGTCTATTATCTTGATGCCTTGATTTAAAAATCGGTCTACCTAAGTGTAGATGAGAAATGCACAAGTCTAACGCTCCAGACCATTTATACTATAACCAACTCTCATACGATGCTCTGTCGTATTTGAAACCGATATATCGCCATATAGCAAGTCAACTAAAACACTAGACTTCAAGCTTGGGTATATTAAGAGTACTGATGTGAATACTGTTCACCGCCCCTGCTCAACTCTTCAGTTTCTATTTTTGCGACACTGTTAACGTGCAAGTTATCTTTATCCAACGTATAAATACCGTTATCAACACCGCTTTCTGATCTCCAGCGCCCACAAAAAATACACTGCTTGCCAAGTCCTGAATTATCAGCCATTACGTTTGGGCAACGATGTCTCCCGGAGATTGATATTTTGAAGAAGAAAAAATATTATTGTAGAGAGTTATTAGTTCACTGTTACATTAGGACGTTGTCCTTAAACAGATGGAAATGTATGCTCTGAATAGTATATCTTGAGATTGGTTCCTCCAACGAGACGCTGCGTGATCGAGGACTTAAAGTATATGGTTATCGTAACGTATGCATGAAGAGCTCACAGCCCTCACCTAATTGCCCAATTACAAGAATTAGCAGAGCTCCCAGCCACAGAAGGCGTCTATGATGATTTTAGATAGCCTGAAATAGTGGATTTTCCAGCACAAATTGTTTCGGATTCTCAGATACTAACAAACGATCAAGCTCAGTCGACAGCAAAGGATGGTATGCCATACAAGAGAAAAGTTTAAGCTAATAGAGACCAAACAAAGGAATATTGTCATAGTTTTAAATGGCAATGTAACAATAGTAGTTCGGCCATGCGGGTGTGGGGAGCAGCTATGTCTTTTTCGGTATCATCCTAATATACTTAATTTAGTACATGCAGTATTAACACTCACTGTTCGAGTGCGGCTCAAGTAACAAGATAACTCATAGCCCGTAGCAGATGTATATACAGTATCGTTCTTCATTCACTTAATGTTAAGGCAGCTAGTTCCCAGTATACGGCCGCTGTTTTATGCCATCCATTATAATCAGGCCGCAATACATAACTTGCTGCAGAATCCAAGATCCAACAACTTTGCCATACAGCTGTAAAACACTACACAGAAGCTTGAAACAGAGTCTCAGCCTTGTGATGTTCTGTAAGGATCGTTTCAGGAAGACCACTGTCCTTCCATGCCTCATCCCATCCAGCAGTCCGCACCCAAGGGTAGTCCGGATGCTCCCAGGTGCTGTCCAGGAGAAGGTATTGCGCGTTCAACCACGTCTTATCATCTTTGATACGTATCCATGGTCGGTCGAGGTAATCTTGAGAAACATGCCGCGCGAGGACCAGGGCCCTCGCAGTCTTGACGACATGGCCATCGTCGGGCATGCTGAAGAACCGGGGAAGTAGCTCCTGCAAGTTATCCACGAGCGTAGTGTCTTTTGGTGTGTAGCTTATGATGCTGTCAAGTCGCAAGGTTGTTGCCCATCGTACAACGTAGTGCAGAATGTCAAAGCGAGCCTTCCACTCCAGGGTTCGCAGCTTGACCGAATCAGGGATCCATGCAGCGCCTTGAATCAAGAGCAAGAATGGCCCAATCGTAAGATGATGGCTATTCTCAATCAGTATCTGATTCGTCCCCTCTTAGAAGCAGCCATAAAGCAGCATGGGGGACGCTTACATGAGGAAGAAGTCAAATCTCGGGTAATCAGGAGGGTGGAAAATACACGCCGATACCATGTAGGCGGCCGTATGGATGTTCTCCGCGATGCCCTCTGCCAGGTTTCTGGGGTCAGCCTTGACCTGGGCGAGATAATTCACACCCTCATCGGGGCACAGGACCTCGATACTGTCCAAGATCTTGTTTGGATTTCCATTGCGCACGCTATTGACGAATTCCGGGTCGGAGTGTACTTGTTCGTAGAGCTCAGCAGTGTTGAAGCGGCATGAAGGAGGGTTTGCTGCTGCTGCCTTTTCTACCTTCTCCAGAAAGTCGCCAACATAGGTGTCGTGGATAGCGGACTGAGCCAGACCTTGGGCAATGATGGCAGGCTGATCCCACTCGATGCCGTACATGAGCTGGATGAAAGAATGGGCAAAGCCTATGACCTCGTTAGGTTTTTTGACTTAATTCGTAGAGTCAGTTCCAGCGCGGTAATAGATGGACTTACTGCCCCAGCTGCGACGGTACATATCGTGAGTGTTCTCCTTGCCGCTGAGGAGATATTCCACCAATGCATTCTTCCACCCTTTTGCCTCTACTTCCTCCTGGAAATATCGCAAGAAATCAGCATAGTACTTGGCATCTCCGAGGTACTTAGGAGCATTGGCCGCCCAATCTTGGTGAAGGTCTTCGAGAACGCCATCGTTTAACTGAAACCGGTCAATCTGAATTTCAGCATCACGGTCGAACGCGGCCTGGAGCTCCTCGGGACTCGCTCCTGCGCCATAGAGTGTACATAGGTGGTGCGACATCTGCCCATTTACGAATCACATATTAGAATCACAGCTCTGTGGTGTGCAACGTGTTGGTTAGGGTGGCTCCTACATGGTTGTGGTAACCTCTCGCCAGGAAGAAAACATGATGCCGCTATATACCGAGTTAATACAATGCTATGCACTTATCATATGAGATGCTCACGTCAAGATCTTTTTGAAGCAGTTCAGACAGCTTGGCCGCTGTAGCTTCATTGTGCTTATAACCTAAAAGACCGATCCGACTTGGGTCAATCTGTATTCTATATGCCGTAGCCATGTTGCTGTCCGCGTAGCTCTTTGCCTGATATGAGTAATAGATGTGAAACTAGAGGAATTTGGTATAGTTCATGTTAGAGAATCTACGGGTATATATACGCTATTGTAGGCAAGCATCGGCAGATAAACACCAGGGACGAAGGGTTGACGAGCCCATATATCCGCATGGCCGAGACTATCCGCACAACCGAGACCAATCCGTCCAGCCGATGGTGATCGCATAGTCTGAAAGTCTGATCAGAAGACTTACTCAACTTTGGCAAGAGCGAAAGTGCAATGGGTAACAGTGGGAGCGGGCCAAGGCGGGAGCGGACTGAAGCAGGCAGACTAGAGCGGACTAGAGCGGACGAGATCAATAGCAGACGTAGATTGAAGTAAAAGTGGATTGAAAGGGCAAAGACAGAGTAAGGCTAGACAACTTACTCAAAGGCTTCTGCGCACTTCAGCCAAGCATTGATGTCTTCCTTACCTAAGGTTTAACTAAGCTCAAGGCAGCTGTTATGTTACTTCCCAAATAGCTGAGCTATCTTAGTCAACTACCTACTCAGCAGATTGATAATACCTGTTGAGTTGATGACAAGAACGCCTTTCCCACCTTTATACCACGCTTGGACTAAGATGAGAGCCTAGTACGGCCTCTTAGTCAACCCACTGGGTAACATGACCCTTGAGTTATTCCTATCACAAAGCACTCCGGCCGTCCGGGTCTTTAACAGTCAATTTAACAGGAAGTAACTCAAGATGATATTATGTGGATTAGCAGGTAAGTAATTCTCGTCTATAAAGGATACAGTTCGAACCGCCATACTGCTATTACCTGTGAGCTTCATCGTCGTTGCCCAGAGTCAAGTCTCCCTTATCACGCACTCATCATGGCCACTTCCTCCAAACCTCCAGTTATTATCGAAAAGCCTCTTATCAATTGTATTCCGGAAGAGCTTCGACATCGGTTTGACCCTACGTTTGTTGAGTACCACAGCAAATACAACGCAGGCCGTCTGGTCACTCACCAAGTGCCGATTGAAGATATCCGGAAAGACCCTTCCAAGTATGCGATTGACTACGGGCACGAGCTTGTAGATGACGGTAACCTTATCATTACCGAAGAAAAATGTCCTGTGAACGGCGGCGAAATAACTGTCCGCATCTTCCAGCCTGGGGATGTTATATCCTCGGAGATAAGACCAGCTTATGTTAATTTTCACGGAGGTGGATGGACATTTGGCGGCCTGGCTACAGACTATGATTTCTGTAAAAGAGTTGTCCTGGAGCTCGGGTGTGTCGCATTTGATGTTGACTATCGACTGGCGCCGGAGTATAAGTTTCCAATTCCTATTGATGACTGCTGGACGGCGTTGAATTGGGTAAGTTCCGTCTATCGGTTACCACTTATATAACAACTAACAATAAGTTAGATCCGAGACGTTAAAGCTTTACAGCTTAATGTAAATCTGGATAAAATCGCTGTCGGAGGGGTCTCAGCGGGTGGTCATCTCTCCACAGTCATAGCCCACATGTGCCGCGATGAAGGCATACCACTCGCCTTTCAGTTGCTAGGAGCGCCAGTATGCGATATCCACGTCTTCACACCAACTGGCGAGCTTCGACCGGACTGCGAATATGAATCTTACCGAGAAATGTACCACGCTCCTCCTCTCCCCGCGGAACGTATGATGTTTTTCCATAAATGCTTCGTCGGAAACCCCAGACCAGCTGAGCTTGACGTCCCGCCTTTGGTTCGTATTTAGGATCAATACGTCATAATTTTCACAGCTAACATCAAAGACAGAACTGGAAAGTATCGCCGATTAAGGCACCGAACTTTAAGAACTTGGCTCCGGCTCTGATCTGGACTGCGGAGATGGATGTTTTGAGAGACGAGGGTGAGGCATATGGACGGAAAATGAACGACGCCGGGTCAAAGGCGGAAATTATCCGACTTAAAGGCGCACCACATAACTTTGCACATCTCGATGCTATCTTGGAGAGCGGCAAGATGTATAACAGGGAGTCGATACGAGCCTTGCGTGATGCATTTGGGGGCAGCTCATGAATACGTTAGGGCCAACCCGTATAAAATCCAAGGACATCCCTGTCTCTGGAGAAATACACAGGGCTACTTTTGCAGCTTCAGTCGTTTCGGTCTTCGTATACCCATCTATACACTAGAAGTCGGATTGAGGTCGGTTGTTTTGTAGTCTCCATGAATATCTTGCCAGGCGGTCAGCTTAACATCTCTCGTTGTTCATTCTCACTACGTGTACCCTAGAAATCTCTCAATTTTCATTAATGGTGCCTGGTCTAATATGGAGAGTTGTTCTTTCATTCTTTGCATCTTCACAGTATGTTTGGGCATATTTAGAGATGAAATCCTGGACCTTGGCTATTTATTAAATAGTACTGATGTGAATGCTATTAATTGCAGCTACTCAATTCTTCAGTTTGCATTGATGCGGCTTCGCGCTGCCTCCCTTCGTATCTGCCACAACGATACGGGGCCAATAACTGTGCAGGGTAGTCGCAAGTAGTGAATGGCATCGCCATGAGACTCGATTACTTCCTGAATCAGATCTTGGGATACATGAATGTCTCTATGAAGAGCCTTGAAGCTAACGTTGTTCCATGCCGTAATGACTCCGGGATAGTGATTCAAGTCCATGTACCATGTACTTCGCGACGTGATAGAAGCTGTTCCGGCCTTGATCTTGTATATAACTGCGCAAGCCTCTCTTCTCGCACCATACCATAATGCCATTGCATGCAATTTCGGCATATTCAGCGCAGATTTTGCTGCAGCGCGTAAAAGGGCAGCAGCTCCTTCTCGGGAGGATGTAGAGCATAAGAGCGACGTTGTCAGAGCTAGAGACTGCAGTCGAGGCCAAACCCAGGACTTCTGGCAGTGGTGGAAGAAATGCCTGGCATCGGTCATGAATGAGGCAGCAAGTTGTTCAAGCTGGAGGCTTCTATCAGCAAAAACCTTGCCGATTTGGGAATCGAGGGCAGAACTGTCCCAAAGAGGATCGGCATAAAAGTTCATTGCCGTGGTAATATCATCATTGGTATCTTCGAATATCACTATTCTTTTGACCGATCTGGGGATCCATCGGCTGAAGATCGATTTCTAGGCTGTGATGATGTTAGAGAAGATGCAAGCTGAGAGTTCCGACTGATGGTAGCGCTATTGATAGGGAAAGTGAGTAGGGGTTGCACACACTTGGGAAGAATATCTCCTTCCAATCTTCATTCCATGTCCGCCATGACTCGTAAGAAATCTCGAGTAAGCAAGGCAGCTTGTCCAATAATACTTGAAGCGTGAATGGAGAAAAGCAACGGCGAAGCTGGCGGCGTATTACCAAGCTTGTGACTGCTGCGACTCGAGGGGCTTCTCGAAACCCGGTTAAAAACATCGCGCTGAAGAGTCGCCAAATAGATTCTGTAGGAGGAACAAAGACTCGCTGATCATCAATCCATCCATGCGTTGGATCATGTGCTGGGAGCTGCCTGGCAAGCACGAAATTCGGCCTCCATTCTTCGGGATTCTCTTCATGCTCAGCTCCTATATAGTAATGCTGGAAAAAATGCTGAGAATCGCTGTCGGAATATGCATTAAGCTCCAACTTCAATCCCTTTTCTGGTTGCCAAGGCCAGTGACATATAACAGAAAAAAGTCTTCCAAGAGCGGTTTCAATCTTTATGTTGTTGCTCTCCCTGCTATACCGGGTCTCGCGGATGTGGCAATTCCCACAGTGATAATCGAAAAGTCCTATGTTGAGCCAGATGTGACGAACAAGCTTTTGTCTCTCGGGGGCGACCATGTGTTCCAGTTGAAAAACACATTCGTATCGCAGTTTCAAGCGACGAAAGTTTTCCACCTCTATGACAGACTGCCATTCTTTGGAGACAGCAGCATGCGACCCCCAGCCAGGGTTCTTGCAGCGTGCAATTGCCTTCAGGATCATCTCCCGGAGCTCACTCGGTATCAGAGACCAATTCACGCCATTTTCATTCACGATGGGGAGAGGCGGAGAGGACGACATATTGTGATTGAAGGTTCTGTCTCTGAAACTCTGATAACTTGGAAAATATCATGCATGATACTGGATCGGCAGACTTGGCGGACAAATCACTATCGAGAAAGATGAAGATATGATGAATAAATGTTGTTTCGACTCCGCGATTCGCGCTGTTGTTTGCAAGGAAGAAACCTTGGCTGAAATATTATCTAAGCTTTTAATGAATTATTTTAAAGTTTTGTTCCGAATGAGTTTGTTTACTTGTAAGTCGGTAGGCACGAACTGTGTAACTATGGGTGACCGAGGGCATCGGTGTTAGAATGATCCGTGCAAAAACGTATTCGCACGGCTTGTCGTAGTTTCGGATCCAACCTCATGTTTTACTTTACACCTGGAGCAAGGCTGGCAGTCTGGAACGGTAGCAAACAGCGAAATTGAACAGACAATGGCGTCCTTTGTGCCTCAAAACAGGTACCGCGAGTACAAGCAGGATACGCAGCGGCTCTTGTTCTGGATAATCCATGCTTCCAACACAATCCTCCAGTCGTCAGCAGCCGCAGAATCAGGCACCATCGAGCCTCAGAACCACCAAAATGTGACGGGCCAGGTTACCGTGAAAGAGCTTTTATCCATGGCCAAGACGATTTCCAAACATGCCGTTCGCGTCCCAGGTGCCATTTATCGCAAGCTGCAGTCAGTAACAAGCGCGAGGACGGCCATGTACCAGGCCTTTCAGCAGCTCGCTGCCTTGAGCCCGAAGCCCGACCCGGAGATGGAACAGAGCAATGTGACTCACAAATATTTCATTGATGCCCTAAACGAGATATTTGACATCTTTGGCGGGCCTGCTTGGCTGCAGGAGCAGCAGCGTGGTAGCAAAGAAGCCGAACTCGACGCCGAGCTTGACGCTGAGGTCGAAAAGGCCAACTTCTCCAACAAGTTTGCCGCACTAAGTCTTGGACTCTCTGCGCAGGGCGAGCCCAGCACAGTTGCAGTAGAGTCTAGCGGCGACGAGGAGTCTGACGAGGAACCGAAGTCGGCTGCTCCTGGACAACAGCGCCGTCAAGCTCGGCCGGGCAGAGGCAAGAAGAAGAAGGGTGGAAAGCGAGCCAAGAAGGGCAAACAGACGGCGAAGCCCGCACCTCAGACGTTGGATCAGGTCCCGCTTGAAAGCTACCGTATTATCGAAGCCGCGGACGGCATTGTTACTGACTACCTCCTGGCGGTTTATTCTCTCTTCGAGGAGACTCTCGACCTACGGTCGTACATGAGCGGCGTGTGGCGAGAGGTTGCGTACGAGGGCCTCAACAGCGCCGTGGCCGGTACGCTTGCCCACCTAGCCACGGCCATGGTTAAGCGAACCGAGGCGGCCATCATGATAGAATTTCCCGGCCACGAGTCATACGAGACTGTCATGCAAACCATGACGCGTGGCAACATAGAGAAGGCGCAGGGCAACTTCACAATGACACTCCACAGAATCTCTGGCGCGGATTGGACAACAGAGATGGTGGAAGAGGCCAAAATGGATGTTAAGGAACAGTTCCTCATCTACGCATATCAGGATCTTGTAGATTTCGTGACCGACTTCCAGGCTACTCGCAGCGGTAAGCCGACCAAGCGTATGCTCGCGGAGATCGACAAGTGGAACCCAACCTTGGACTTACAGCGCGCAACCAAGGAGCAGAGACACCGCTGGCGTCGATCTTATACCATCAACTGGCTCTACGACCTAGTCAATGTCTACTCCAGCATTGTAGTTCAACGCAATACCATGAAAGGGGAGCACCATGTGTACGAAAAGGTTGACTGGGCCGCCAACGGCAAGTGGAGCGAGCACGTACGCCTCTTTGGCATTAATGAGTTTGCCGGCATTGTAACGTAAGTCCTGGCTTTCGCCTTATTTTCCGATCAACGTGACTGGATTTCTGACTAGTGGAGAGCAGCTCCCTTGCGATGCAAAAGCCTGGCACAGATATCAAGAAGCGCATCAACCCAAGCTTGGTATTCCAACTGCAGTGTATAGTCGACTCTTTAACGGTCTCACGGGGCTAGTCCCTCAACAGCTTTAGGGGACATGTTTTGGAGCCACCGATGAGCGGGTTCCGGCCGAGGCGAGACGTCGACCTGTTCCTAGATCGTGAAAACGAGAGATTTGGCAAGGGCTTCCCACAGGGTTCCCACGTGCTGAAACAGCTTCTGGAGCGCGACAGCATGCTACACGGCGACCCCAACCGACACCAGTCACAGATCAGCGTACTCGAATGTCTGATGTGGGATTTCCGAGACTGGCTAGGCGAGTCCAAGTACATGTATGGACTGAAAACTCTGCCACCCTCTCGCTTTTCCAACAGTAACTCCAATGGCCTCTGGGAATACTCGCCTTTCCTCTGCGGTACAGGGCTAGCCGAAAGTCTGGAGATTGTATACCGTTTCGGTCTGGTGCTCTGGGACAAGGTGCCCGAGCCAATGCTTCTAGTTCACTTACACAACATGCTGGTACAGAAGAAATATCTCGAGAGGCCTATTGGACTTTTTGCTGCTTTGGGGGAAACCTTTTCAGAGGCCTTTTTCGCCGACGGCCGACCCCCTACCTCAAATTTCCAACAGGCCCTCACCAGCCAGATTAACAAGACAGGCACTCATCTCGCACAGCGCCAACGAGCCATGCTCAAAGGGACATCGAACAAGATGCACAGCATGCTAAACCCAGCCGCAAACCGTTTCTTCCGTATCAAGTCCAATCTTCTATTATACCGCGAAAATGGATGGGACCCAGACCGGATTCCCACTGAGGACCTCGGAAAGCACACCTTTTTATACAATCTCCGTTCCAACTACTCAGAGATCTGGCCTACGGGCACACCCGGACCTTCTGATGCGAATAGGTCAGATACCTTCATTTTCGACGGCGACAGTAACCTCATGCCAGCACTGCCGCGACCTGCAAGAGCTGATCACCTGTCGCGACGGGACCTGCTCGAGTTCCTCCGGTATGACATCTACTCAGACGTCTGCGGTCGTTTCCCCTACTCGAGTCTCAACTACTCTTGGGTAACAGCGCGCATTATGACATGTTTCATGATGTTCGAAGACGAGCTGAAAAAGCGCAACAACCCCTTGTACCAGGATATCTACGTTGTGAATAGCGGGCGCCCTGAGAAGCGCGTCTTCCTCGCAGTGGCGGCCTTGTCTGAGACAAATGAAGAGTGTCTGCAGGTTATGGCTAAGATTCTGGAGGAACAGAGAATGGGATGGATGCAGCACATTTACTGGGAAGACCTTGACTCGGACATGGAGCGACCTTTCCAGCGCGCAAGTAAGTTTCGCGGTCATCCAGTAGAGCAAGATGCATGTAGCATTATGTAAAGATTTAGATCTTTTCGTAATTGATGACTATATAGACCCAAAGGGTGTATATTTTCTGGTTCAAAGAGTTTTTTTATAATCTAGGTACCTCGTATTAAAATGGAACAACATCTTTATTGTTAGTACATGTTATAAACTCTGTAAATTAGACTAAAATACTGTGGCTTATCCCACATCTACACAAAGTCCAAGTTATACACTAGGATATTATCTGCAGTCCAGTAGTAGCTCCGGATTCCCTTCATGAAAGAGGTCGAAATTAGGAGCCAGACGCAGGCATCGGACGAACTTATCATAAAATACATGACCACATTCTAAGAGCATCAAATAGGGCTAATGGGGCAGACTCAAGTTTTTCATGGCTGGCTAGACTACGAGAATTGCTTGGGATCTCAAAGCATAAATGTCACGTAGTAGAATAGGAGAGATCAAAGGATAACTACTTGCTCTTACGAAAGAGGCGGATCAAACTCAGTATCAGCCAACTCATAGTCATGATATAGACCGCCGAAATGTGAGAGATTATGCTTTACCCATAGAGTATCAGTACACAAACTTCCACTAGACAGGAAGGTAAGGTATCTTTCTATGTTAGGTCGCTCTCTGGAACGATATAACAGCCCGAGCATAAATTTACCTCGCCACGTACTTCAATACTTTTGCAATTAAAGTTTAGCAACTAGGTAGTAATTCGAAGACGATCAATTGCTTGTAGACTGAAGAGGTTGTCGATTACTTCAGGCATTCAGCCTGAGGGATCTTCATCAGCGAGTCGAATAGTATGAGCGGTGTACCAGTGTATATAATAGCTAGAAACGTATTACTGATTAAACCTCCGACAGCATTTACGAGCTTATGGATCGCCTTAAAGATCTATATCAATACACATTTAGTGGCTGACTAGCGGTGGAAATCTTATTTCCATGGAACAACTCGGCGTATCTTATATAAATTGAGCCCCGTCAGCTTGTCAGCCGAGACGCGCCGCCCGATTCATCTCGATTATATATCAACACGATCTGCGCAAATCTTCAACTTCGAGCTTCCATACGTACATCTATGAACGAATAACATTGGGGATTTGGTACTCAGAATACGACATGAAACTCCCCTACCTCCTCCCAATACTGGGATTAGTCGCCTTGAGTGACGGCAAGAAGATCAAAGAATTTATCGAATCCCCAAGCGACGGCCCTGATCTGTCAGATTACAAACTCACCGCGACTCTTCCCATCACCTCTTTCCCGCCTCCATATGCATGGCCTGACTACGCGCCAAGCTTAACCATCTACCTCCATGCGCCGCAGGACTGGGCTTTCTCAAATGTGTCGAACACTGTGCCAATAGCGCCGGTTCTTGATACTGGTTCAAATGGCCTAATGTTGGACGCTCTGGATTTGAACATTACCAATGCGACACTGGCGGGTTATGAGCCTGGATATCAGTATCTCTCGTCATCAACAAGATTATATCGCGGCGCGTGGGTCCCATTCAGACTCGAATTTGCTGATTCATCCGGCGAGCCTGTCAATGTCTCGGCAGAGGTTCCTGTGCTCATCGTGAACGAGACGCTTCAGTGCTCAGGGTACGATACCAAATGGAAAGGAGATTGCCCTGAAGAGAACACGAGCAATCATAATTTGAACCCGCGCGGCACACAATGGTGGGGTATCGGCTTCGGTCGTGAAGCAGACGGACAGTCACAAGGAACACCGGACAAGAACGCGCTGTTGAACATAAAAAGCATCAACGGCGTGAATGTCTCTGCTTCAAACAGCTACAGAGCGGGATACAGCTTACGAAAGGATGGCGTGGTGATCGGTTTGACTGAGGAAAACACACAAGACTATACCTGGATGAAGTTGGAGATGCAAAAGGGCTTTTCTAAAGACCCTCGCGATTGGAGAAACGTCACCGGCTGCGTTAGCGTTGACGGCGGGACCTGCCGATTATCGAATATTCTCGTTGATACAGGCGTTACCCTATCCTATCTTTCCACCGCTGATAAAGAAGTCCGCCTGGTTCCATCAAACAGTACCTCCAGAGCAAAGATCTTGGCGGCCGGCCAGAATGTGCTGGTTCGTTTTGGGATAGAGCCTGGATATGCAGGGATCCAATACAATTTCACCACTGGAAGCAACAGTAGTTGGGAGCCAGACGAAGTGAGGACAAAGTTGGTGAATTATGGGAGGGAAGAGAAGATAAACACGGGAGTTCACTTCTATCAAGAGTGGGAGACTCTCTTTGATGCAGACGGCGGTTATTTTGGAGTCAAGTATGTCGGGCTATAATAAGGGTATTACATGGAGGATAGACAAAGGTGCAGAACTTGTAGAGTAGATGTACGGATTGGATTATATAATAGTTTTAATTTCTCAAACATTTATATTCTTTATGAATGCTAGTTGAGGCATGTGCCTATTGTCAATTAACACGGTCATGATAGCAGTTTAATAAACTTACATCCCAATCCCACTTGCCCAAGACTTTCTCATTGTTAGAGAGCAACAGACATTGTATAAACCAATCGGAGATATTCGGAACTACTTGCATGCGGGCAACTATTTCGGGCAGTTCCGTTCCCATGCAGCTATTTCAACGGCGGGGGCGAATCTCGCGATGTTTAAAGCTTAAACATTTCAACCCCACACTTGGACCCATCTGTCATTAAACTGTACAGCCAAGACTCTGGAGCCTGAATCTCACCATCATATTACAACTATAAAGGTATGTGCATAGACTCGTTTCGGTAGAAAATTATTCTCTGAATATCTTCCAGATACAAATATCCGAAGCCAGCTCAGTCCGGTCGGCAACCATCTAGAATGTCCACAACAGAGTCTAGCCCGATCCCTCATCCAGCAGAAGTTCCACCCACCATACCTTATATAGACCGTCTACCAGTAGAGTTGGTCGAATTGATATGCTCTTGGATCCTTGTGGATAAGAAGGCAATCATTAAGCCCGTTGATCCTCTGGAATTTACGCAATGTTCACGAACATTTGCAAGACTGTCTCTTACCTCCAAGCGCTATCATCAAATCGCAAATCCATATCTCTACTCAGAAATCCGAATTGGGGCGTGTGACAAGACTTGGTTACCTCGCTTCCTGATCTTCTTGTGGCGTAGGCCAGACCTGCGGCTTCTAATCAAGGAGGTTAACATCTCATGTCTGCCAAAGGCTTTTTTAATCGATCCAGACATTATGGGGCCCATATTGGATGAAATAGCTTCCCATTTCTCCCTCGCCCCTCTTCCTTCATGGCATCCGAAAGATTGTAGTGAAGGATGCAACGAGAATCGTGAACCTTGCGAGCACTTCAAGCGGTTGCTTGTTCTCTTGGCCTTTCTGACGCCAAATGTGAATCGCTGGAGCATGGTGCCACCTCACAACTTTTACTTCACCGAATTAGCCGAGGCGACATGGAGAACAGAAGACATAAGCAAAGCATCTCCGTCTGACCCTCGAGCACTCATGTCTCTGCAACACTTGTGGGTTCCTGGAGCGCAGCCATTTCCTTACTCGACAGACCTCTCGGCCCAGGAAGCAGGGCTTCAACTAGCGGGGTGGCTTCTTCCAAGTCTTCGAACTTTGCGACTACGTAACGCAGGCCTATATCGCCCACTTCAGCGCGGTGTTAGGCTCGACAGCTTGAAAGAAATAGTCATAGATTTCGGTCTTCTAACGGAAGGGGGCTTATTCACTCTGGTTGGGGCGTGCAAAGTCTTGGAGAGCTTCCACTTTTACTCTAGAGGAAACTCCCCAGTTTTCCCTAACGGTTTTTGCGGCTCATCATTGCGTGAGAATTTTCCTTTTGAGTTCTGGCCACGACATATTGTTCCGGCATTCAGCCACCTAAAAGGCACTCTTCGGACCCTTGCCATCAATCGGTGGGATGGTGCTCGAGGAGGGACTGAGCGCGACATCACCATCCACACCGACAATGAGGTCCTTTATGCGCTCTCGCCTGCATGGAAAGGAAGTGCAGCGGACAGGACGATGGGTAGTTTTAAAGATTTTGGAGTCTTGGAGACTCTCAAGCTTGACTCTACATGTTTACATCACCTCAGGACTGGGCCCCGTAGGGACCGCAGAGACCTCCCAGAGGACCATCTCACAAGTCGTCTCCCCCCTTCCCTGCGCCATCTCGTTCTTCCTGGCGCTCCTCCTCAGATGATCCCAGCACTCCATGCACTAGCCTCAAGCGCAGCCTCCGAGTTCCCATCCCTAAGGCTGGTTGAAGCAACGGCCACTGAAAGAGACATTCGCCAACGAGAAACATCGTGGCGCAAGTATAGTGGCCCCAAGGTATTGAGAACCGGATCCTCCAACTTCATAAAACCCGATATCTGGACCTCTCTTGAAGAGAAGTTTGCAGCTGCTGGGGTCCAGCTCAAGCACATTGACTCTGGAAATACCAGCTGTTTTGCAAGGGATGTTCTTGAAAAAGCTGGCCTCGTTGGGCCTGAATCAGAAGAGATGTACGTTGACCCCCAAACTTTCCTCACGTCGGTTTTATTTTGCTGACTGCAATAAAATGCAAATATAGCAAAAGTCGTCTTAACGTTTATAGGGCATGAAGTTTTGGGTATATATAGCATCGTGCTCTTTTGGTTTGATGTTTTTTATTCGCCCCTACCGTCCGATATCCAGCCGATAAGATGCGCATTTGTATAGCGTCTCGTCCGAAAAATATGCAGTAGAGCTATTGCAATTTTGGACAGATGTGTGTCTACCAGAAGAAAATAGCCGGTCGCGGTGATATCAGTGAATTGTTGCGCCTCAGATATTAATTCCAGGTTACCAGGCTATCCTATCCCTTCATGATTCGTGATTATATAGATAAAATCTTCAACTTCAACCTCTTAAAACGTTTCTAGTGCATCTTGATTCCGCACAATTACCAGATATAATGTAAAAGTGGCTACATGTCGTGCTAATATGTCCAATTCGCTGATATCATGCTGGAGTATTCTATTCAGAAGAGAATGGTTGATGTCGTGTGGATGTTATATAGCATGAAGGTATGGAGCTATAGTTAATGAGCTAACTCTTCAAGGTATAATAACTTACTAGGAGGTACGTTGGCAGGTCCAGATGCCCCATTATAAGTCGGAAAACTAGCCTGCCTTAGAAACCTAGTATTGACTCTATTACTAGCATTGTCCCACGACGGTTACTTTTCATCTGAACATGAGTCAGGTTGCAATCTATACTGGCCAGAGGTATTGGGATACAGTAAGCATCATACAAAGCAGGATGACAATTACCATGACAGGTATCCAGTATCTCATCCTATAGCTCTTGTGTTTCGGAAAGAGAGTTCGGTATCTCATGAATCATTCAGCATTAGGCGTCAAAGACTTCTGCTCTACTTTTGATAAGCTATAGTAAATCTATCACGAGATCTCCGTTTAGCGAGACAAAATAGCCTGCTGTGCCCTTCAATACCTTGATAGACTAGTACTACAAACCATTTACGGCTCTTCTACAACAGCCCGGCCTCACCATGGAGGAGCTTGAAACAACAACGTTTCTCCCAAACTTATATAGCATCTTCTCCCGGACTTATATATATCATCAGATTTTCAGGCACTCCATCAGCATCTCTGGCACGGATGCAGCAGCTATGGGGTGGGAGCTGAACGGACATAAGATATCTCCAGTGCCCTATTTCTTCAATCGGACTTTGCCTTTAACTCCATTAGTCTAACTTGCTTAACAGTCAGGTTTCTGCATATACAAGTAATGCACATCTCTTACTAAACGCCTGTTGCGCGCATCCAAAGGTATAGCAATCGCAGCCACAAATAAGAACAAACAAGTCAGACACAAACATGGCTATGGCGAGAAAATCGGCCGTCAATATTGTTCTTGGGGCCATGAACATTGGCAATGGCAAAGAACAATCTCGAGTTACGTATGTCGCCTCCTATGCTACTACTGTAAATTCTTGACTAAACTTGTACAAGCGATCTAGGCGAGGCCGAAAAACTCTTGGATGTCTTCCAATCTCATGGCTACAACGAGATTGATACCTCGCGCTATTATGGCTCTGGAACATCTGAAGAGTATCTAGGCAAGCTTAAATGGCAGGATCGAGGCCTTGTTATAGACACAAAGATCTACCCGACAGTAGTGTTGCCAACAGACAAGGACAAATGGACACACAGGCCAGAACACTTACGAGAATGTCTCAAACAATCTTTAAAAGCCCTGCAAGCCGACAAAATAGACATGTGGTATTTACATGGCCCTGATCGGTCAACACCCTATGTGGATACTCTGAGAGCGGTCAACGAGCTTCACAAAGAGGGACTATTCGATCGTTTTGGCATTTCCAATTATATGTCATGGGAAGTCGCGCAGATCTGCGAGATCTGCGAGGCCAACAACTGGATTCGACCTGTTACTTATCAAGGCATTTACAACGTATTGCACAGGACAGTTGAGGCTGAGCTCTTTCCTTGCCTGAGGCGTTATAACATGGGATTCTATGCGTATAATCCCCTGGCTGGCGGCTTTCTGACTGGCAATTTAGAGAAGAACACCTCTGTAGAGAAAGGGTCTCGATTTGACCCAGAACAAGCCCAGGGGAAGGGCTATCGAGCGCGATATTGGAACGATGCGTACTTTAACGCGGTGGAGATTATAAAACTGGCTGCTGATAAGCATGGCTTGCGAGTCGCTGAGGTGGCCCTACGATGGATGACGAACCACAGTGAACTTGGCTCCGATTATCCAGATGCTGTGTTAATAGGAGCAAGCAGCGCTGCGCACATTGAGCAGAACATACTAGACTTGGAAAAGGGACCGTTGCCCGAGGATGTCATTACCGCGCTGGACAAGGCATGGGAGCTTGTTAGACCAATTACAGGCAAATATTGGCATTAAGAGTTGGGAACTAATATTGTTCAAACTGGGCATTTCTGTAAATAATGCATTGATCAGCCACGATTTATAGCCAATTAGAGATATTCGTAGCTATGCAATACACATTTCATTTGTTTAACTTGTTGTAAGTCATGACGTTATACAAAAACGAGTACAAGGCCGCCTTGGTGTAAGCCACCCATCCCCCAAACACGCTGTTCGTCAGCCAGTGTCCCAAACGGCTATCCAGCAATGCAAACGACGTCGATGCATCAAGATATAATTTTGAGCCAGAGATTGAATTGTCTTGGACTCTGTTTCCGACAACTTTCGAAGAACAAATTACGCACTGTGGAGGTGCATGTAGTAATACTGTAGAAATACCGTACATGTAGTAATATCGTAATGAACCTATGAAAACATCGTGCTGTAGACCAATGCCAGCGCACTGCGCGTAGACAGGCGCTCTACCCCGCCTCAGCTTCATTCAACTTGTCCAATCTTTCCTTCAGCATCTTCTCTTCTCCTCTCTTCTTCTCCTCTCAACATTTCACCATCACGCTCTTTCATCTCAGTAATCAGTTGTTACAGCATCTCATTTCTCTTAAACTTCAAATTTCACCAATATTTGATCCCCAAAGATACGTATCGACATCGCCAACAAAGGGCAAAATGCCAACAGCTCTGCACCTTCATGATCTCCCTCCCGAGCTGCTTCGTCTTATTCTGACCTCTTTCGACTCCCTTTTCGACCTGTACTCATTCATCCGGGCATCGCCTGAATGTTTTCGCATCTATCGGATTACTCCCGAGTTCATTCTCTCCTCTGTTCTCAAGCGCGCGATACATCCCGAGGCTCTCCACCATGCACTCGCTATAAGCCTTGTCGATCCGGAAGAGTCTGTGGAACTAGCGGAAGACGAGCAACATTGGCAGTTTCTTGACAGCTATTTCCAACGTGACTCTACGCTGTTCAAATTCCCAACGACGATGTACGGCATCAAAACGCTAGCGAGTGTGAATAACATGGTGTCGAGATTTGTAGATGACTATATATGCCATACATTACATGCGTTATATGCAATTGAGGAAACAGAGCAAGATTTCCATCGCCCAGCAGTTCCATGCTCATCGCATGCGGCTTGCCAAGCTGGATTATCTGCTACAGAGAAAGGAAGAATACAGAGGGCCTTCTTCCGGTATGAGGTTTACTCGCGCTGTTTCCCCGTCAGTCCGCGATTACCCGACGAGTCCATCTTTGCAGCAGATGATCAATTCAAACATTTCCTTCAACAGATGGCGCCTTGGGAGGTAGAAGAGCTAAGCAGTCTCCATGAATATTTTTGGGTTCGAGCATCGAGAATTTTCAGTGAAGTAGAGGAAGAAGTTGTGGTGAAAGTTCTCGATGCTCAAACTGCAACAGCATCAGCAATCAAAAAAGCTCAGATGAGGCAGGCAGAGTTCCGTCGTCTGCTAAAAACGAATTCTATCGAATGCGATGACGGCTGTTGCGAGTTCAGACCCTCGGACGAACGTGGCCTCGAACTATTTGGCGAGGATGATAGAAGCGCATTACCAGATATCCTAAGATATCTAATCTCCCTCGGACTACCCTTTTTACAATCTTTACTCTTTTCACAAGGTCAAAGGAGAAAAGATCTTATCCGTCGTAACTACTACGGAGAACGCGAGTTTCTCCCCCACGCTATATACGAAGATCCGAATCCATCCCAGGCTCCCAAAGATCCTGAAAATATATCAGATAATGACATCTCCCATGTAAACTTGGGCTATCTTCTATTTAGACCATCAAGCGTCGAAGCTGTCCTCTCAGCCATGGGCATTGCTAGATACTGGCCTCTCCGACGGTTAGGATACGTCTTTTGGGATATTGAACGAGTTCGCGACCCAGAGGTTAACGAGAGACTGCACAATGCAAGAGACTGCGACCCTAATGTGGCCAAGAAAGCGTTTAATGAGTTTATACAAGAAAGCGCAGAGACGCGTTTGAAAGGCATGAAACTGCCTAGGACTTTGATGGAGGAAATTAAGAATGATTACACCGTTATGTTTGCTGAACCCATATTGGAAACTGATTCTGAATCAGATATGCTGGACTCTGAGGAAGATTCTGAATAGAGCGTTATATTAACGGCGAGAATTGACCGGTATCACATAGCTACATTGGCACTATTGCAACCGCAAAGTGTGAAGTACACAGAATCAGTATAGTATCCCATACTGCATGTGAATTTCCAGACTAGTTAACGTAAAAGTGTATTTATATTGCTTCATAGAGAACTAATAAACGCTTCATATATACAAGACCTTGGCAACCGCAAGGTTAAGCAGATGCCGCTGCATGCTTCGCAACCGCCGCCTTGAGCATATCATCAGTAGCGTATTTATTGATAAGCTCGCTCTTGAACTTATTGTGTGCCTCTTTGTCTTGCTTATCTAGCATCTCACTGTCTTTATCCAGGAGTGGATGCGAATCAGTCAATTCGCTGAGAACAGAGACTAACATGGCGTTCTCCTCCGTGGCTCCCCCGCCCCAAGACTTGTACTCCGCGTCCTCCTGCAGACCGTGCATAATAAGCATAACTCGCTCGAAATCTACCGCAGCCGGTTCAAAGGTAGTTATCACCCGGCAGCCCTGCTCACCGGCCCGAAACGTGTGTGCTGTATGTTTCGGGACAGTGTTGTCCTCTCCGATTTTCATTGGGATCTCCTTCATGGCTGCGGCGTCCTTGACTCCCTCCGGTGCCATGATGACGGTCATTTCGCCGGAGAGGAGTTTGAAGTTCTCGGTGAAGAGCGTGTGAAAGTGAGGGAAGGTGGTGGATCCCGGACCCAGCTCCGAGTCAATGACGGAGCGCTTGCCGCCGTTGAGTAGGCCGGACTCGGTGAGCGTAGGAATCTTATCCGCCATGATTGCTGTTTTCAATTGGCTGGAGAATTTAAACAGTCTCGCAATTGCTGGGTTGAATGATTTGCTTTAGGTCAGAGAACTGTACGCATGAATAGCGCAGCTGCTTCTATCATATATACTAAATCTTGAAGAGGAGTCTAAAACTACACGAGCTTTCATTTCTACACTGCCACTCTATATTCTGACGAGTAATCTACGTATGCATGTCAGACTCGAGACTGTTCCATAGCGCTGAGATTAGCAATTTTTAAACCAGCACGATCACCAATCGTCGCACTAGTAGTTGTTGGTCTCTATATTAATGGGGTCATAAACGAGTAACGAGTCTTTTAGGCAGCATGCGAACCACTCAAGTTGCCAAGTTAGGGCGTCGCCAGATATGGCAATGGCCGCGCCGTTTACTAACCGACCGTTCATCTCTCCACCTCTCACGTTTGGGGTATTGTGTTAACTTGGCACGGCGAGCAGAATGGGACATATTTCTCGCTGCTATAAAGTACCTAGACTAATGAAGAAATAAACAGAGAGACGGCAGCCACCAGCTGACGATTGACTTCCAGATGTGTACCGCGCGGCAATTACACGCACTTTTCATCTACGGTAAACTCTATTGGCTTAATTCTTCACAGGCTAGCTTCAGATTATTTATCTCGTCTGACTGGCGCAATAATATCACAACCCCTCAATTCTATAGTTTAGGCTAGGTATGTAAGTGTTCTGTTATGTAAAATGTCAATTGATGGCCATCGGGTGAGTTCTATGGGATAAGAGAATGTGTGAGGGACTTTGAGCAGAATCTAGAGCAAAAGAATGTTGGTGGTGGCTACCAGGCAGTTGAGAAGGAATTACAAAAATAAACTCGACTTACACAACAGAGCTAAGACTGACCAATAGCTGAGCCAAGGAGCTGAATCCCCTCACATATGATGTTGATGACAAGGGGTCTAACACCCAAAAGGGGACTTAGTAGGCATAAAGGGTTCGCAAAAGGGGCTTCTTATGCTTTATAAACTGCATGCCATTGTTTTATCCTGGGGATATCTGTTTGCATCACTGCAACAAAGAATGAATATACACATAAAGTCTCAAAAAGCATAAAGCCTTGCGCAAATACAGAGAAAACTGCGTATATGCCATGTGTGGCAATTTTTTGAGCCGCAAGTGGTTACTGATAGTTCACATATAGACTTATTAGGGAGCCGCATGCTAGAAATGGTAGATAGTAATCACGTTAGCAGACTCCAGCTTAAATCGGTTTATAGAACACAGTGTATTAAATTACCCAATCGATTAGTTATCACATACGTGGTCACATTTCGCTCCTACTGCCGCTTTCTGTGATTATATGAGTATATAGATTACTAAACATCTATTCATCCAAATGAGATGGTATCAATGGCGCCCTACAGACATGTGGACACTCGAGAGCGATCTCTTAGCGAAGGCCGCAAGTATCTGTATAGACATATCTAAGTTAGATCTCATCTAGTAAAGGCCACCCTCAGCAGCCATATAATAACTCAGAACGAGGCGCATTGTTAAAATTTGCAAGACCACTGAGAGTATTCATCAACTTGGAAATCATATGGCTTACTTTGGGTTTCTATATAAGGCAACTCACACGTCTGTACAGTCCGCCTTGTTTCGATGCTCTTAATGACATAAAGGCACCATTGAGGAGCGCGGATGGCAAGAGTCGGAATTCACCGAATTATTGTCGCCAGTTAGCTCAACTCTATTCAGTATCACCGCTCGACTACAGAGACAGATCTACTGAGAGCAGTAATTCCGCCTCCATGTTAAATGGCGCGTACCCCGTGCTGTGTTGCTCCGTAAGCATGAAAAATACGCCATATCGGTGTTCTAGGAGTGTCTGCTATACCGTTCAAGATAGATGTACTTGATTATCTAGCCAATCAAAAAGAGTCTACTCACCTGCTGGAAGCTTTTGCATTGACATCCAATAGCAGAGGTTCCTATGGTTTAAGACAATTACACCATATGCATATATCCTCTTTAATCTCTATAGTACTGCACACATTGAGTTTTGCGGAACGTTGGGCTTCAGCTTGATATAGACACTCTAACAGGGATACCTTTTCTGACATCTTTGCTTGTAGCAAAAATATGTCAGCATTCGTGGTGGTGTATAGAGGAGAAGTTGAATGATGCTAATACATTCCCCTCCATGTATTAAAAAGTCCATTCTGCTGTTCGTCTGTACAATTCTAGTTGCTATAAATACCGGAATAAGCATGATCCAAAAAAACGTGGATGGGCCCTCGCCCTTGCTACCCTGTTCATTTCAACTATTAGGAATCTTCCAGAAGATTACATTATGCTTCAGTATAGCGGTCAAAAGAAGCAAGTAGCATAGGAGAAACTAATGTTACATTTGTATGAGAACCTAATCCTACTTATTATTAATTGGAAGCGTCAACGTGCTGTCCCACCATTCCGAGGATTTCCGAACATTTCCGATCCTACAGATACTAGCTTCTGAGAAATTAGATATTCATTGAATCTGTAGGGTCTATGCACGCAAGCGGAGGATAGAAAAAGCGGGACCAGGAAGATTTCGAACACACACAAGTTAAACCATACGCCTACAAAAGGAGTAGCTGCTATATCTATATTTCTCAAGTAACTGCTACTATATTTATATTTCTCTAGTAACTGCTACTATATCTATCTTAATAATAAAGTTCGAGTGCTGGTTAAGTAGATGTTCTACGAGCTATTTAAGTGCTTATATTACTAAATGTATGTACGTATTTATTTCGTAGTCTCGCTTTTTCTGTCCTCCACTTGGCACGGTAACGTCTAGACCATCTAATACTCGATTGAGTAGTGCCTTGTCGCAACCCCGCTGCACACTTGTATCGTAGCAGCAAGCTCATTGGATGCAGACTCAAGGCTTTTATTTTGTGTGTTGCTCCCATAGTGGTTATGCTTACATTACCAACGCATTCAGCTCGTCATTGGCAATCCTACTCTCAACATATATTACTTACTATACAGCCGGGCGTCAGAAATATACAAGGGATCAACTATTCGTCAACCAATCTCTTACATACTCATATTACTCTGCACACCTCCTTACCTAATAAGGAGAGCTTCTAACGACTTGTGTAAATGTTTACATCGTGGAGGCCATTTGGGGTAAGCTCTGTATCCACTCGGGTATCGCTCGACCTTTGTGCCTGGATCTAGATCCTGTTTCGCCCCCCGGTTATTAATGACAAACATTAGTAAGAAATGGTCAGAGATTAGACAAGTATTATGCATAAATGGATTACTACGATGCGAATTGAGCATTTCCGGAGTAGTCATGTAGCCAATTGGCCTATTTGTCATTCATCAAATATTGTCAGAGTATAAGAATGCAATAGAGTCTTGGAACAATGAGGCAGAGAAATCCCTACGTGGCAGACAACTTCAATTACTAGTTATACAGTCTCAAGACGATATCTTGTCAAAGATGCGTGTCTCACTAGCTTCTATTTTCTTGGGCATGTCATGTCTTGCACATGCCCACTCATACGCTGTGACTACATACGCTCCTGTGCCTTCAACAGCCATTGGCCCTCCTGTCAATGACGAAGGATACCGTGTGCAATCGCTTGGAGGAGGAGCATATTTGCTCGCCGATGGTACATACCAATCTTTGTTCTTCGTCACTCCCAAAAGCGTTATTATGGTCGATGCACCGCCGACTACGGGAGAAAACATCCTTGCCGCAATTCGATCGGTAACACACCTGCCAATCTCGCATCTTGTCTACAGCCACTACCACGCCGATCACATCGGAGCAGCATATCTTCTCGCCAAGAAGGGCGTTACCATCATTGCCCACGAATTGACCGAGTACGAACTCAAGATTACACCTGATCCAAACCGGCCGCTGCCCCATGTCACTTTCAAGGGCTCCCACACCTTGCACATCGACAACCAGACTCTTCAGCTGGACTACCATGGCCCTATCCACGCTCCCGGAAATCTTTTCATCTACGCGCCAAAGCAAAAGATTCTCATGCTCATCGACCTTGTCTTCCCTGGTTGGGTACCTTTTGCAAACCTAGCAGAAGCACAAAATGTCGGCATGTTCATCAAAGCACACGAACTGATCTTGGAATACGACTTCAAATACTACATTGGAGGGCACGTTAACCGTCTCGGGGATCGCAAAGATGTTCTTATTCAACAAGAATACGTGCAAGACGTATACAACAATGCCCGCACGGCGATTCTTCTCAGCAACAGCCCTCCTAACGCAACAAACCCACTGTCAATTGGTACCATTCTAGGGCCCATCCAGGAAGCTAATCCAAACAATACATGGGCATCGTTTATTGGGTATGTCGATACTCTTACAGAGTATTGTGCGAATGTGACGACCCAGAAGTGGCTGGGTAAGCTGGCAGCTGCAGATGTGTACACACTCTCGCACTGCGAAACTATGGTGGAATCGTCTCGCATCGACTATGGCTATTTAGGCCCATTTGGTGTTCAGGGTTGAGCATAAAGAAGAGTTGTGAGAGGTGAACACTGAATAATTGGCTCTGAGTAGCTTGACTCTGTTGGTGAATTGCTTAGTCTTTGGTACATAGCGAAGACGTCATAATAAACGCTTCTTCTAATCACTACTATTATTCAACAAACTCACACATCCATCAAATATCACGTAACTAGCACCTGCTTATTATATAATTTGTATGCAATTTATGAGAGGGGTATTCTATGCATGTTTTGTACGCTGCTATGCTAGATAAGAAGCCATCATATCATCAATCTTTCGGTGGTCGAGTGGCATTGATCTCTTTCAGAATTGCATCCGCCCCCGCCTTGACCAACCTTTCAGCCAACTCCTGTCCAAACTTCAGAGCTTCGTCATTGGTCTTCACAGCTGCATCGATGGAATCTTCGACGCTTTGAGTACCATCAAGACTAACCACAATTGCTCTCATCCTCAAAACACGATCTGATTCGTCCACCCACTCCGTCTCTACCCCAATCGGGACAGTACAACCGCCCTCAAGAGTAAACAGCAAAGATCGCTCAGCAAGACAAGCCAAAGTAGACTTCTCATCAGCCAGCTTGTCCAACAGCTCCAAGACCTTGGTATCTCCCTTCCGGATCTCCAGGCCCAGCGCTCCCTGGCCAACTGCGTGAAAGATCCCGCCGTCCTTGGAACCCAAATACTGGTTGATGCGGTGCTTGAGACCAACCCGCTCGAGACCTGCTGCGGACATGATCATGCAAGTATACTCACCTTCGGGATTGTCAACCTTTGCTATCCGAGTTTCCACGTTACCGCGCATGTTGGCAAAGCGGAGATGAGGGTAGAGGCGGCGAAGCTGCGCTGATCGCCGGACCGATGAAGTGCCAACAACTGCGCCTTCAGGCAGCGTCTGCAGGCTGGTATATGGCAGTCCGGCCTTTATAATCAGAGCATCACGGGGATCATCACGGAGGGGAATGGCTGCCAGATCGCATGAGTCAGGAAGCCTAGTCGGCATATCTGTTTCACAGTTAGAAAGTCTCAGTGGGGCTGATGCGAGAAGGCGTCACGGGCTTGTGCAGGTAGGTAGTAGAGGTTACCTTTGAGACAATGAACGACGACATCCAATTCGCCAGAGGTCAACTTCTCTTCCAATTCAGCGGTCCATAGGTTCTTCGCTCCAAAATTGTAAAGCTCTGTGGATTTGTCCTTGTCCCCAAGAGTGTGAAGCGCCTCAATCTCAAAAGTCCGTTCAGGCGCAATCCTCTTGAGGCTGTCGCGGATGCCCTCAGCCTGCACAACGGCGAGGTTTGATCTCCGCGTGCCAATCCGCAGCGGCGGCTGAGTTGCTTGAGAAAGTTCCGCCATTATAAAAGTTTTATGCAATAGAGACACACAGAGATGGAATGCGGGGAGTTTGTAGTGATGATATTCTCGCAATTGAGACTAAATTGTGTGGGCGGTGGATCCTCGGAGATCTTTCGTCCGTAGGATTGAGTTATCAAAACTTGCTCAGAGAATGGCAACGTCAATGGCCCATGGACAAATACACAAATTTTAAATATCAAACTTTTTTATTAACTGCGTTGTGAGAATATACTCGCATTTCAGTTATCTCGGCGCCAATTGACGCTTTTTAGGGTCTATGTACCGAGTTGAAAGTTGATCATATTAGTGTTAGACGAAGTTATCCAAAACTGTGGGCGGTAGCGATCAACTCAATTCTGGTGATATATCAGCATTGAAAAAAGAGTTTTATAGTTTGCTGGATTAACCAGATGAGTTTTCTTATTATCTTTTGCCGTTGTCGGGTGTCTGCTTCATTTTTACGCATGGTATTATGGTCATCGAAATACCGTCTCGCAACCGACCTACCCATCTATGACCCAACCAGAAAATCAGTTAACACCACGTAAAGCCCGCTGTTACAATGGAACGAATACCAAATTTGATGCTTTAGACACTGTCTGGGTATGAGTGGCGCTCTCTGACTCTTCTCAAGGAAATAGCATTACCTAATGCATACATGGACTCATACCATTGCCGCCGGTTCTCTACCACGGCCACCAGAGAAGGATTTTGTCAGACAATAGTACCTTTACAATAAGAAAGGGGTCAAAGTATAGTTCTTACTGTAGTTAACAAGGATTCATCATCATCATCTCGATAAGGTTATGGAAGCTATCTAGCAGAAAAGAGAAGCGACAAGGGTGGCTATAGTTAAAGTTGGATCACAGGTTGGAGGTATCATGTGATGCCAATAGATCCCAGCCACATGCATGGGGGGAATTGTGCGAGGTAGGGGTCGCATTAAATAGAGTACGAATCCTTCGTGCTTCGTTCAGCTGGAGAAAATCCACGCTTTGGCCAAGTGAGTAGAAAAGAAGTATGACAGGTACGCCTATGAATGAGGAGAGAGAGTCATATATCAGTGACTGGATAGCACCTTCATGGTCTTTGTCGTGCGTCTACAACTTGACCTCCTAGCCAGAGCATAGGCATTCCTAAGTCGCAAACTTAACCGTGTCTTTCATTGCTAATAATGCATAATTCGGGATCGAGATTCGTGTGCGAATGTGACAATCTTCGCCGGTAGTGTTCCATCCGCCCGTTCAGCCACTCACCCTCACCGACTTCCTACATGTGATGTTTCTCTACGTGTCAATGAGTCATGTAAAAGACAACTGCGAGGGATGTCTCTCGTATGCCTGTCCATCGCTTGTCGTCCAGAGCAGCTCTGCAGCTTCAGCTTCGACTCTTCATCCCCAGCCGAGAGACAAGCGATGGCGATGTACGGGTACATGTTCGTTTAGACATGCGGTCAGTCGAGTCCCGTCGATGGCATCGGCAGTGTCGGCATTCACTGGCAGCATGGTTTCTCATGCCAGCTCCACTAGGCTCTTTTTGCCAAAGAAAGAGACACCAAGAGTCCAGGATATTTTTAGTTCATAACGGCGTTTGGCGCCAACGACGATGCCAATGCCAATGCAACCGCAGACACCCTTGGAGGACATTCACTCGCCTATTGTCATCTCCTTGTCCTATTGTTGCCTGATTTTTCGTTACCTAATTGAAATCCAGCGCTGCTGAGGAGACATGCAGTGCTTCGTACGGAGTAGATGTGCTCCATTCCGCGGAGAGGGTTGCGTTCAATATTTGATGCAGATGCCCGTCTTCACGTGATAGTATCGGATGTGATATACAATCACGATGGATCCCCCTCAAGACAGCGCCAAGAACAGTATAGCCGGCGATACCGCGCAGTAGTATTTGCTCATGAGTCGGATAAGGAGCAGAAATGCAATGGTGAAACCGGGTGTCGGTTCGATCAGACCGGACGAGTAGTGCTGCCTGGGTGTGCATTAGCAGGAGGCAATTCTTTGCACTCAGGAGAAAGCAGCTCAATCTCGGTGTTATCACGGTGCGGGCGATTTAACAGCCGGGCAAATTATTCTTCCATGTACGAGTAACTCCGTAACGCAGCGCGTGCTAGCAGCAGCACTCACAAGCCAGCTCTCGACGATTTTCATCCCACGAGACGCTGTGGCGTTTTAGACGAGATTGCGTTCAAACGCGGAAATCCATGGAAGCGATCCGGAAAATTACAGCTCATATCTGGCAAACATGCGGTCTGCCGATAAACTGTGAGGCGCAACGGCGGACGTCCAATTGGCGCTCTTGGAAAAAAAAGTGCTCGAGGCACGCACACGATTTGAAAATGAGGCGGACTAACTGTCACCTAGACTAGCACAGCTGCGCTTCCAATGAGGATCAATGCGAAAGTGACAAATGACAAGGACAGCAGCTTGGCAAGGGTCGGCTCTTGCAATGGTGCAGTGCCGTTGGCTTTAGTGGCTTCAATTGCCATTCAGGGGTTAGAAATTATTGATTAAATTCGGCGGTAGACCGAAGGATGGCGTGTGGAGTAAGTAGAGTAGGGGACTGGAGTGTGTGGAATCTGGAGGTGGAAGAAAACAAAATGTCTGCAGAGAGAGAAGGGGGGGAGAGATGGACGAGGAGCTGATGGGTACTAAGGGAGAAAGCCGTTGCAAATTCAAGCATCTACAGCACACCCTTTTGTACGCGCAACGACCAAGACAAAGACAGGCCAAGACACGCAGTAATCCGTGCTTGGACGAGATTGTACAGGCACAGGCACAGGCACAGGGCGAAGCAAAGCAGAGGCCCAGATCAGCCGCCGGGCGGATCACGATAGCGGCCCACCTGGAGGTCCAGCCCTAGGCAGGCCGGCTGTCTGTGGGCCGCGGGAACCGCACCTGTTTTGGTTTTGACATTGATTGTGTGGAGATGAAGAATCTCGACTCGGCTCGACTCGAACTCGTCGCGGTACATGTACATGCAGCTCTTAACTACTGGATACTAAATCAAGCGTATGCTGGAAATAGTAGTAGTAACTATTGATATCTTCCACCCGAACTCTGCAGCACATCTCCATCTTGGCACCTATATTGGCAGGTGGCGTGTTCAACGGTTATGTTCTGACCAGGTTCTTTGACACAGCCCAACCCAGCCCAGGGGGTGTTGCTGAAAATACCACCTCTCTGACCCTTCACTGCCGCGATTACTACCACCATACGGATGCTCGTTGCGTAGATCTCTCGATCGAAACAAAAGTCCCGAAATTGTTTCCGAACAGCATCTGGCCTTGCCCAGGCTCTTTGGTTTTTTTTTTTTTTTGCCCAAAATTTTCTATCATGTCTCTTCCCTCTTCCCCCTTCTCCCTTCTCTCTTCCCTCTCTTCTCTTTTGGCCTATGGCTGCACGAAACGTTGCCTTACATGTCGGTGGCTCACATTACGCCCCCAACATGGACAACTCGAGCGCCCAACAACACCTACCTTTGAAGTCGAGATTTTGTTAGCCACATGCACATGCACATGCACATGCAATCCATCCAAGAAAGCCCGAGCATCAAAGGCTTTTAGGCTTTAATGGCCCACGTTTCAGGCTGGCCCGTGCAGCGCTGCGGATGCCATGTCCGAGAGGGGATATTGATCCAAGCGTAGGTAGCCTGCAGTGTCCTTTTTCATTCTCGTCTCCCTGCCTATCAGTCGATTCCGGTGACCTTTCCCCTTCCATGTTCCCTTTGATCTGCGCCTTGTCCTTATCAGATGGCGGCACTTGTCTCCAAGACGGAAATATGCGCCGCACCAAGTTGCAGCAGCCGCATGCCCGATTACAGTGCATGTAGCACGCCCACTCGTGATTTTTTTTTCTTTGTCTAGCCCCCTCTGTATTCTCTGCACTGTAACGTGCTCGTACCTGTACGTAAGAGCGAGCCCAGTCCAGGCCATGCATAGCATTACCTTAATGCGCAGTAACCCAGGCCAGGGCTGCATAACAAGATCTGAGATCTGATACAGCAGAGCGAAACTAAATGCGACGAACCTACAGCACTAAGGCAGGCCCCTTGCCGGACTCGCAAATGGCGAATAAGGATCCGCACGACCTGCAGAGGGCGAGAGAGAGGATACAGTAAAAGGGGTGCCTAGAGGGAAAACATCAATTGCGAGTCGAAGCATCATCGTCGACGCAACTTGTAAGACCGTTGAAAAGCAAGCAGTCAGCTGTGCCCTGTAACGCGCAGGCCATGTACCTGTACCTCAGCGCCTCTGTCCGCATGCACTGCTCAGCCCACGTCATACGCCCAACAGCCCAACAGCGTCGCATTCTTCAGGCTCCATCAACGCCTTTCCCCGCTACAATCGGCGGCCCATTGTCGCCATTTGGCGCTTCTGCGGGGAATCGTAGCCCCCTCTAAAGGATTGCCTCGAGCTACTGCCGGGCTAATGTACCGGTACGGCGGGCTAATGTAATGTCGACACTCTCTGCCCCCATGCCGCATGCCTCTCGCCAGGCCGGTTATCTGTACAGTACTTGTACTTCCATGTTTGATTCAACCCATTGACTTTTTTTGGTCCCCTTGTGCGCCTGACTTGGGTACAATTGGCACGTCGAAAAAGCTTTTTGACTGACCTCGAACCCTCGACCATCATTATCACCACCGTCAACCATCAAACATCGCCATTGCCATCACTTGGGATCATCACCAGCACCGCCGTCACCATTTATTAGCAGCCCGCCATCGCCATCCCCCACCATCATCGCCACCTGATCACCGTCATCAAAGTAGCTATTTAAGCATCACCCTGGCATCATAATCGCCTTCGCCATTGCCGTCGCTATCATCACCTCTTCTCCTCGCCATCCATGGCTTCTCCCATGTCCATATCTCAGCTCCCCAATGAGCTCGTCTCCTACATCCTCAACTTTCTCGATGAACCTTCCATTTTTGAGCAGTACCAATACGATGACCCAGCACACATCCCAGGCCCCGATGATGTGCCCTCGTCTGATTCCTTCCGTGGCACCATCAAAAGCGCATCTCTAGTTTGCCGCCTCTGGAGACGCTGCACCCTACCTCTACTATTTCGAAATGTCGTCTGGAGATTTCAGCACATGGCTCGTCCGTCCAGTGGCGAGGACCCGCTCAGCACCGTTGACGAACTCGAGTTTCTGCGCTTCCTTGTCATGACTGGACTTTCACGATACGTCGATAGCCTCAGTATCATTATCGATTATCCCGTGACGGAGATTGGAGAGGACTTTAACCATCACACTAATTGGGGCATCCTCCCAAGCCATTGTCCTGCCCTGATCCACCAAGGACCAGGTGGCGATCTTGTTGCCGCCGGGCCATCCTATGACAACAACTCCAAATGCCAGTCCAACAATTGGCTCTGGCAGACCATCTTCGAGCACCTTGATCTGTTGACCATCAACCTCATCAGCTCTCCTGCTATTCTCGCGTCGCTACTAGGTCGGCCAATTAATTTGTCGGGGTGCTGGATCTTCCGCCAGAAATTCCATATCCTCTCCCTTTCCAGATCAGCGGACACACGTCATCAAGTCACCACTCCATCGAGCAACGCGACAGCACTGGCAAACACTTCATTTGGCAACAGGGCACAGACAACCGTTCCTTGCTCCCTCTTCAGCATTCGTCCGTGGGATTCGATGCTCCTTAACGAAGGGTCTTCAGTTAAGGTCTACGCAACATACGAATACTTCAACCACGTGCCCCCCTCCATTTTACCTGCGTTACTGGATTCCGGGGATGAATCCATGCAATATCTCCTACGCAACTCCCTCCGCTCCCTTTCCTACGTCGCCATCTTCCCGCTCGCCACACACATAAACGACGTCCTGATCCCTCGCGTCCCAGCTTTGGAAAAATTCTACATCCAGATCGTGCCCCGAGCACCCAGCTTCGCTGAGGACGACTACCGCCATCCCGCCATGGACATTTCAGATCTGTGGATGGAGCGAAACACGGCCTACGCGCAGCTCGTCATGGCCATCTTCGACCCGCCTCCCCTGGGCTCTTGGAGCAGCCTGCAATACTTTGAGTCTGGAGATGCCGTAGACAGGGAGGCATGGGAACAGGCAGTACGATATGTGATATTCGCTGCGGGTGCAACTTGGAAGGTTGCTGGAGAGGGCAAATTCGTCCGGAGGAACGAAAAAGTGCCCATGGCGGTTCTCCAGGCCACTTAACGGCGATTGTTATATCTTTTTTCCTTTTCTTTATTTATCTTGGGATTATCAAAGTATTATTGAATAATTATTGCATAGGTTTAGCATAGGTAGTTTGTCGGAATGGGTCGGATTTTGGTCATTGCGGGGTTTATTTGCAGGATATGGGACATGAGGCATCTATTGGGTAATTCACACGGGCATTGGATATGGGAAGGCATCAAGATTGCAAAGGATACCAAAAAGCATATTTCTATATTTGGACATCAATGAAATATTACATGTGATTTTTGACAGGCATCATAAAGGGGGGCCGTCGGAGCTGTCGGTGTCATCGGCATCCTCGGTGGCTTTCGGCATTATATATAGTGATTAGTTGCATGAATAAGCACCTTTTTTTAAAAATATCTTGTAATATTGATGATTCCAAGAGGAACCCTTTTACAATATGTCCGTTCCCAAGTCGGGGAGAAGTCAATGCCTCCACAGCAATATATAGCCCAAAGGAAATACAATCCCACCATGCCCACAGTTATACTGCTCTGCAGTAATACTAGATAGTTCCAAAATAACAAGCATGCATCCACCGCATACCAAGTATGTATGTATATAAATCCCACTATGCATACACAAACGCCTCTAAACCGGGTCTGTAAATCCGTCTAAAAGAGGAAATATGCTTATAAAACAACGACAATGTATCCAAACCAGTCAACTCAGTCCTCATGGCTGCTCAAGTCGCCGTCCTCATCACTATCAGTCAGATCCACCCTCCGCTTCTCCATCTCATGCTCCATCATCTCGCGGTACGTGCTCCAGCTGAGCGCCCCGAAAGCGACAATGATCATGGAGCCGCCAATCACGGCCGCCGGGCTCAACGGCTGGCCCGTGATGAACCAGTCCGCAATGGCAACAATGAAAATGGTCAAAAGGGCAGCGACGGACGAGAGCACGGGCGATGTAAGGGAGATGAGGATGAGGAACGACGCGCTAAAGGTGGCGTTGGAAAGGACAGCAAACAGGATGAGCCAGCAGGTCGAGGCATTGGGGATCTCGAAAATCTCCCACTTGAGCCAGTTCAGGATGGGAAGGGGAATCCAAAGCACAGAGATGGTGAAGAGGCCAATGCAGGAACCAAACGTGTTTGCGAATATCATGCCCCGACCAGGGGAGCAACCATCGGGAGGGCAGGCAAACCGCTTGTACAAGACTTCGTACAGGCCGTAGAGCACGGAGCCAATGCCGATGACAATGTTGCCCAGGAAGCGGCTGCCAGCATCCACGTCGCTCTCGCCCTCGCCCAGGCTCTGGCCGTCGGCAGACGAGGAGCCAGAGCCGGTATCGCCATAGGCCACCACTAGGACACCGACGATGGCGATGATGACAGCAACCGACTTGTCCATGCGCAGCGGCTCCTTGAGCAGAGGCACGGAGAATGCGTAGGCAAAGAAAGCAGAGCAGTTGTAAATGGCGGTGAGGTCAGATGGCGTGGTGAGGCTGACGGCGACATACCAGCTCAAGCCGGCCACGGTCAACGCCGTCGTGATAAAGGCTGTGGTGCGGGCCAGGTAGCGGACAGACTTGGACGCGGGCCGCTGCAGGCCAAAGACATCGAGCGTCTGGAGCTCGACCATGAGTGCCGTCGACTTGACCAGCTGCACGTGGCGCCTCCAAAAGGTCGGCCACGGCATATCGCGCTTCTGCAGCCGCAGGATGAGCAGCTGGGCTGGCCACATCAGCACCCACGAGCTGTGCGTGAAGAACATCATGCAGTAGGCCTTGTCCCAGCCCAGGTCGCCCTGGATGTAGGCGCTCAGCTCCGTCTGCACGCAGAACGCAACCAGGCTCAGCACCAGGAAGAAGGCGGCGTACGTGTACTTCTTGCGAGCCGACTGGGCGGCCAATTGGCCGGGGCTGCGGCTGCGCATCGTCGAGCGTCGGGTCATTGCCGGTCGGGGCGCGGGGGAGTCGTACAGAGGCCCAGAGGCAGAGTTGGACGCGCCGGAGAGTCTGTCGCCTGAGGATCGCGAGGATCGGCCTCTCTCGACGTCCTTGTCTTCCAAGTCGTCGGGCTTCGACAGCAGGGGCTCGCTGGATCGGCCGTCAGCCGTCGTCTCACGAAAGAGGCCGGGTCGAAGATTATCCGAGCCCATGATTTGCGTCCAAGAGGGCACAGATCGTCGCCGTTTTCGTCGCAGTTAAGGGTCCCCGTTTGGAATGATTGATGGTTCAGCTCCGTTGTCTCTCTCTCAGGAGCGAAAGCGTCGTTCGGATGGCTCGTATTCGGGCGATGGCCGCCAGCAGTATTTCGTTTGGCGCGAGCGTCGCGGAGACGTTGGCTGTTGCGGGAGCATGTGGCTATCTCGAGCGAGATGGCGAAAGGAGCGCAAGTCGGGAGTTTGTAGACAATGTATGTACTGTACAGAAGAGAAATCCACGACTCCGTGCTCCGGAGATTCGAATCTTCACTGGTAGATAATTGGCAGGTCTAGCGCAGATCCTTGGGCTTGGCAATGGTGAGATACGACGGGTTTCAAAAATGAATGGGAGTTGGATTCAAGAGATGAAAAGGATGCCGTCATCAGACGGTGCTGACGGTGCCTGTAAACCCCCAGGCTCTGCCTTATGGGCGGCCACTAGGGAGGCCCCTGAGGGACCCCCAAAATCCTCCGGGGCAGGCTATTGGATTTTCTAGCGTCGCACTGGAACCTGTCAGAGGCTGCACTGTAACAGCTGATGGTCGCAGTCGGTCCCATCACACGGACAAGCACGCAACCTACAAACGCCCTATGCGGACTTGGTGGATGACGTACCCAGGCAGTGTAATAGCAGTTGAGGCTGAATGTGAAAACGGGTGCGATCTTGTCTTACATGTACCGATACTCGCGAAGTGGTCAGATAAGCATGTGTTTGCAAGGGAAGTAAGACAAATTACATGTATTGATGTTTCCGTACTGTGCTCAAGATGACTACGGAAGCTGCAGAAACAATGAGAATATGGAAGACGTACGGGGTCTATGGGCCCATGGCCGCCGATAGAATTGCTAACTCAGAAGACTCAATTTGCATCATATGACATGTATTAGAGTATCGACCCAATATGAAGTACGGGTTCAAACTACTTGTATACTGTTGACCTTATCTTCATAGTACGCTCATTTGATTGCGCATGGCCCGGTCATCTGACATTCATATACAGGTACAGTAAGGCTGCTGCCCCCACCCAGCTTTTATTTCGCTCCTTCACCAAACAAGACCTTGATAGGGTCATATGTGTATTCCAAGTCACCGTGCCAGTAGTTGGTGGACTCTGCCTTGGAGATCGCCCACGCTTCATCCAGCGCCTTCACGACCTCCTCAGGTAGCGGGCCCTTCTCAGCGTTGTCCAAGTTGTTCTCCAGTTGCGCGATGTTAGAGACACCGATGATAATACCATCGTTTCCGTCCTTGATCTTGAGACCGGAGTGGTGAACAGTCCATCGCATTGCAATCTCAATCAGCGTTAGTCCTGCCTTTTCAGCGGCTTCCTCGACAAGCTTCAGCGACTCAAAGGTGCTGTCGCGGAAGTATCTGCTGCGGTAGATGTTTGCGATGGCTGTGTTGCCGGAGTATCGTCCAGTTTCCGGGAGGATATCCCTGGACTTGATCTTTCCTGAGAACAGACCGCCTGCAAGGGGGTTGTACACGACAATATCGAGGCCGTAGCGACGGCATGCAACAAACAGCTCCGCCTCAATGTTTCGAGTGATGGCGTTGTACATGCCCTGGTAGATGGTGGGACGGACCCAGCCGTTGTATTTGCATGTCATGACGACTTCAGCTACCTCAAAAGCTGTAAAGTTGCTGACACCCAGCTTTTTGAATTTTCCGGCCTTGTGGAGACGGTCAACAGCCTCGAGGGTTTCAGCAAAGGGGACTCCACGATCAGGCCTGTGAAGATACAGAATCTGCGTCGCGATGGTTAACAAGGCTATTCCACGCTGAGTGTCTCTTTTCTGTTTGATCATATCATGGACTCACGTCGACGGAATCAGTGTCTAGCTCCTTCAGGCTCTTCTCGACGGACTCGACGACCTTTTCGGCTGTGTTGTCGCCAAGCTGCGCAGGGTACTTGACCTTGGTCGCCAAGGTGAGGCCTCTCTTTTTCCAGTTGGCCTGGCGTGTGAAGTCTTCTTGGGTGCCGCCAACGTAGACTCGCGCTGTGTCAACCTCATTATAGCCCCGAGCCTGCAGGACGTCAAGGGCCTTGTTGAAAGTGTCTAGATCGGTGATTCTGGCGCCGTCATTCTCGTTGGGACCAAAGGTCATGAGACCGAGGATAACTCGGGGCTTGGTAGCTTGAGACATCTTATCTTTTTCCTGGATTATCTTGCTGGACTAACGTGCTGGTTGTTGTTGTTGACCACCCTGAGATGAGGGGAGGGCATCTACCATGATATATAGGCGAGAGGGGTCCCGGGTGTAAGTAGGATACGACGCTTTACATCCGGGGCTGAACTAGAACTGGGTCCCGACTCCGACTTGCATCGACTCAAATATCGCAATCAAGAGCAGCAATTGGTCTATCCCACTTTTGCACGATTACATACATGAGATCCCTGGAAAGTGGACAGCTCGCAGACGTCATTGCTCGCAACCGTCGCTACGAAAATAGAGCATAGTGGCAGCTGTGTAAGCCAGCTACATAATTCCCACTACTGATGCCATAAAGTCCGATCAAACGACTTGCGACATCTCCGAAGGCGCATACTTAGACTTACACACTTGAGGGGCCTATAAAGTCGCAGGGTCGCGCTAAGTCCGCGCGCTACGATCGCAGATAATGTGCTGACAAACAAGCAGCTCGCGGCAACATCCGTGCAATTACGATTATAACTAAGCTGCAGGGGGAAACAATAGCCGCGGATGACTCTTACATAGTATTCTACGCGGTTAAATTACACGTATCCAGTCTATACCTTACCCTTCATTTCGAGAGTTTCTGGCAAAGCCCTTTCGTAGGCGACTCTGCTTCAGTAGCCTTTGCCATGGCATGGTTGTCCTTTCCAGAGGGCCGGACTTAGGACATTGATGAGATGCTACTTGGAAATAATGAATCAAAAATCCTGCCGAATGAGGAGCAAGGCCACGTAGGGTAGCAATTGAACCTTCCGTTCTAAAGCGGGATATGCATTCAGACGCGGGAAATGGAAATACCTACTACAGGTGTTGAACTCTTGAGGATGGCATCGGTTACTGCCGGCTTCTTAGAATGGAGGAGTTCGCGATTGGTGATGACTGATATGCTTACCTATTTAATACTCCCTCGCATTTTATATAGCCACTTACCTGGTATACATGAAGATTCGAAGTACGGAGCTCAAATGAACGTGTGCATGTAAATGAGTCAAGTTCAACAAGGTTCTGAACTCTTCATGGTGGGGGTTTCGAATGAACCAAATTCAATGGCCGTATGGGGTACTGATAACGGATAACGGACGCCGCCGGAGAAACCACGGCAGAATAACTGCTCAACCGGCGTCCTGTAAATGCCTGTTAACAACTCGATGGAGTTTGTAGCTTCAATAGACGTGGTGGAATCGGCTGCCTTTGCGCAATCTGTGCAATCCGTCTGTCTCAAACATGATCCAGTGAGCATCTGAAACTCTTCCATGCCCCAATTGACGTCTGACAGTTTGCCCAGGCGCATCAAAACATAGAGATATTCACACCATGAGGGCAAACCTGGCCCGTCATGGCAGGCGACTACTTGTCTGCCAGGCGAGGACGGCGCCATCCTGCGCTGCATTTGCGACTCCAGCTCGTCGACGGTCGATTGCTCCGAGGCCAGTATCCTATGCCAATTTCGAGCGCACGTTCTTTAGCGGTCTATTCCAGAAGCCTCCGCGGGAGGTCAGGCAGCCCGAGTACGAGCCGGGATGGCTGCAAATCATGGTCTGGAGGAGTCGCATGCTGGACAACGTCAGACCACCGCCGAGGAAAGAGTTGATCGAGTCTTGGAAGAAGTTTATGCAGTCGAAATTGGCCACGCGCATGCCTCTGAACAGCACACAGGCGCTGCAGTGTCGCCGGCTGCTGGAGTATCTATCAGATGTGCCAGCCGACAAGCCGGACGCCAGAACGCTTACTCTTGCTGATCTAACGATGGCGAGGCAAGTGCTACTTCAAAAGGATCCAATCGAACGAACACAACATCATTTAGATTTCGCCAAAGCACTACACTCGGTATGGCTATCGGGAGATTATCCTAAGACTCCTAATGCCGTGGAATTACAATGGGTCCACCTCATCAAAGCCATGTGTTTATATGGTGGATCTCGCGAGGCCTTGCAGATGCTGTATGAGAAATGGGAACAGCCAGAGTATGCTGTTTACCTGAACCAAGAGAACCAAGTCCACCTAGTAGAAACCGTTGCTCAGGGTCTTGCAAGAGAGGGATGTGAAGCCGAGTTGGTGGAGTTGGTCAAATATGCCGAGAACCACGGAGTACCATACGATGTAAAGATCCAAGCCGTCATGGTAGAATTCTTTGCCGAGCGAGATCGTGTCGCCGAGACCAAGCACTGGTTCAGCAAGCCTCTATCAGGAGGTATACCACGGCCGCCAACGTATCGCGCGGTGGCGGCCTTTGCCATGCGCAACAACCTTCAAGAATGGGCTACGTCTCTGTTCCGCGAACTTGGAGAATCGCAGCCAAGGAGGAACCACTGGAATGTGTTGCTTGAGGGAATACTCATTACTGGAAAGAGCCTTGCCGAGGTAGACACTGTAATGTCACACATGGTTGACCGCAAAGGAGAGGTGTCGCCAGATACTAGCACAATCAACAGTCTTCTCAGGGTTGCCTCTGCGCAGCGAGACGAGGCACTGGGTGACGACATTCTTGCGCTCGCCGCAAAGAGAGGACTGGCTCCGAATGGAGAAACTCATTTAATCCTGCTCGGCCTACGACTTGGAACTAACAATTTGGTGGAGGCACGAGAGGCGTACAATCAAGTTAGGCATATGCAGCCCTGGACGAACGAGAGCAAGCCTCATCTCTTTGCCGAATTCCGCAAGATGGTCAATGAATACCTGGTTGCGCTGACAGCCCAGAAGCTGCCAGATTTCAAGCTGATTTCATCAATGCTGGAGGCTGTTGAAGAAGACCAAATGAGGCTCGAGCCAGCCACAGTGGCAGCTCTCTGCTTAAGATTCTTAGAGAACGATCAGCATTTTGATGTCATGGATATTCTATCCATACACTCCTTCTTGTATAGTGAAGCGGAGCGAGAGGTTATCCAGAACGCATTTGTCGCGTTTTGCCTCGAGCCCAGCACGAGCACGAACCGAGCATGGGGCGCATATCAGCTTCTCCATCAATTCTTCCAGGATACCAGCTTCGAACGGCGTGTGGAATTGATGAATGCGTTTTTCCAAAGGAGACGCCCCGACATGGCTTCACATGTCTTTGGACACATGCGCGCACACCGAAATAAGTCATACCATCCCACAATGGATACTTACATCACTTGTCTAGAGGGAATTGCCCGATATCCCGACCACGACGGGCTGGAAATGGTGCACAACATGCTGAAGATGGACACCACGCTACAGCCATCGACGAAATTATACACAGCTTTGATGCTGGCATACGCCGGCTGCGGCCAGCCTTTGATAGCGCTGGACTACTGGGGCCAGATCACTCAGTCGAGGGAAGGACCCTCATATGCGACGTTGGAGGCGATGTTTTGGACATTGGAAAAGAAGACGGGCGGACATAAGCAAGCCCGCGAGCTTTGGGAGAGGATGGAGAGGATGGATTTGGAAATACCGCAAAGCGTCTACAACGCTTACATTGGCGCAATAGCCGGCAGTGGGAACGAAAAGGAGGTTCGAGGACTGATAATGAAAATGGCGTCTGTCGTGGGGTCAGAGCCAAATGCTATGACGTGAGTACAAACCCTTAATCAACTATAGTCCAGCCATTGCAGTTACTAACACATAGCTGTAGCCTTGGTATTGCATATAATGCTCTACCCGGACAGCCTCTTCAGCAAGGGTTCCAGGAGTGGGCCAAGGGGCGATACCCCGATGTTTGGGCAGAACTGATGAAGGTGGGACGGCGCATGGACGAGTACTCGCTGTGTCAATTCAAAATAGAACGGGTCATGAAGGCCTAGAGGGAGTGTATAACAATGGAGAAATATATGATCATGACATGCATCTATACATAACGGGGGGTAGCATCTATTGTACACATAGTTGGAAAAAAAAAAAAGAGCAAATATAGTATCTCATGAGTGGCCACCCATGGATGGCGGCTCACACAACATCCAATCAGACCCCAATGCTTTTCTTTTTCATTCCCTCTCAGTTCCTCTCCTTTATCTTCTCTCCGGGAAGAAGTGTTCCCTGATCATCTCAGGGTGAGCGTGAATAGTCGGGTACAAGCCCATACCCTGAACTCTGCGAATCATCTTGGCAATCTTGCGCTGGTTGACAGGACGAAGGCTCGTACCAGAAGAGTGCGTGATCTGGCCAGACGTAGAAGAGAATTCCTGGATCAAAGAAAAGTTCTACAACATCCCAAAGTTAGCCAATTAACCCCCCTCTCTTTTTCCACAGCTTCAGAAACACACCTTGTACATGTCCAAAGGACGAATTCCCAGCGCATCAATCACATCCCCGCCACGAGGCGACCTCTTCCTCCACTTCTGCATCTCCACAGGACTCATATCATGCGGCGAATACACATCGCCCGCATCCCACCTCCGCGGCATCTGCCTCAAGTAATCATTCGAGTTCTTCTGGTTCCTCAACAGCTCAATGTTCGCCTGCTTGTTCCTCATAGTAATCTGTCCATCACGCTTAAATCGAGTCATCAAGTTCGCAGCGACGTCGCCGGGGTTGCTAGCTGCCGCGCGGGGGGCCTGGCCGGAGGATCGAGAAGGGCCGGGGTTATTGATGGAGAGGAGGCTGCTGCTAGAGGAGGGGCGGTGGTGGACGGGCTCGCGGGGAGCACACTTTGAGGCTGAAGTTGAGAATGCGCGGATTGAGAGGCCGCGGACGGCGCAGGGGGGCGGGAATGGCGGCATGGCGGGTGGATTGAATGCTTTTGTTGAAGGATAGGTTTGCAATGAATCCCGCGGTTCTTTTGCTGGTGATGCGAAATCCTTGGTGTTGTGCAAAATGTGGAGTGTGGCGGGGACGGAAAATGTTCCGCGCTAGCTGATGTGCGCCCCGCTTTTGAGTTCCGCCTTTTTTCTTCTAATTTTCTAGGCGTCTCAAAAAATTGTCGAGATAAGCATTTCGATCCAAATCTTTCAGCAAAAAACCAAACTCCGATACCCCCATCTTGATTGCGCGCCAGATCCAACCTCGGATCGCTCTCAATCTTTCAATTAGACGGTCAATCTCGGAAATACCAACAATAGCGACTACGAATTCCGGTTGAGGATCCTGCAAGATGGTGCGCAAGCTCAAGTTTCACGAGCAGAAGCTTCTGCGCAAGACAGACTTCTTCACATACAAGCAAGACGACAACCACCGCGACAAGCTCGTCCGCAGACGGTACATGATCCAGAAGCCCGAGGACTACCACAAGTACAACAGAATGTGCGGTGTAAGTTTGGCCCCAATCAACAACACCATCACCAACTATTCCTTCCCCTCAATACACCCAACTGACATTCTTCTCCTCCATAGTCCATCCGCCAACTCGCCCACCGCCTCTCCCTCCTCCCCCCCGAAAACCCCACCCGCCGCAAACACGAAGACCTCCTCCTCGCAAAGCTCTACGACATGGGCATCCTCTCCTCCTCCTCCAAGCTCTCCGCCGTCGAGAATAACGTCACCGTCAGCGCCTTTGCCCGCCGCCGCCTCCCCGTCGTCATGACCCGCCTGCGCATGGCCGAGACCGTCCAGGCCGCCACAAAGCTCATCGAGCAGGGCCACGTCCGCGTCGGCGTCGACGAGATCACAGACCCGGCCTACCTGGTGACGCGCAACAACGAGGACTTTGTCACGTGGGCTGTGGGAAGCAAGATTAAGAAGAACATTATGAAGTACAGGGACGAGCTGGATGACTTTGAGCTGTTGTAATTCTGTTTTCTGGAGGGGGGGTTGTGCTGGGAGTGGACTTGTTTTTTTCGAATAGACTGCGCGCATGGGGAGAGCGTCTTGGTCGATTGTCATGGGGACTGGTTTGGCGTTATGGGTTGGGCTGGAATTTTCCTGGATTGAGCTTCGATCCAATGTTTCAAGATGGACGAATTCTGTGTCTGGAAACGTATTTTGTTCATAGCATATTTCACTATTGACAAATGTGAACTTGTGAATATCTTCATGGCGGGAAAGGTGTAGACTGCATCCTGATGCGCATTCACAGCGAGATACCACCGGTATATCTTTAACTTTGCACTTCTCAAAGTCACGTTTCTATCACTATTCATGATATACAGCTAGCTCAGGAATGGTCAGCAGCATCATGGTAAGCTTTCTCAGTGACAGCCTGGGTAGCAGATGCACGCATGGCTACTCTCTGCTCACTAATCAGCAGCAATCTCTTTCAGTAGCCAAATAAAGTCACACCGTGAAATTTATCGTCAGGATCATACCAAACCCTTGTTAGCCATCGGAAGCGAAAAGGCCCCCTTGTAGGTGAGCAAGAATCCATCGCACTGTGTTTCGTCCGAGCTCACTCATCGACGTCTCGATTCTCTCACGGTCATTCATTCACCCGCTCTCAGCCAAATATGTGAGCATCCCATTCAATATCCCATCTCATGAGCTCTTCCTCCCATCTCACGCCCCATAACATAAAAATATCCTCCTCAAAAAACTTCGACATCGTTCATCCAAATCTGAATCATCTCCAGAATCTTCACCAGCGCTTAAACGGACATCCGGAACTCCACCCGAATCGGCCCCACATCCGTAGGCCTTCTCTGCGTCGACACACCAAAAGGCGCAGCTTGAAGAGAAAAACAGGGCTAGGCTCACATGGCTTATAAAAGATGAGCTCCAGGTTGATAAACACACTGTGCGTGACGGCTATAAAAACCCACACTCACACGAGCTCCCACACTCCTCCCTTCCTTTCCCCCCTGATCGGCTTATAAGAGCTTGGTTTTCTCCTTGTTCTTCATAGAGCCCTTCATTTTTTCCTCGGCGCTTTTATGAAAAAGCGTGTGGCCGAGTAGAGCGTCGTCATTCTCCCATTCACTTTTATAAGTGCCTCCTGAGCGCCGAGGGTAGTCACCCCCTCCCTCCTTCGCCATGCCCATCTTGGCCACTATTCAAGATGTCTTGGCCGAGCTCATAGGTCCATGGACTTTCATGGCCATATCTTTCTCTCATATTCCTGCGACAATTCGTGGGCTTATCCGTGACAAGAACTATCGCGCACTCTTCTCCTTCGATGGATTCCGCGAAGCCCTGTTTGGCACATTTTGGGCCACCGTCGGGCCAAATGTCAAGCTCAACGGCGAGCAGCGTGTCATTCCTCTTCTTGAAGGTCGTATCAAGGGCGGTGTCATCCATGACGACGTCGTGAGCACTCCGGTTTACGGCACTGTCATCGAGGTCGGCGCCGGAAGTGGCATGTGGGCAGATGTTCTTGCCCGTTTCCGCGAAAACACCAGCGACGCAGACAACGCAGCCGGCCTTCGCAACAGGAAAACCACGGGCGGCCACATCACCAAGATTTATGGCGTAGAGCCCAACCCTATTTCTGCTAAAGCGCTCGAGAAACGTGTCAAGGACCTTGGTATGGATGACATCTATCAAGTCGTCCCCGTCGGTATCGAATCTGTTGATGACCCCTCTGCATGGAACGGAAAGATTGAGCCGGGCAGCGTTGATTGCATTGTGGGCGTTCTTTGCCTGTGCAGCATTCCCGAGCCCGAGAAGAACATCAAGCTCTTGTACAAGCTGCTCAAACCAGGCGGCCACTGGTACGTCTATGAGCATGTCAAAGTTTGGCGCGGAGGCCCGTTGATCAGCCTATATCAGCGTAAGTAAAAACACTCATGATTCTCCCGATGTAAGCATACCATAGGCTGACCGTGGCCGACTCTCCAGGCTTCGTCAACATCGTCTGGCCACACTTCTTGGGCGGATGCCAACTTTGTCGCGATACCGAAAAGAATCTTAGGGCCGCCGGTCCCTTCCAGGAGGTCGATCTCGCACAGCCCGCGGAACGTTCGTCTTCGTACCAGGTCTTGCCTCACAAGATTGGCACTCTGACCAAATAAATGCTGTCATCGAGGCCTTCGAAATAGAAGCTCGTTTAAGCAATATCTCGTCTCAAAGCTCGTCGTCGTCGTCATCATCCAAAAGGAAAATTGAAGTCCTCTTGGACTCGCTGTCCGCCGGTATCGGCTTCTTCTCATCGACAATCTCTTGTTTTTTGACGTTTATTTTCTCATCCTTGACATCTTCTGCCTTCGTTTCCATTTTGACTTCGCATTTCACCCCCTCATTCGTTTCCGTTTTTGCCTCATTCTCCTCTTTCATGTTTTCGAGCTTAGATTGAGGCCAGGGGTCCAAATCTTTAAGCATTACCCCGCTTCTTGCTTCGTCCTCCTTTATCGCTTCCACCTTTGGCTTGTGTTCTTGCTTCAGGGTTTTTACCTTTGCGTCTGCCGATGATCCTTCGTGGTTGACTATACCCTCCTTTGCATCAAGGAATCCCTCCTTTGTTAGCTTAGCCTCGCGCCTCATATAGAATGAATTTAAGCAATTCCTTCTTGCTTCTGTCGTCCAGTTTTCCACAATGAGGGCAAAGTCCGTAGCATTGGCAAAGCCAAATTCCCTAGCCATCTCACAAAATTGGCGCAAGCAAACATCCTCGGGCGGCTTGTATGAGCTGTGAAGCCCGTCACCGTCGCTCTCGTCGCTGTCTGCAAACAATGTAGTTTGGCCCGCAAGATCTCCTTCTCCAAACAAGTTCATGGCCGCTCGCCGCGAGAGCTGCTCCTCTACCTTGGAAGATCCAATCACTTCAGAGTTGTCATGCGTGTACTCCACGCCAGCTGCAGTGAGAATTGCTTGCACAGCGTCGCTTTTTGGGCGGCTTATCTTTGCCTTTTGGGATTCCGGGGTCTTTTTCTGATCTCCAGAAGTCAGCAGGTCTGCCAGCTGGCTGAGTCCTCCATCTTCTGAGTCGGTGCCCTCTTCTCGTTTCACGACTCCTAAATCTTCACCATCTTTGGCCGCTTCTTCCATATCAACATCAGCCAAGTGCACTCCAGCTTTAGCCTCAGCAATGTTTGTCTTGTTCACAATATCGCGCAGCAAGCCCATATTACTATGGTAGGTGAAGATGTTTGATAGGCCAAAAATTTCGCCCGTTCGTTCAGTGTCTTGCTGAACACCGCGGAAATATCGTCGCTCAGATGATGCAGTATATCCAATGTTTGCCTGCTGCTGCTTGTAAATTTGCCGAGCATAGACAATTTCCTCAATTGTTCCCACGGAAATGAGCCGAAAGACTTCGACATCACGAGTCTGGCCAATTCGATAAGCTCGGTCCTGAGCTTGCAGATCGTATGCAGGATTCCAGTGGGGGTCTATAATGACCACCTTGTTAGCCGAAGTGATGTTTAGCCCAACACCACCCGCCTTGGTCGATATGAGGAACACGAACTGCGTGGGGTCGGAGTTGAACGTATCCACCACATCTTGTCGCGCTTCGTAGCTCATGGAACCGTCCAGATAGCTCACGGTGTAGCTTGTGTTGGTAAAAAGGTGCTGCAGAATGCGGAGTAACCGCACGCTATGGGAAAATACCAAGACTTTGTTTCCGCTGCCATGCCAAAATTTGAGCAGCTTCCTCAGGATCTTCCACTTGCCGCAGAACTCTGGATTGACCAGGTTACTAATCCGATCTCGCTTCTCATACAACTCTCTCCATGTATCAGGCATGCAAGTCTGGAGTGTTGCAAGTTCATATGCATGCTTTTCTTCCAGATCTGTCGTTTGAGGTACCAGCAGAGTCAGGTGGTTGGCTAACTTTTGCAAAATTATCATGCTCGGGAAGACAATGGTTTGCCAGCGTCTGCCACTTGGAAGAAACTCGTTGCAACACCAACCTCTCTTGCCTCCATGCTCGCAGTCTTCTGAAATGGTCTTCAATATTGCCACTTCTTTGCTGCCGAGGAAATTTTCGTATGCTTCCGTTTGTAAGTCTGTAAGGGGGCAAAAGACGACTCGGTCGGATTTTTTCGGCAACTGGTCAGCTATCAGGGATTTCATGCGGCGCAAAAAGTATCGAGGAAGAAGATTCTGAACCAGCTTCTTTGCGGTCTGCCGTGCAAGACTCAGCTGTGCAACTGTGGCTTCATGAGACTGGCCGACGGTCAACGGCTTCGTGATGGTGTTCGACCACTCTGCTTTAGTACCAAAATGACCTGGGTTGGTCCAATCTAGCAGTGTCCAGAGCTCTTCGTACCGATTTTGTATAGCTGTTCCCGTTAAACCAATCCGACAGAGTGCGTTGATCTCTTGCATTGCTCTGGTAGTCTCCGAATAGCGGTCTTTGAGGCGGTGGCACTCGTCGGCGATGATGGCATCCCACTGCACCATGTTAATGGAGCTGCGAGAGTTTTTATACGTCTCGTAGGTTGTAATCATGATTTCCAGCATCCCAGCGCGGGCCGCACCAAGTACGTCGTCCTTGTTTGCCCCGTGAAACAGATCCACATGCCACCATCCCCATCGGCTCAACTCGTTTCTCCAATTCATAATCAGAGATCCGGGACAGACGATTAGTATTTTGGGATACCATCTCTCCCCAATAAGCCTCATCTGCCTCATGCGTTTGTCATCTCTTTCATCTCCCGTTTTTCCAAAGGCCGCCGTCAAAAAAGCAGCGACTTGAACCGTTTTGCCAAGGCCCATGTCATCTCCCAGGATGCCTCCTTCTTGATACACAAACTTTTTGTGCAAAAACCGGACACCTTCAACTTGGTAATCGCGCAGATACTGAGCGATCGATGCGGGAATGAGACCACCTGATTGAGGAAGTTCGACATCCCTGTACGGCCGAGACGGTTTGATACCACTTCTTGGGTCGAAACCCGGTCTCTCCTTGAGCTCTCTAAGCCTCCTTGACTCATCGAATTCGACATTTGTATAATCAGGTGGCAGCATCAGGGCTGATTCGTGGTACAGTCTCTTCTTGGCGTCAAAAGCTCGCCTCCGTTCAACCAAGTAGTCCGGAAGATCAACTCTCTCCAGCTCGTCTTCTGTGTGCTCGACATCTCCAGTCACTCTTGAGGCTTTCTTTTTGCCGGCAGATTTTCGTTTTGTTCTCCTTTTCTTTGGCTTGGATGGCGCACCGTCTGATTCATCTGTCCACTGCACCTTTTCCGTGAACTCCACTTCGATCTTCCTTTTCTGAGGAGGCGGTTTGGCCGGTCCCTCAAAGTCATCTTCAAGGTCTGACTCCGTATTATCATCATCTGAGAGTTCTATGACGTCTGTGGCCATTTTGAGCATGAAAGTGGCAACAAGAGCCACAATAGATTTGTCGAGGAAAACGCGTAGTGATAACACGAGGAGATGGTGAATGATGCGAGATCACGTGATGCATCCTGTGCTGCCTGCCTGAGTTTAAGGCTGTAGGTACGGAGTTTTAGCGGCCTTGGTTACAGCGGCTACGAACCTAAACTTGTCAGCTCACAGCGATTATGCTCGATCTGTCTCCTCCTGTGCCTCACATAAACGGACAAAATGGGCCTCATTCATTAGTATGTCAACAGCTTTGGAATTAGAATCCCATTACCAGCGCAGCGCAAATAGCCGTGCATTTCATTATTGACGTCATGCCATGTATACCTAGAATTGGCCTATAAGACGCTGTAGATTTAGCCGCCAGCTTCTCGAATTGAAGCTTTAGGCGCTAATTATAGACGTAGCGGGACTAAACAGTCCAAGCGGGAAGCTTGACGCTGCAGATCCCTTAATACTAGTATCGCTTAATTAGCCACCTAATTAATGAACGAGGCTAAAGTCTCTGAGACCTCTATAAAGAGTTTAAATTCCCTTCAAGCTATAGATGTAGCAAGATAAGGATTACATTCATACTCAATATATGGCATCTGTGGACAAAATGCATCAAGCTTGACCCATGTGAACATAGTACTCCCCATCGTCGCCACCCTTGAGCTCCAGGTACTGTCCTTCTGCCTCGTCTTTCTCATCATCATCATCGTCTTCGTCTTCACTCAGAACAGAATCTACGCTCACAGACACGACCTCGACGCCCTTGAAACCACTATCCTCATCATCGCCATGTAAGAAAGCAGAGCTAGTTTCGTACACATTCACCGAGGCCTTGGTCACTTTGCGGCTCTTTGGCTTGATCTTGTGAACCCGATAAGCAAATATGATGTCTTCCTCTGGGGCCACTTTGAATGTGCCGCTCGTGCCAAATCGCTTCTCTCCGCCTATCTCAGCTCCGACAGAGATGCCGTCGATGATGGGAACTGTGCCGCCCACTGATCCGTGCGTAGATTTGGATTCCTCGCGTTGAACGGACAGACCACGCGCGATTTTCAGCCCACTGATAATGTAGATTGGACGTGCTCCGTATAGACCTCCTCGAATGGCGGCCTGCACTTTCGGCTCCTGCAAGCGAGCTAGGAGGTCCTCATCGTCATCTTGCGGCTCACTCTTCAGCCACCTCGTCTCAAGCGTGTCAATGTCGAAGGATACCATGACATGGGCGTTATTGGCAAAATCTATGGGAGTGCCGGCAAAGGATAGGAATTTGACACGCATACCAGCATTGACAGTATTGCCTGACGTCCTGGAGATGACGTACGATGTCTGCACAATTGAGTCGAATTCGGGCGGAGAGGAATGCGTGGAGAGCGGTTTGGTCGGCTTCAAGGCATCTGCTAGTAGAACGCTGAGCTGAATTGGGCTGGATGACAGCTTATGTTCTAGATTGGGCGCTAAGAAATATGTACGTTTAGAAGCCATTTCTTCTGGTGATTTTGGTTTATATGTGAGCCTAGAGAGTGTTGTGTAAAATGCACAATCTAGGCGCAGCCGTACGAAGCAGTTGAGCCGCAAGGATTTGGTGTGGGCGCCAAGGCAGCGACCTCATTTGGTTCGTATATTCAAACCAAAACAAGAACCACAGAGCTACCAACTAACTCGCGGTCAGACAAAGAATGCAGAGATCGGGCCCGGAACCACAACGAATTTGATATTCGATATCGATTCTGGTTGGTTTTTGCAAATATGCATCTAATTCGACGTCGATTTTGTGCCACTGTTTTCTGCTGTAGTAAGCACCGACAAGGGAATTGCTGGTCAAGCAAACAGCACCAGACACTAGTTTAGTTACACAACGGCCTGACGAGGTGGTATATTATATACATTTATCAACCGTTGGTTAGCCTGTCTTTGACTTTAACCTCGCAAAAGAGAGACAAGGGATTCTATGGCTAATATTGACAAGAGCACCTTGGTTTACATATTATAATCATGCTTCATTTCATTACTGGTCTGATGGCTTGTCTCTGCGCCAGAGCCGCAATGCTTTACTGAAGCCGGCTGCTATGCCTCGGCGTTCAGAAGTAGGTACCCCTTTTGCTGGGCCGGAAGGAGCAGAATTGCCATGGTCAAGACTTATGTCTGCCAGCTCTGCAATGGGCAATCCTGCTGCGTACAAACGTGGCGCTCGCTCATCTAAATCCTCGGGGCCCAAGTCAAGATGAGGCTTCGTTTCTTGCACCAGATCCACATCATCATCCTTGGCTTTGAGCCAGTTATAGAGATCCCTGGCTTGCGCTCTCTTCTCCCACTCAAATAAAATTGCATAGTAGTCTGTTAATTCCTTTACGGCGCCGATTGAAGCGGAATCACGCTCACCCCATATTTTTTGGCTACAGATAACCAACTCTTGAGCGGCATCGATAGCATCGTCACGAAGACCCATGTCTCTGTAGTATCGAAACAGACAGGTCAATGTTAGCAGGGAAGCGTGGTTCCACGGCCCCCACGCCTCAATTTCTGCCCGCCTTGTCTTCTCTAATATTCTCAAAGCCTCTATTGGTTGAGGCTGTCTCTTTTGTTCGAAACGTCTTATGGCCTTGATTTTCGTGTCAATCATCTCTGCCTCTTGTATCTGATGCGTTTGACGCAAAGCATGGGCGAGACGACTGAGTGCCTCGGTAGTGTCAAGCTCAAGATGAGGGTCTGCATTGAGGCGCGCGAGCGAATTTCGCTCCATGACCACATTTTCTCCCCAAAGGTTCTGGTCTTTCAAAAAGTCTGAGTACTTCACTCGAGCTGCTTCGGTGTGTTGGGTCCCATCCTCTAGCTGTTTGGATTCTTGTTCGAAAGCGTCGATGAGCCTGTTGAATAGCTTGTGGCCCAAGGATGCGAGTCTGTATTTCGCACACACCTTTGCCAGATCGTATGCCCCATCAATTGTCCACAAAAGATCTTCGAAATCAGGAATACCAACATTGTCGAGGAAAATTTCAACTTCTTTACTAAGAAAAGCATCTGCCTCTTCCTTATTCCACGCATCCCAATGCATTTTCGCCAGTTTGTCAACGTTCTTGATGACATAATGATGGGCGAATCCCAGCTCATGTCTAAGATGGTTCACTGCATCTGTTTGCCACAAGATGGCTTCCATCAGGTTGCCTTGATCCTCAAGCTCGGCAACTTTCGCGAGAAAGCCTTGAATTGGAGAGCCATTGATGCTGGAATGGAAGAAGTAGTCGCGACGCTGACTGTTTGGCCCTTCTTCCCTCGCCTTCCGCTTGTAATTCATTTGCATACAGTTCAACATCAGCTCTCCCAGCCAAGTTACCTCGGGGTCATCCGTGTCGTGGGGAAATCTCCGGGCACATTTCTGCGGCCACTCGCCCTCTACTACTTCAGGTAGATGATCTTGAGAAGCTTCAATGATTGGCCGTGGCTCTCCAGGCTCAGCCATCGGATCGTAATCAGGAGTCTGACTAGTGTCATCTGCAACTTCAGACCCTTTGTCCGACGGCGTTGCAGGTCGTTCAGAAGCCTGGCTCGAGTGCAGCGATGGCAATCCGTCCGAGTCCCGATTTGAGCCACTGGTAAGATTGTACTGGCGGGACGCGACCTCGGAGCCCTGATCGAAATAATCATTGTACAGAAAATAGTTGTACCCATCATCGTCCCCATCGTCCAGATCGTCGGGATCATCATCATCATCATCCTGATCGTCCAAATTGGTGTGCAGAGATTCGCGTCCAGGCCAGGGCAGAGAGCGTAAAGCAAAGGAATGCAAGTGCTCTGCTATATGGTTCAACAACACAGGTGAGTCTGCTGGACCGTTGGAGTTGCACAGTGGGCAACAGCTGATCCCGGCGGGGACCGGTATCGCCGATTCGGGGATGAGTGTGGAATACTGCTCCTCATTTATTGTGCTGGAGTGAACCACGCGAAGATGCTCCATGAAGGCCTCGACGGATGGAAACACCAACGGCGCCTTGCCCACAGTGGTGCAAGGCAAACACTGCCAGCATTTTTCGTGATCGTTCCTCGTGTGTTGGCCCCACTCTGCTCGGGTGACAAAGAGTCGATCTGGTGTAGGGCAGTCATCGATGATGCAAGTATATGGGGCGATATCAGTCATTAAATGCTTTCTACTGTCATGTTAAAATATCCACCTACACAAAGGTGAAGAATCGTGCGTTGGACTTACTTCCATAGGGATGGTTGCCTGTACATCTCAGGCAAGGCCTGGCAGCAGCCAGGGCATTTGAAATGACGCATACCCAGCGGCATAGCAGGTGGCTTTGGGTAAGCAATTTTAGCGGATGTTGTCGTGATCTCCGTCTTTGCAACTTGTGAGGGCGTCACATTGTGAATAAACCCAGGATCTATGGCTTGAGTTATGCCAGAGGCTGAGGTGGCGGACAAGATTGGTGGTTGTGTTTCGACGTCTGGCTCAAGTGCCGTTTCTACTAACACTTGAGCAAGTGTTTCAATTGGTTCGGATGCTTGCTCTTCTGGCTCTGTTATGATCTTCTCTTCGGGTTCCGGCTCGCCGTGGTCCTCCACCATAATCGGCATATCATCTCCGAGCTGATATTCCTGCGGAGCGTTCTGGGGCTCTGCTTCTGCAGCCAGTTTCCTTGCGTGACGCTGAGCATAAAGAAATCGGTTCCTTCGCCGCAGATTCGCAATGATGAGACGGTCTTGGATGGCAGTCAGATTGTTCGGGTTGATAACGTAGTCTGATCGACCCGCTTCCATCCCTCTAGCAAGCACCACAACATTGAGATGCCGGCGGAATGCTGGCTGATCGTCGGCATTGAATCGCCTGTCCGCTTTGTGCGTTCTTGAACTGCTACCAGCTTTTCGAATAGCCAAACTCAGGCGAGCAAGGTGATCTATGACTTGAGCGACATCAACCTTCGGGCCATCCAAGAATGAGTTCGTTATTACCGGTGAGCACTCATCTCGTGAATCTTGATCCGAATCGGTGCTTAGGTCTGAGTCGTCAGACCATGGCGAGAAAGCCCTCAGGATGTCTTCCGGAGATGCCAAACGTCCATGCTCTGGTTTCTCAGGCTCATCCTCGCTTTCACTAACTTCGAGCTCGGCATCTTGTTTATCCGCCTCATTCTCCTCTTCGGAACTATATTGAGGCTTACACTCGTCATTCACAGCAGGGACTTCGTCCCCATTCCCTGTCTACAAGTCAGCAAAACAGTCGCACGCTTCGGCTTCAAGGCAGCTATCCAACATGTGAAATGTACCGAAATATTGGCATTGCGTCAGGCGCTCACTCAGGACAGTGAGAAGACTTATAAATACACTTATCACCTCTGGCTGAAGCGCCAGTCGTGCATCCAACGACGCGCGGTCGCCGCCAAAGACTCCCGAGTTGGCAGCCCAGAGGTTGAATTCAGCAAGCCTGTTCTCGGCCCACTCGTCCTCTTTCAAGTTGGGTAGCTTCGAGCATTCCCGCAACAGAGCTCGACAGTGCGACGCGATGTCGCGGATATTGGTGCCTAAGGGACCAGCTGGTGCCGAGTTGGGGAAGAAGCTGGCGCCAAATGAATCCATGGTTTGGCGCGCAGGCACTCAACCTCGGGGCCACATCGATACGGCACTCTCAGCTACCAACTCTTAGTTCAGCCCGAATCACCGCGTTGTCGGTTGATGATATATGGATTCGAAAACTAAAGTGGCTCATTGTACCATCGATTTTGCAGGCGAATGCGGAGCACGGCTAAACGGACAATTGCACGAAGGAGCACAAGCGTCTGGTGATCTGATAGGCTCAACTGCTTCAGCCGCCGAAGTACCACTTATAGAAGCTGAAACCTGGGAGCCTCTTTGTCCCCAGGGAACACAAAGGGATTGAATGCGCAACTCACTGAGCCTGCTTTTCGGCAGCTAATTTGACCCAGCGTCAGTCATGAGACTATGGCGTCTGTCTAAGAAGCTGTCATTCTAACAGTGCCTCGGCGTTCTGTTCTTGTTCACCAGGCTAACAATGGAAAAGAAAACAAAGGATTCCTCTGCAGGACAAAAGTGAAAAGGGACTATGCTCATGAAAATGCTTAACTGTTTGTCGGATGAAGCTGTGTCCGACGGGGTACTAGTGCCGAATGCCCCTTTACCCTTACCACTTACCTCCTTTGTCGGAAATGCCGTCGCAAATGCATCAACTATAGTAAAATATGAAATAGATGGTATATTTTGCTACATTATATCGTAATCGAAGGCTCACAGTTCCTCGCCAAAGGTCGTCGTGGTCATCGTTCCCTCACACTAACATCACCCCACGACTGCATCAGAGATCGCACCCCAGCTCTTCGTCAAATCCTTCCCTGAGAAAAAGCTCAAGGGCGAAATGAAGTAGGAGCGGTTGCCCATATCATGCGACATTCTTGTCAGTATATTCACCATTCCTATCCTAGTCCAAGCCCTGCTCATCTCCTCCGGTAGCCTCATCTCTTCGTCTCTCATCCCCACGCTGACAAACTCCAATACCATCGCGATCAACCCTGCTGCTACCGCTGTGGCAACAGACGACCCTGATTTAGGTACCTCGCCAGCGACACTACTCAGCCACGCAGAGGGGACGTCTTTCCCAACGGTGCCGAATACGATAGGACCGCGAGGATCGACAGGGGGGTTGGAGTCGCTAAATGCACCGTGGTGATTGGTCTCCCGAATCGATATCACAGAGTCGAGAGCCGCTGGAAAAGCCTCGCGCCGATTTGCACCGGAATTTGACGCGGCTGCCAAGAAGAGGACTTGGTTGTTCCGGGCGAGCTGAGCGGTCAGTAGCGCTGTGGTAATAAGGGGGACCTCCTCAGGGAAGCCAAATGCCATGGAGATGATATCTGCCTCGGCCTCGGTGGCAGCCCAAGCGATGGCCTGAGCGATGTTCTCGGCCGAGTTCTGAAGACCAGCGCGGTCTTTAGCGATGCGAGCAACATAGATGTCCGCGGTAGGTGCCACTTTCATGATGAGCGCTAAAGTATGGGTGCCATGGCCGCTGCTGTCAACGGGAGTCGAGTTTTTCTCGGCGTAGTCTTTCCAGCCTTTGATGCGGCGTTTACGTTCTTTAAATGTGAAGAACATGGTATCCCCGTCGTAGCCGGTGTCTAACACGGCAATACGAACGGGGCGACCGCGTTCTTTTGATTTTCGGCTTTTCTTGAGTTCGCGGATGGAGGTGTTAATAGACGAGATATCGTCGAGCCACTGAACGGATGCTTGTGTGTTTATGTTCCCTTGGTCTTTAAATGATGTCAAGGTTTCCGCTGGGATGGCAGCAGGAAGTTTGACATTGCGATCGGGAGAGCGTGACATGTCTATGGGATCGATGATGTGTAGATTCTCTGCGAAGCCGAGATTCTTGAGTAGGCGTTCGAGCGGTTGCACGACGGAACTATAAACCATGGCTTTGCGGGCGAATACATCTGTTTCAACGTTTGAAGTAGCACTTTCACCAGTCTCGTCGTCATCGGGTTTGTAATCGAGGCAGCTGAGGATGGCTTTGCGGTAGTCTGGAAAGTCAAATTCTTTCCGTAGACGACTTCGCCTGGTATATCGCCGGGTTATGTGCCAAGATTCGTTAAGGTTGCCTTCCATTGATCCTTTATCTTCCATAACAAGCCCGCTGCCTTGCGCAATTTCAAGGAGGATGATACAGAGAGCCAACAGTCTGGGGTATCTATAGACAACAGAGTAAGAGTTGCAATACTCCATGGGCCCTTCCATCCCCTGATCGCTGAAATCAACGGCCAAACATGGCCGTGAGGCAAACAGAGCGCCATCGGTTTTCGATAGCTCCGTGCCGCAATCGCTGACAACGCTTTCATCGTCTTCATCCCCATCCAGCGGCGACTCCCGTAAGAAGTGAATCGAATCGCTCGACCAAGCAGAGCCCATCCACGGCGAGTCATAATATTGCCAAAAAGAACGCGCGACAATGTATGCCAAGACCAGCTTCATTCGGTTCGACAGTTTACACTGCGCCAGAATTTCCCGCAGCGACATGCTTGACCCCGGCCCGATTTGCTGTTTCAATGGAACCCCATCGTAAAGTTGATGAAGTTCCTCATCCTGAACGCGGCAGCAGATACGTGAGCCGATGGGTGTTTTGACGAGCCGGCAGAATTGCTCTGGCAAGATGAGCCTTGAGCGCTCGCGCTCGGAGATGTCCGATTTGGGTGCATCTCCAGGTGAGCTCACCAAAGGCTCTTCGTGATAATGTACTGCTTTTCTGGCTTTCTTGCGCCTGATGGTGGTCAGCCACGGAAATCTACTTGATCATACGATGCACTTACATGGCAACACGCATTTGCAGCTCTTGCCAGTGATCTGAAACCAGAGGCGTAGCGGCAAACAGCATATCGAAGGCGACGCATCCGTCAATTTTGGTAATCTTGTCGTTCAATCTCAGTCTGACATGGTGCTTTCCTTTACCGTCTGTGCCCGGCCCACCATTCCACGTACACGTACACAATGAGTGTGACTTCAGCACAGAGAAGAGAGCAGAATTGACGTGCGTCGGGTAGGCATCCGGCATTTCCTCATCGGTCGCCTTCTTGCGGCGGCTTTTGTTGTTATCATCCACGGCCATAACGAGTTCAGCGAAGCGCTGGAGCTTCTTGAGATACTGGTTGCGTATGTCTTGCGACGCATGGCAGAATGCAAGTATGCCCTGGCGTGCTTGCTGCTCGGCTTGTCCATGTCTTCCGCGCTGGGACAAGGAGGTGATGAGTTCCTCGAGGAGAGACGTATGAGCGCTAGGCCGATTGGGCCACTGGTAAGTGTCAACACTCAGCTGTATATGATGTTCTGGGCAGGTTTCATAGCACGATAGTAGCGGCAGCAATCATGCAATTTTGCCAAAGTCCAATCGCCAAGGTCCAATGATCGAAAGTCCTCCAGGTGGGAAGAGACAGACTATCTAAGAAAAGTACCTACCGAGCAGACATACTCCAAGTCATCCAGCAACTTTGGCAGCCGTCTCTGCAGCTTGGGCAATTGATGGACTCCCGCCGCGTCTAGGGCGCTCTTCGCAATCAACAAATTCGCAGCAAGACAGCCTGCAGAGCACATTTTGTTCCTCGCAGCCAAATCAGCAGCAATCATGGCGGCCTTGGTCAATGCGTCCTTGGCGAAGTCCAACACTCGGGCGTCGTTACTCTCCTTGTCATCGCCATATTCGTCGTCTTCGAAGAGACGCACCCGTCGCGCGGTGCCCATCATCACCTTTTTCAGAAAACCATCACCCACAGGACAAAGACGACAAAGCAGCCCAGTTCCCTTATAAGGAAGTGGCACCAAACGAGACAGTTGAGTAGTGAGCGCGATGTCGTTGCGAGTGGAGAAGTGTTCAGCTTGGTGCGGAGAAGCGGGTAAAGGCGGAGCCAGCCTCGAATCACTCTTTGGCAGTACCATCGTGTACAAATTAGTTAATTATTTGTACAGCTGGTCATTTAGCTATTATTATTTATTTTCAATAGTCCTCCAATTATTGAACTGAAATTTATAAATTGGCATTGCTCGAGTACACAAGCCGGCATAAAACTACTTCAAGCCATCTTGCTCTAAGTAGCGCATGGTGTATTTGTACCCCTCAAACCAGTCTTTCCATTGGAGGCGGGAATCTGCGTTGTTTTGCACTACCCCATTTATACCAATATCCATTCTCTCGCGGTTGGCCTCATTCAGATTTTCTACAAGCGCCGCCAAAAGTCGATCACGAGAATGTTGAAAGAGTCGCTACTCAGTACAGCTAGACACTATGACAAGAACCGGAATCAGCTTCAGTTTTGATGCATCATCATCATCAATCACATAAATAGCAACGTTTATCTTGAAATATGCTAGCCCGCTCCATAATTAATATGCAGCCGCCTCTGGTTCAGTCCAGGTACATGTACCTTTCGTGTATATGCCGCTCGCCTCCGCCTTGAGTGCCTTTCTCTAGGCCTCGAGCAGCCCAATTCGACAATCTCACCGACAACTTGGCATCAAGCCTCTACACTCTACACAAACAGCCAACATGTCTGACGACTTTGAGGCGGTGAGAAACATCTCCGGCGACCAGGCCAAGGCAATCCTCCTCTCTCTTTGCACCAACCATGTCATTCGTGCCAAGGTTGCCTCTTACGCCAAGCGACTTGATCAAGAGGCATCAAGCAAGAATCGGAAACCCGGGTCTACCATTGCCATCTGTGTGCAGTGCGACCAACCGTTTTATGAAGAGGATAACGATGAAACTAGCTGTGTCCATCACGATGGTTAGTCCTTTTGATGCGATTTGCAGCAATTAAAGTGCCAGTTCAGACATCGCTAATCGAAAATGATAGGCTTGTTAGAAGTCAATTACAAAGCTGAGGTCTGGGAGGAAATTGACGATGATGGCCCGTTTGGCTATGAGGAAGATGTTCCAGAGGGTTTTAACTGGAACTGCTGTGGCAAAATCGGCACCTCTGCCGGTTGTATAAAGAGCCCGCATCAGGCAGATCCCGAAAAGTCAAGCAAAAGTGATCATGCTCCGGAGAGCAAGCCCCAGAATGATGAGTAAGGGGAGATATACCGGAGACGCATTCGAAGGGTTATCGCTGAGCGCTTGGGTGTTTTGAGCAGAGTAAGCCAAGGGACAAGGTCGCAACGGCTACGGAGTAGTGGTGCAAGTCTTTCAATCGGGTGTTTGGTCCAAGATATGAGTGCAGTTTCTGGAGTAATGGCATTATCTTTGCAGACTTATCTGTGTCATCCTTCACTAGTGAACTGAATCTGTTGAATAAGCAATATGTTACTGGAACACATCTCGAGATCAAATTGATGACCACATCACCATCCTTTAGCGCCAAAGCTCTCTTAGGCCCGCTCTCTCGATGAGATAATCGCCATGCACGAGCCAAGCCTCAAGTCTGGGGCAGATTCCATATAAAAGAGAAAGACCCAGCACAGTCGATACACGCTTTCCAGCTATGCTGAGCTGCTTATGCTAGCAATGCCTGTGTGGAAGACTCGTGTCGAGGGCTTGCTCGACTGATGAGAATGATGGCTCGAACTATTAAAAGACGTCAGCTCCCAAAGCCAGAAACGTAAAATATCAGTATACAATCGCCACTAACAAATCATCTCATGCTATAAAACGCCTCTAAATTAGACCAAAATGGCGGCAAATCTCACTTTATCCCCCGAGGAAGCGCATGATCGCATCGCCATCCGCAAAGTCATCGATCGCTATGCCCACTGCGCCGATCACCGTCTAGCAGACGAGCAAATGTCGCTCTTCACCGAGGACACGAACTTTGTCGTGTATATGCAAGGAGAAGGCACGGAGCCCTCGCAAGTGATCAGTAAAAGAGAAGACTTGAGACCCGTCTTTGAGTTCCTCCGAGGATACACTCGCACGACGCATTTCAACGGACAGAGCATGATCGACGTCGGACCGGACGGCAGGACTGCCATGGGAGAAACCTATTGCATGACGTATCATTTGTCCGAAAAGGACGGCCAGCGACAAATGTTCATTGGCAGTTTGCGGTACCAGGACACTTTGACGAAAGGAGATGATGGGACATGGTTGTTTTCGGAGCGGAAGTTGTATCTTGACTGGTCGGAGACGAGGCCGTCCAATCCATAGTTCTTTCTTCAGGTATATTTAAGGGAGACGCCATTCATTGGAAGAAATCGCTGAAGAGATTGCATTGTGAATGTCGCTCGTATCATATAGGCTTCTATCTGTTTCGCTTGCAGTAGAATATTAGCCATGTGTCCTTCCGCTAGCCAACACCCAGCTGTGTAAGCTCACCTTTATTTCATAAAGTCCACTTGCTGTCTTCTACCTTTAGCCTGAAGAAACGAATATCCCATTATCAGTCAATGATGCCTAATTCGTCGATCTCGATGCCATATTTTTCGGTTGACACATTCTTATATCACAGATTGTTGTGTAAGCGCGCGTTTGAATAAATTAACAAAGAGAATCAAATTGAATTATTCTGTGTTGCGCCGAAATATGCTTCGCACCCATAATCCATCCAAACGCCCAAAGTGTATATATACAGTCGAAAGATGGACATCTCTATATCTTTTTGCTGTCCCACTTTATACCATTGCCTCTACCATCTATTACAGGCGACCGATCTGTCCGTCCAAAGCCCACTTGCAAAGGACTGGCCAGCCAAGCATGGCGCCGAAGATGGGGAAATAACTGCAAAAAGCCAAATATTAGTACAGTCGCTCTATGGATGTTTTGGCTCTTTTGTGTTGTCTTGTCTGGGCTACTTACGTGACAACCTTGCCAGCGGTGAAGGTAATGTTCTTGTAATAGTCGGGCTTTGCAGGCTTCATGGTGGTTGCGAATCTCTCGTATGGGTGGCTCTCAAAGACACGGCCCATTCTTCGGACTTGAGTGTAGAAGGAAACAGGCTTGCGAACAGTGCTGGCAGCAGCGCGGGTGACGGTGGCAGCAGACATATTGAGAAGTGTTTGAAGTTGAAAATATTATATGGTGTAATAAACTTGATTGGAGTTTTCTTGGTCGAATCGAAATTCAAATCTTAAGTGATAATACACTGAAAGAATCTTATTGAGTTGCGATTGTCGTAAAGGTGATTGAGTTGAGAGGTAATCCTCTGTGGATTGTATTGTTGTTTGGTGGTGTGATGATGATCCAGAAACGAACTTACAGGCTTCCAACCCGAACATTATGTATCCCACAGACTCATCGCAGGTCGCCGCACGCCATGCGGAGTCATCACTATCGAAATTTGCTTTCTCCCCCATGATGTCAATTTTGCGGTGCCGCCGCTCTCGTGAGACTCCTTGCCGCACATTATGGGCAGATGCCTTACATCCAGCTGGGCGAATATCATACCACTGTCAGGACATTCTGCTGTGCTGGCTGTGAAACTGCCGCCCGCTGATTGGCCAGACTTGACACTGGCCCTACGCTTTTGGGGCTCTCATCAGTAGGGACGCTCACAGAGTTTGGGGCTGACTGATCCGGATCCCTGTCGGTGGTGCCACTCCGGAGCATCCCGGAGAGGGGGATTGGCCGGGCGCTACAATTTGCTCTGCCTGAAGAGGCAGAACTGAACATGACATATATGAAATACGGATCTGAAAGAAGACCCAAGCCGGGCGCAGACGCCGCAGAGTCAGAATCGCCTAACAGAACTGCCGCCCGAGCGTTCCTAATGCGGAAGATTGTCAAATCATGAGGCCGTCCGCAATTTCCTATTATGAGCAGATTTGCGCAAGAAGAGAACATCATGCCACTGTTGACAAACATCATCCCGAACCACCAAGTTTTCTCATGCGCTGTTGCCTCGTAATCTGGGGAAATCGCCGCGACGTCAAATCACAGAACAGTTGCTATCACTGAGATTATGAAGATCTTGCGATATGGCATGACATGTTGTCCCTACAAGGGAAGAGGCCATCTCAAGGAGATTTTAGGCCGCCGAGATTCAAGCAACTACAGATCCTAGGGTATGCAAGTGCCTAGTAGCCAGGGGCACGCAACATTGAACTCTGTCTCTACATCATAAGATGATTTTCGAGAGCAGATTTGATTCCGCAAATTTTCAGGTCATTCCAATCCAATTCAACGAGCACATTATGACATGAATTATGGGTTGAAGGGTTCTATAAGCGTATATGGCGGGATCTGCGGTGACTGCGGCATCAGCTGAGAATTCCACAGCCGCCGCAGCGCCGCAGCCGCGATCAGCCCAGGGTCGGGTTCGGCCAGCACCGATCGTTTCGCCTCGATTCATGCCTGCTCACGTGGGATCTCACGGATAATGCTCCGTTAAAAGAATCTATGGCATACATGAACGCAGCGGAGGACTCCGCATGCCACATGAGTTCAGCTTGTCATCCATCAGGGCCAAAGCTTGTTGCGGATGCTGTTGACCTCTTCCCCGCTGCATGCTTGGTCTTCGCCCAGTCATAAGGCGAAAACTGAATGCGAGTGCCGTCATGCTTAGCAAATTAGGTACTCCAGGGGTAGTGTGGGAGACCGGTTTAAATAGCATACTGTGCCCCAAGACTCCTCATGAGCAAACAGATCGTTGAATTAATTCTCTCAGCCGCAGCAGAGTGCAGGGTATGTGATCCTTCTCTCGGGCAAGCGACACGTTTTGAGACAACAGCTGAAGGTCGTGGCGCAACTTTAACCTCTTGGGAACGGCAGTTTTGACAAGATGCGTTGATTCTACATGACTTATTGTAACAAAAACAAACATAAAAAATCATCTATTCTATCATTTACAAGTAGTCACCAAAGGCCCTGAGAAGAGATTAAAAATAGATACAAGTATACACGCACTAACATTCTTGATTGTCGCCAAGTTGATGTCCTTTTGATCGAATGAAACGTCATAAAAAGATCAGCGCTCTGTTACAAACTTTACTACATGTACCTAGGTAGTCATATTTATGGAACGCTTCCATCTCGTCAATTTCTTCATCATACTGCTGATCTTCTTGTAAATCGATGGCCTCGTTGCAGTTCAGATTATGTCTTCGTTGAGCTTGGCTATTTGGTCACGCATGCAGTTCGCCAAAGATTTTCACATGCCCCGCAGACAACCTCGTGTCAATACTTTTGTAGCGTTGTATATAACTTTTTTTTCCTCTAGAAGGGCGCTGCTATAATTACCTATGCTACCACCGTTCGAACAGCACATGCTATAGAAATTATGCTCCATTATTAGCGGAGATTAATAACCGCAAGTGGTATGTGCAACTATCTTTGTTAAAAAGTATAGAATCTAGACTCACAATTATATTCTCATTGGTGTAGGGCTATTAGCCGTGACTGGCGCAGATAGGCCCAATTCAGAATACATGTCTGCAGTACTTATTTTGATGGGTCCTTGGGATACCCCTCTAACATCCCACAGAGACGTACTACGTCTATGGCGGATGCGAGTTACAATGAGCAGCCCGGATTTGAGAGATTAATCTTCTCTTTATCGATGGGTGGATGAATGAATGTATGCACCAAACTTAATCCATTCCTAGGCCAGAAGAGGTGTATTTGTTTGTAAAATTGCAATTGATCGCCTCCTAGAGACACATGGCCATCATACTTCCATGATATCCCATTCAAGGGACTCCAGATGGCGCCGCTACCAGCTTCTCATCTTAATTAGCCATCAATGTATCATCCCCCTTGAGTTATCGGTTAGTGGTATTTTCTATGTGCATATCCGATAGGAGTTCTAGTAATATCGGTTGACAGCCAGGTAGTACGAAATACAAAGTGTGACGAAAACCCCAGAAGCAAACTGTCAATCTCTTGTGACCTAGGGTGAGTGGAGAACGAAGTACAGTCGTATATTAATGTACTACTTGGTATGAGTAACGTTGTCAGTATCAGATGGAGCACCTGAATACACACAGAAGATATCGCATTTTGAACGGAGGATTTCTGCTGCTGAAACCGCATCCAACTCGAGATACCAAAACGAGACAGCTCAACTCCTCAAGGATCATGACCAAAATATTCAAGTGGCTACAATCAAAATCGTATGGTTGATATATCAACCACGTATCTACTACGGGGTCGACTTACGGTCCGATATGTCACCAAGAGGTGAAGCATAACCAACACTCACTTGCATACACCCATGTATAAGACCGCTCATCGACACCCTATCACCACCACCAAGTTTGCCCCGCAGCTAACATGAGACGTCAATGCGATAAAACTTTTCCATTTCAAGTGCAGTCCTCCGTGCTCCGTAGAGATTTTCAAAAGAATCGGCATTGGTGTAACAGATTCCCCTCGTCTGATGTTTTTCATGCTTCCCCCTGTTGCCTCGCCATTTGGGTTTAGGGGGATTTCTTTTATGTTGGAGCTTGACTCTTGTGAGCATCACGTGCTGCGTCCGCCTGTTTTCTCTTCTCTCCTCCCCCACCGCCCAATTTTACCCTCTGCCCTAATTGGATCCGCCGATATTAACAAACGTGGCACGGCGGATCACAAACTTGCAGCGACGCAAATATTAGCTCGGCTATTCCGCCAAGACTCCTCGCGAGAACGACAAAACGCGTCAACGGTGCTTTTTCGTTTCCTGATTTGCTACAATCCGCACTGTGTTTAATTGTTATGCACGTTCTGACAAGTCATAATGACGGCTGAAATCCACGCAGCCCGCAGTGCAACCAGCCTAGGTACAGTAGAGTCGTGAGGCACAGCGAGATCAGTCCGGCGGACGAACAAGTGCCTTCGCTAGAAGCCTCTCGTCTCTGAAATGGAAGATTCGGACAAGGAACAGGAAGCTCGAAGGCATGGCCTTGACACCAAAACTGGGGCGCTGGACTGGTCGGCTAGGCGACTTGCGTCCATGGTTCGCCGTGGTGTTAATCTTAGCTCTGGCCGAACAGCTTCGGGTTACCAGGATTTGACGGCAGCTCCCTGCGCTAAGAGCTGCTAAAGCCAAAGCCCGATCCAATTTGTCTCTTCTGTCGTACGCAGTGACAACCTTTTACTGTACGGCACGTAGCATCACAGAACCAACGCACAGAAGTGGACAATTCTTGCAGCACATGCGTGAGGGGAGAACGACCATTTCCCCATCGCCGTGGATGTGCTTATACAGGCAACCCCTCAGATAAGAAGCCTCTTTAAGGGTTTTGGCCGTCGCATTCGATTCTGCCGTCCAATTCAATCGCAATGTCTAGTCCAAGGAGCCCCGAAGGCCCGCGAAGAGGCTCTCCAGCCAAATCGCCGTCACTCCCAAGATCCCCGGAGCCTACCGAACCTCCAGCAGCTCCAGCAGCTCCAGCAGCTCCAGCACCTACGGCAGAAGCACAAGTGCCTCCAATGGCAGAAATTCCTTTTGTATGCACCTCATAAACGGCTAGTTCGGCGGGCCAGCGTCGTAATGGCCGATAATTGCATGCTCTTTACTTTCTCAATGCCCTGTATGCTGACTTGGCACGCGACAGGAGGACGAGAGCGGGGATTCCGGTGTAGAAGGCTATGATGATGATGCGTATGTTCGGATTGACGTGAATAATCTTTGCAATGAATCCGGGTTGACATGGTACAGCGCCTCATCAACAGCCTCTCTGTCGGAGAGTATATACGACTACCGCCAGATCCACGGCCGGACGTTCCAGCACTCCAAGACGACCGAGTATTGGGGTCCCAATGACGACCGCCAAAACAATGGACTCGACATCTCGCACCACTTCATAACAATGCTTCTCGGCGACCAGCTGTACGAGGCTCCCATCAAGGAACCCCCTACTAGAGTCATGGACGTTGGCACAGGAACAGGCATCTGGGCCATCGACATGGCCGACATGTTTCCTTCCGCCGAAATTATAGGAACCGATATAAGTCCCATCCAGCCCACGTGGGTGCCGCCAAACTGCATCTTCCACATCGAAGACGCGCAGCTGGAATGGACGTATCCGCCGGAACACTTCGACTTCATCCACATCCGGGCACTCTATGGTAGCATCAGCGACTGGAGCGAACTGTACAAGCAAGCCTTCACGACAATGAAGCCGGGAGGCTGGATCGAGGACTTTGAATTCAACATTACGCTGATGAGCGACGTCCCCGAGGTTCGAGATGACCCTAAGCACATCTTCAAGCGCTGGTCAGAGGTGTTTACCGAGGCCGGCGAGCGCATGGGCCGGACGCTGCTCATTGGCACCGGCGGGCAGATGCGGAAGCTCATGCAGGAGGCCGGCTTCATCAACGTCGTTGAGAAGAACTACAAGGTCCCGAGCGGCAAATGGAGCAGCGATCCCGTCTTGAAAGAAATTGGCGCATACAACCTCGCCTTTCTCGACGAGAGCCTAGAGGGCTTCGCGCTCTTTATGCTCAAGGAGATTATGGACTGGGACTACATTGAGGTCCAGGTCTTTGTCTCGGAGATGCGCAAGGCCATCAATAACCCAAAAATTAGACCATACTACATCCTGTAAGTTGCCCCCTCCTCCTCGTTGGCTCGCCGCCAAGCTCCATTGAGATCAAACGGCTGCTAAAGGCGTGAGTGTAGCACGAATGTCTTTGCACGAAAACCGGAAGCTTGGGAGTAAAAGTTTGCTTTTTTTGGCCAGCGTCTATGTTCTTTCTGAACCGTTTACGTTAGAGCTTGTTGACCTTTGCACCTGCGGAATATGAGACCCAAGTTGAGCGACCAAAAGACCAAATACCCCCTATCACAGAAGAAAGATTTGTCCCATGTGGCCCCGATGGTTTAGAATGTATGGGCTGCCTGGTTTTGACGGTGCTGTTTTGTCATGTATTGTTATTGATCACAAAGTCTAATTTACGCTATACGACACCGCGCATGCGAGAATGAAGATCTCCTTATCCTGGGCCGCATACTCCGCACATTTCGCCTGAGCCTATCGCCGAAGTGATGAATCAGTGCACTGTCTGTTGCGGGTGAAACAAAACCGCTCCCCCTCTCAAAGTCTCGTAGCACGGCTTCCGATCCTTGGACAATTCAGCACGTCCCGTATCACAGCGTTGTAGTACTCGTCTGTAATAGTAATTTCGTGCCGTTTGTCATGGCGCTGAGACATGGAATGGCATCTGCGTCTCCCGCCTTGAACGTTCACCGAGCGCTACGCCAGATGCAGTGCTCGCAGCAGCTAACCGATGCCAAACTCCTCAGATAACGAGAACTCGTTGATTTCTCATACGCACCCAGACGCCTAGTTTTCAGCCATGGAATGCCACGTGAATGACGAATTGCCATGTGAGTGACCATGCCTGTGATATGAGTCGCTTTATATGACATACATCATGATTATTGACAAGATAACTCGTATATCACATCCTCGCTTCCAGCAAGAGCGAACTAGCACAACCAAGCCGTCGGACAGACCTTTCCCAACCCAGACGAGCATGCAGAGGGACCCCAGCGTCGCATAACATCTGATCCAAGCGTTGACACCACGCCCGCTGGAAGACGGCCGAAACCACCTCCAAGCAGGGCGGGAAATGGGGGACTGAAAGCTCCGAGACCTTGCTTCGAAACGAAGGCCACCTCCCCCCCTGCTAGCGCCCTATCCGGTCATCCCTTCTCGCGGCAGGGAATCGTTGCGCCAGCCATTTGCCTAAAGGTGCACTAAATCCAGTAGCTTGGGACACTACTGCAGGCCTGTCCTTTTGCCATCTTCCGCGGTGCTGCAAGGAGGGGGAGGGGGAGGGGGAGGGTTGAAGACGGAAACCCGGTACGAGCGTCGAAAGATCCAATGCCGTGAAGGAGGATGCCACGGCTTTTTTGGGGGGTATCTCTACTGTACGTCGAACAAAACTGTAGATCTTGAGGGGTTTATCCCCTTCGTCTTCCTGGTCTTCGCCTTGCTAGGATTAATAAGTGTCGTTTGATATGTCATTTTCCTTGTTCGTATATCTGTCGAGCTGAAAGCATCTTGTTTTCAACCCCAGCTCGTTTCGCGCACTCGTAGCACGCTATATCGAAAAGCTATTGCTCTTAAAGGCCAGGTTCGGGCCGGCCCTTGTATAATCAAGCGGGGGGGCTTTCTCTGGTCCGCTCCACAGCAGAACGAAGCTACTCCGTGCGGCTGCTGCTACTGTGCTTCTGGGTTCTTACAATAAGCAGGGCGAGCCTGAAAATTGGCGCACAAAAGGAAACTTGCCAGAACCTTCATCATACATGGTAGATTCTCTGCTTGGTGTATTGGTCTAGGATGGAGGGTATTGCTGGAATTCCGGGCTCCGTCCTCCTGCTCGCAGGCGGTCTCATCAGCTTCTTCGTCATTGGAAGGATCGTGACGTACGCGAGGTTGAGATCGTTCAAAGGACCCTTTTTGAGCAACTTCACCAATCTGCCTCACAGGAAAGCTTTGTTCCAGCAGAGGTGCCAGGAGTGGTACGGCGAGATTTGTGAGAAATATGGTACGATGGTCCCTATATCCCAAGAAACAAACGTCATCTACCCCAAAGCGTTTCATTGGTGACTAATTGCATTTTCCTTGTGCAATAAATGCAGGCCCAATAGCAAGGATTGCTCCAAACGTGTTGATCACCTCTGATCCCGATGTGTGGATTCATGTGAATAATAAGCCCGGCTATAAGCGTTCCGAGTGGTATTATACAGCCTGCCGCATTGAGTATCGACGAGACAATGTCTTTACGCAGACGGACAACAGGAAGCATGAGGCGCGAAGGAAGCAAATGGCTCCGGGGGTATGTCGTATCGCATCGCAAGACCCTCTCTTTGTGAAAGCCATTGCAAGCTGACCACGATATTGTCACTCAGTATTCTGGAAGAGAAAACCCCGATCTTGAACAAAGCATTGATGAGCGTCTCCACGAATTCATTGACTTGATTAGGTCCAAATATGTTTCCACAAGCGGCAATGTTGTACCGGTGGACATGGCGAAAAAAGTCCAATTCTTCACTTTGGATGTCATCAGCGGAGTTGGACTGGGCAAGACTTTCGGCATGCTGCAAAGCGACAGCGACGTAGAAAACTATCTCCAATCCAGCGAAGAAGGCCTTCATATCGCCAACTTTGGTCTTGCCTTTAGCCTCAGCTGGATCACGCAGGCGCGCTTCCTCGGCAAATTCATCGCCCCGTCGCCAGACGACAGCAAGGGATTCGGCAGGATGATGGCCACTTGCTTCCGCTATGTCAACGAGCGTGTCGCAAATCCTACAGATAAACGATCCGACATGCTGGCATCATTCATCCGCCATGGCATCTCAGGCGATGAGTTGCGCTCAGAGGCCCTGGAACAGATCGTTGCCGGCTCCGACACCACAGCAACTGGCATCCGATGCACCCTGCTTCACATCATCACAAACCCGCGTGTATACGCAAAGCTCCAAAAGGAAATCGACGAAGCTATTCGAGATGGCAAAGCTCCTCAGGATGAACTCATCACTCACAGCCAGGCAAAGCAACTCCCCTATCTTCAGGCCACGATCCGTGAGGCCATGAGAGTCTGGCCACCCGTCGCAAACGTCTTCTCACGAGATATCCCACCTGAGGGCGACACCGTCAAAGTCAAAGGCGAAGATGTCTTCTTGCCTGGAGGCGCCTGTATCGGATATTCTGCGCTTGCAATGCACCACAGCACCGAAATCTACGGCCCCGACGCAAAGGCATTCCGTCCCGAGCGCTGGTTCGAAGAAGACAAGGACAAACTCGCGCTCATGCTTCGCACCAACGAGCTGATTTTCGGCTACGGGAAATTCCAATGCCTCGGAAAAGCGGTTGCTCAAATCGAAATTGGAAAAGTAGTATTCGAGGTATGTTTGTTCACATAGCTGGGCAAGAGGATTCTGGCTTCTTCATTACCCGTATGCTTGAGTCTCTGGCTGGATTATGCTGACAAAACTTTAGATCTTTCGCAACTTTGACATGGCCCTGATCAACCCGACGAAACCATGGGTGGCTTTGAACTCGCTTGGATTGTTTACCATTTCCGACATGTGGGTGCAGGTGATGGAGAGGCATGCGTAGGAGGTGCTTTAAGCTAGCGGTTTGTTCAAGACCGGAGAGTTTTTGGTCCCGCGATTTCACATCTCAAGTTTGAAAGATCGATCATGCATTTGTATTTATATCCGTAATAATTTGATCGTGATACCTCCAGATTCAAGTATATACATGTACAAGTACACTGAGTGAAGCAAGGGTTGGGTCGACAAGCTCCCTTGGGGTGAGTCACGTGATTACCGCCATTGGCCGAACTACGTTTCTGGAACCTCGAATTGTCCAAATAGCTCAAACTCCAAGAATCACAGGAATGCGCCGGTAGACACAATCACCATGTCCTCAGCACTGGCAAAACCTCCTCCAGCTCCGGCTACCGACAGCAAGCCAAAGGTCACCGTGGCCGCGGTCCCGACGTTCGACAATGCCTTGTCAAAGGGCATCGCCTTCGGCCGAGTAGCTGTCCTGCTCGGGCTGCTGGCTGCGCAGTTCAACGACCTGGTGGCAGAGCCGGTGCTAACGCTGCAATCCGCGCTGCCTGTCGTGGCCGTTGTCCAGGTGGCATACGCGGTGCTATGTCTGCCAGCAGCAGGCTCTCAGCAGGCGAAAGCTGCCAAGAAGGCTCGTCCTGGCGAGAAGAAGAAGCCCGAGCAAGCCGGAACGAGCTCAGTGGTGGTATGAAGCTTCCAATTGATTACCGTGATGGATTGATATGGGCTACATTGCTTGCGGCTTTGATTTGGAATGGATGATGCTAACATACGTGCCCTTTCTTCAATCCTAGACTGCTTTCCTCGCCCTTGTCCTCTCTACGATAGCGACCCCTGTCATCCATGCGCTCTTCATCCTCTTCGGTGCGCCTTTCCTCGACCACATTACTCACACGTTTCTCTGCGCGGCGCACTTCTCCCTCCTCGGCATCTTCCCTGTCATCTACGCACGCGGAGTGGATAGTCAGGCACTGATTGCGGTGGCTGGACTGTCTGCGCCTCTGGACGAGACGCTGGGCGGCCTGCTAGGCGCGGTGCTTGGCGCATGGTTGGGCGCGGTGCCTATCCCGCTCGACTGGGATCGAGAATGGCAGAAGTGGCCTGTCACGATTGTCTGCGGCATGTACGCGGGGTCATGTCTTGGCAGCTGGCTGTCTGGCGTCGTGTTTTTCGGCAAGCGGCTCGGAGGAACTGCGTCTGCCGCAAAGGACGAGTAAGGGCGAGACGGTCAATTGGCGCATGTACTAAGCATAATCATACACGGAGCATATTGGGGAGATATGGCGGGCATTGTGTGCTGAGACGAGCATTACGAAGAGCTACTCTTTGAGTTTGGGGCTAATTGACTATATACGGATAGAGAAAACGGTGGTTAGCAGCGGTAATCGTAGTAGCTGTATGGAGCACCATATCAGCCAAGTTTTTTGTTATATATATAATGAATCCATATGTGTAATCTTAGACGCCATCTTCTGTACGAAACTGTCACCCTTGGTTCCAGATAGATTGTTGCCATACCTACCACACAGAAGCGCCCGCAGACCAAGACCAGGCCCAACTCTAGTTTGTTTGGACCAATTCACAGCGTCAGCCAGTAGTCGACGCTTGATACGGGTCCTGTGACTGTACAGAGTTGCGTTCTGTAATCCATTAGTCAAAAAGTCTTGGATCTCCGGCTTGCACGGCGTTCGGAATCACTGATCGTTGGACAAGATAGAGCACACTATCGGGGAGATTGACTGCCAAGCGCTGCGCCTGTCATGCCATTTGTCCAGCCAAGACGGAGCTACTGTAAAGCGGGGGGTGTGATGGATGGGCAGGAGAGAAGAGATCCATGCAAGGACAAGACAAGACAAAAAAGTCACTGTGGCTCGGGCGGTTAATGCAAGTTTGAGGGACGGCAAAGAGTTGTAGTCGTGATGGGGATGGGATGCTCCAGCAGCAAATTGCAGTTGATTCCGCATCGCACCGCCTCATCTCATCATGACGGCAGCTAGAGCGAAACGGAGTCCCAAGTTTCTAAAAAGGGAACAAGAACATTTCAACTGCATTGAGGCGAATCGAATGGAGGAGCTGCAGCTTTGCACAAGATTTTGCTGCTGAGGTCACTCATACGTCGAGACAAGCCGCACCGGCACACACGGAAATGGAATTGGCATTTGAACTGCTCCCGGCAGACGCTGTGGCTGGTAAACCTCCAAAGCTTCCAATGAGGCCAAGCTTTGTCGTCATGTGGCGACGACGCTGTGGCGCGTGCTCGTGTCGAAGAGGCGTTTGCTGTCATCCCATCGGGTTTTCCAGCTGCACATCTGTGGCGGTGCGGCAGTTTGAACCTTGCAAGCATGGAAACAAAAGCTGCGCTAAGCAGGGGGGCCTGCAGCAACGCCTGTAGATTATGACGTAGCTTGATTTCAATCTCATGTCGGGAAAAAAAAGTCATGATGGCATATTGCTTCATTGGTGTTTTTTCTGCGTAACACGAAACTGGGCCAAACAACCGGCTTCTTTCTCGTGCCTTGTTGCAGCAAAGCAACCCGTTAGCCCCTGCATGATAGCGCCCTAAGCCGCCCAATTTCTTGTCACTGTCCCGAAATGGCATCGAATGGCTTCTTGTTCCCTCCCCTCCCCTAAGGTATGATGTGTGGCTTGACCAGTCGATGACGCAACATGGAAGCCGGCTTCCTTTCCTTCTTGGCCGGAATGTCTGGGAAGGGCCAAGATGACGAGCCACGGCAATAAATAGTACAAGCTTCGCAGAAACCTTCCTGTCCGCTCTTCTCCCTTTTGTGTCTCACACAGCTTTTTCATCTTTCCTCCTGATCTTCACCAAAACAACATCATTGCGCCCTTTGACCTCTTAGCAAATATTCGATATACCCAAAAGACGTTGAGCCCTTGAGCCTTACGCGAAACACATATCCAACATGCCTTTCACCACTAGGTAAGCTTCGAGCTTGACGTCCCGTGGCTTCCGTCATCTTCCCCGCAGCTCTCAACCCGCTTCCTCTTCGACGGCACGCGATCAATGAGAGCTGGGATGATATCGAGGCCCAATCAGTGGACAATATGCTGATCATATCTTCTCCTTCAGCGATATCTGCAAGATTATTCTTGCCATCATCCTGCCACCCGTCGGTGTCTTCCTCGAGCGAGGCTGCGGTGCAGACCTCCTGATCAACATCCTTCTCACAATCCTGGGTATGTCAAAAACTGCCACTCACCGCCAATTGCAGCCCTCACATCACTGTGATTCCATCTTCTCGGGCGCCTGACTGACTTGATCCACCCTCAGGTTACTTCCCTGGTATCATCCACGCTCTGTACATCATATTGAAATACTAAGCCCGCCTTCCGCTCCCGTATCCGCCGGAATCAAAGCGTCATGTCGTCGCACCGCATCATGTTGTGCAGACACCAATTACTCCCACGTTTGACCGGCAATTGTCGTTTTAGAATGGATGCGTCAGTGGAGGAGTGAATTTTACGGTCGCCGGCTCACCACTTGGCCGGTCATAGACGCCATAATGACAGTGGGCTTTCCTTTTATGGCTTTTCTTTTGTTTTTTTTTTCTCTCTTGTTGGCTGGAGGCAGATGCACCCTGTTTGAAAGGGGCGTCAGGTTTGGCTATTGTTAATGAATTGATACCCGACTTCCTCTAATCACAAATACCTACCTTTATTCAGTCTCAAACAAGCTTTGGTTTGGTCTCATTCCTGTGATGCGTGCATTTGATAAAAAGCCTGTGGTTTGAACTTGCAGTCTACCGATGCCAATGAAACAATTGATTTGACAAACTACATACAAGAAATATGATTGATTTCAAACGATTGATAAGAAGCAAAAATGAGAGAGAAAAATGGCGAAGAACCAAAAAAAGATGGTGATTCCGCCCGGGCTCGAACCGGGGACCTTTTCGGTGGTGTCAACTAAACTGTTAACGAAATGTCATAACCAACTAGACCACGGAACCGTTCATTGGTGATGCGATCAGTCGTGTCTACAGTTATACATCCATCGCGGTATCTCGTCAAGGAGCGATTATTTCTGAGCGTCGCAAAGCCCCCCCGGGACGATAAGGTTGCTACAACTTCATCACCGTCAGGTCGACTATAAACATCAAGCTAATATTCAATCCTGCATCATATACAACAGTAGCCCTCTCCACCAACGAAGGGCAATGTATATTCGTTCGAACACATCCCTTGCCAATACAAGGTGTTGAAAAAAAACCCAAAGAAGAGCGCCAATTCTAAATAATCCCCAATCCTTTACCATGTGTCGCATATAATCCCGAGCATGTAAATGTACCGTATGAACGAGTGAATGTGAAAAGAAAGAAAGAAAGGTAAACAACGAATTTAGAGCAACTCTCCGTCGCCCTCTTCAACCCCCTCCTCCTCTTCGTCCCAGTCTAACTGGGCGTCCAGTTCCGCAGCCTTGCGCTGGAGTTCTGCGAGGCCAGATAGCTCGGCGACGTAGTCCTTTTCTTGAAGAGCCTTCTTGACAAATCCCCACCCGTCGTTACGGAAGGCGTCTAGGATCTTGGGACTACATGCGCTACAGCTGTCATACGATTGCCCGCGAAGGACAATGTTCTGAAAGGTAGATACATAGCCACGGATCTGGTGCGGCACGAGGCCAAGCGGGTGATCAGGGGGGTCCCTTTCGAGCGTGACGCCTGGCCTTGGTTGGGGTGCCGGGGCGCCGTTCTTTAGCGGATGTTGCAAGAGGCTCGTCAAAAGCTCAACCAAAAGTGCAGAGGCAATGGCAGCAACGCCGGGTCGAGTCACGGTACACTGCTGATCAAGCGTTTGATCCTTCATAGACTACGTGCACAAATATTGTTAGAAATATGACAGGCAAACGAAAATCTTTTGGGAAACTTACATCAGCTGGGGCGACGACATCATTGCAAAAGTAGCATCCAAGAGAGTGTTGGCCCTCTTGTTGCCCTTCAGCACCGTGCCGCATAACCACGTATGAATCGAATCCCAGGGCAGCATTCATGACAATTTTGCCGGCTGCTTTTCCCATCACTGTCGGTAGCCATCGAGATTCGCGAGTATCCATCAGCAAGAAGATGACATCGTGGGCATCAATCAAGGCTTCAAGCTTGTCGTAGTCGGCTTTTGTTCTCGCCTCATCAGCGAGAGCGTGACCAAGCATCGGCACGGAGAAGGAGTGACCCTCAGCATCTACTCCCGGATATATCCTCTTCAACATTTCGGCGGCTTGAATAGCCTTTGGTTTACCACCATTGAGACAGTCATCGTACTCAAAGAGCGGCTGGCGAACTGGGTTTGAGAAGGACACGCTGCCGTAGTCAACAAAGGTGATTTTTCTCACACCCCAGCCCAGTAAGTTTCGTGAGACGTAGCCACCCAGCGTCCCGGCACCCAATAGCAAGCATTTGGTGTTCTTGATTACATCGAGATTCAAATCAGGGGCCAGTCGCCACTTCATCAACTTTAGATTCAAGTCGACTGAAGAATCAGCCAACCTGTTAGGGTCCATGTACTCGCCCAAGTTTGCCAGTTGTGCTTGAAGCTTGCCGTTCTTTGCTCGCTCCCAACCTGTAACCTTGGGCATCTCTTTGATCTCCATGTCTTCAACGGGGTCCATCGTGATCGGTATAATGATACTTTTGGCTTCATGCCTTCTAGACCATTCATCTCTGAAACACAGAATATTGATCTTGGACAAGCGGAATCGGTGGCGAATTAGAATCAGGAGATTGCGCAGCGGCCATGAGGGGCCTTCTGAGAAAGTTGACGGATCCAAAAATGTGACAAATCGATCCTCCTCGGCAACACCGTCAAAGAAGCCATCTTCAAAACTTCGCAGTGAGGCCACCTCCCATCTGTAGGGAATCTTGAGTGCCGGGTCGTGTTCGTTCAAATCCTTTGGCTTCTCCCCCCATATCTTCTTGGCCAGGAAGAATCCATGCTCACGCTTATCCACGATATATCTCCATGTGCCGACGCGATCCATAAGAGCTGTAGTCTCGTCCGAGTTGAGGCGCAGGATGGGGCCAGAGCGCTTCCACTGCGCGTCTGAGTGCAGCGCAGGGAATGCACACCAGTATATAAATCTGTACTTCTTGAGGTCGGCGTATGATAGAATGATGAACGAGGATAAGAGCGAAGGAACAGAGTAAATGCTGCCGTCTTTAATAGCGTCCCAGATCTGTCTGCCTGCTAGCTTCAACATAGCGGCTTTGTCGGTCTTCCTGAAATCTTCGATGGTATTGACATTTTTGATGATGCCTTCGGCTCTTGCTTTTCCTAGAGGTGGACTGTATCGCGTGTCAGCTCATACCATTCCCGTTGGTTCGTTTTGATGTCAAGAACGCACTCTGTGTTTGTCAATGCGCTTCCGAGAATCTGCAGCTTGGAGCTTGCGTCCGGGTCAACATCCCGCGGCTCGTACACGCCCAAAATTCCACGCGCAGAGTCGTCGAGCTTGTCATAGTCTAGCTTGGACGAGAAGAGCGCCGAGTAAAACGGCAACTCTATCTCGGATGTGAACGGCACGAACTGAAGCGGTTCGTCCATGGTAGCGGTTGCGTCGCAATATGCCGAATGAACTTTGGTGATGGTTTTGGAGAAGTTGGCCGAACGAGTAGTCGTATAAGGTGTATTTGTCAAAAGTATAAATCCGTGGATGCGAGGCTGACGAAGACTTTATTTGATTTGGCGTCGTATCAAGTGCAAGGCTCGAGAAAGCAGGCGACAAGGCAGAACCGTCATCTGATAGAGCATCACGAGCTACAAGGCCAAGTGATGTCGTAGCGCTGAGCTGCCCCGCGGAGAGCGGGGAACTCTGGTTGCTTTCTAAGTGCAGCCAGCATGCAAGGGCCCAGGCTTCCAGGCTGTTAGTGCTTGTTTGTCATGGGGAGCTGCTTGCGGCTCTTACAGCAAAAGTCAAAATGCGGGGCTGAGCCCTATAAATGCAAATACTGGTGCAGCAGACATCTAAGAGACAAGTCCGATATGGTGTAGTGGCTAACATCGCTCGCTCTCAATCTTCGATTGAAGCTCCGAGCAGCCCTGGGTTCGATTCCCAGTATCGGAGACAATTCTTTTTTTGCAGATTTCGTGGGCTAGGATGCATTCGATGTGCGCAAAGGCTCTGTGGTTTTTGCAACCTTGTCGATTCATTCTTTTTACACCTCTGAACTTTAAAAATGTTGCTTTTATTGCAAGCTGTGCGGATCTATGTAGATTGAGCTATCCTCGTCATCTCGAGTCTGAGATGCGATAAACTAATATGTACTCCGTAGAGTTTTACAATAACACTTTGTCTCTGCTTATTTTCACTGCCTCCCTTTGTGTCTCATTTTTAGAGATATTGTTCGACATTTCCGGTAGTACAGCTCAGCTACGATTTAAGGTTTCAGCCTGGCCCGTTTGCATGAAGCCAAGGGGGAAGAATATTCTCAGAGGCGCCACCGTTTGTCTTACCGGATTTGCAATACTTCTCGGCTACCACCAAGGTTTAAGCCTGGGCTGTTGGAATGCAGCCAAGAGCAGCCAAGAGCAGCCAAGAGCAGCCAAGAGCAGCCAAGAGGGGGCAGACCAATCTGACGTCAGGAATTCAGACTTTTAAACTAATTTAAAATCTTAAACACTGCCAAATATATAACCTTTAGACAATGCCAAAGCTTAGCTATGTAGCACTCTGATTCTTCAATCTGTCGAGATCATCACTTGAAACACCATGGCGGGCAAGAAGTCAAAGAACAAGAGCAGGAAGCAGAAGCAGGAGAAGAACAGGGTTGCTCAGCAAGAGCCAGCTACGAGCAGAGACGGACAACAGGAACCAGATAACAGCTTGGTCGAGCAACAAGAACCAGTCCCAACCTCGACCGAGCAGCAGGAGCCAGATACAAATATTGTTGGGCAACAAGAGCCAAATCTAGGTACCGTTGAACAGCGAATACCAGCTACAGGTATTGTTGGACAACAGGAACCAGATACGAGCATTGGTGGACAACAGGAACCAGATACAAGCATTGTTGAGCCACAGGCGCCTAATACAGGCATCGTTGGACAACAGGTACCAGATACGAGCATGGGTGGGCAACAGATACCGGCTGCAGGCATTGTTGGGGAACAGGAGCCATTTACAAGCACTAACAAGCAACCGGAGCTGGAAAAGGGCAAAGTTGAACAACAACAGCTGGATACGGGCGTCGTTGAGCAACAGCGGCCAGGTGAAAGCATTACTGAGCAACAACGGTTAGATACGACCACGGCTGTGCAACAAAAGCCAGATCAGAACATTCTTGAGCAACGGGAACCAGTTCCGATCACGGCCGAACAGCAGGAGCCAAAGAATCTTATAGTTGGGCAGCAGAAACCATTAACAGGAAGCTCCTATTCCGACGAGCGAGATCATCTATCATCAGACGATTGGCAGGGAATATTGTACGCAGCTGCTTCTGTCATCGGAGACACAATAAACTAATAATTGCAGGCAACGCACAGGTGCATTGAACGGTTGGGTTCCGCAGAAGAAAAATGGCGACATCGACATCACTCGTGCGGCTGAGCAATGTATGTAGCGCTCTGTTGACATTACAGCCGAAGAATAATGCTGACAGACATACCAGTGTTCACCTTGAAACCTGAGGCGGTGCCAAAGTGGAACACTGCAACTGGCTCTCCACGGGAGGCTGTGCAGTTCCAAGATTCTACAGAGGAGAGTTTCATCAGAGCAGCTTTTGACACGAGTGCGATCAAGACGACAATGTAAGTATTGACATTTTTTACTATCACTGAGAAAAGGACCTCATGAATACTAATGTGTTGGTAGCCAAGCCACTACGCCTGCCGGAAAGACTGGTGTCAGAGGGAGCTTTGCGCGGAGCACAGGGGACAAGGTGTCACATGAGCACTCCGGCGATGTGAAATCTTTCTATCTTTTCCATGAGGTATATATGCACTTTCACATGTCTTTTATCATGCAGTCACTAACAAAATTGGGACTTATAGTTCCCTCTTGCTGTTGTCGATTTGGAGGGCTCTTCACTTGTGCCAACCCAAAACTTTGTGGATTTCTTCAAGGATTCGATCAATGAATATGCCGGACTAATACCTCCAACTACATCTGCGGACCGGGAAGCATTCTCCTCGGTACTGAGCAGTTTTCATGATAGATTCGGTAAGTGTCTTGGAGTTCCCACCTGCAGAAAGGGGGCGTGCCTAATCGATGATTTTTCTTGCAGGCACCGTTTTTACGAAGCGAGTTGCGCTGGGAGGTAGACGCTATGCCATCCAAAAAGTCTTCAGGCACAGCCAGGCTGTGAACCAAAGTTCTGAAGAGAAGAATGCGATCAAAGCAAGCCTGGATGTGCCGTTAACCGTTGGTTCCCTCAAGGCCGCAGGAGAGCGTAGCTGGGGCTCGACTAGTGGCGATGGTGATTATGGCAACGTTACGATTGACGTCAATTCCCTTGTCATTGATGGCGGCGATGAGACCCTTACAGAGGAGTATGTCCTTCACTCTCTATGCGTTATTATCATGCAATCACTAACATCCAATATCTAGTGTCGAAGCATGGCAAAACACATTGCTGGCGCCCAAATATTGGAGAGTCATCAAGGTAAGAGTGGAGTCAAAATGGAAAATGACATTGGCTAATTATTTTGTAGCAAAACAATGTTGAAGCTCTTTTCCCATTTCTGCTAGGGGTATTGGACAGGATGGAGCCAAAATACGAGTATATTGACTTTGTTAGAGGATTAGCTATACATGACCAAGAGCTTCAAAAAGCCCACGAGAGACGACTAACCGCTGTCTCGGAGCCTCTCACATTGCGAATCTCAAGCTCATACGCTCCAACAAAAAGTATACTTTCGAGTCTCACTGGGAAAAAGCCAAAATGGACAATGACGCTCTATACCGATAAACCCAAAATGATTGATAGAGTCAAAGTCAAGATTCCCGGATACTTTGAGAATGGAAAAGACCGCGTTGATGACGTCGTTGGGTTTCCGAAAGCCTTTCCGGTCTCGATCGATCTGCCTACTCAATGGAGTCTGACTCCGAAGAAAACAACCAAGAAATACGAGGCAGAGTTTACGGTTATACTCAAACCCAGTTATGAGTGGCAAGAGTCTGATGGAGGAGCTTCGACAGTCACTTTGAAGGATCTTAGTGCCAACACTCTGGTTTTCGGGGCTTCGGTGAGTCCAGAATCAGCGACATTTACGGCAGAGTACAGTGTTCGCTCCACCAAATAAGAGTCATTTGGTACTTTCGCTTGATAAACGGCAATGGTCGGAACCTTCTAAGGGTGTTGGCACAACTACACGATCATTCGACGCAAGGACATCGCTCAACCGAGCCCATAAAATGAAATTTTGTGATCTAATCTCCGTTTTGAATTGATGGAATCGCTGCCGTGGCATAGATAGTATTCTATGTAACTGAATGTAACGGACCGGTCTATACAAAATAGAATAGGATGTTAGGTAGTCAAAAGTCAATAATTTGATTGGAGTTTCAAGAAGTTCTCGTTTAACTGCCTAGTATCCAAAATATATGATGTTTTTTTTTTCTTGTTTCATCAGTCGGCGATACGTAGATATGCTCTCGGCTTCGCAACTTGAATGGGGCTGTATTTCTTTTCCCCCATCAAACCGTCAATAAGTCTACCTTGTGCACAAGCCAAGTAGGCCCAGCCATCATCGTTATCACGGGCTCACCTCAAGTAGTATTTCGAAAGCATGTTGTTACATAATAGACTAACCTATTGTAATCTACCTATCTAGTAGTATCGATCTCTTGGATGCTTGCTGCAGTTATGCAGTGTTGGCAGGACCATGCTTCTCCATGTGATGAGATGAGATGTCAGAAATGTGAAAACCTTTAACTCCTAGCAAATTATTACCGAAAACCCCTTTGTTTGTCCACTCAAATCCACATGTTCATATAGTTGTAAAGGACTGATCATTGGGCGTGAGTGCTTTGGAAAAAAGTCACATAGACCACTCGCGACACCTAATTTTTGTCGATCCATCTCGAGTCTCATTTAACATCTGCGCCACTCCACGTAACGATCCTTTGCAAACACGACTTCGTTATTGAGTCGAACAAACTCCTCCATGGCTCCGGGCTGGCCATGTCGGAGTTTGGATCTGAAAGGCCACTTCTCGATGACAGTGTGCTTTTCCTTCATAACCACCCTAAATAATTCTTTTAGCTCTGAGAACCCGACTTCCATCATGAACCTGAAGGGAGATGTTAGATGTCAAACGAAGGTGAGTGTTATCGGGAGGAAACAGTGCTCACCGTTCGAAAACGGCATCATAGTTTGAGAGATTTGCCTGAGCATATACCCACTGGATTACTTTGGGATCACTCATGTGGTGGTCAGGCAAGTACTCATAGCCGTTTGCTATTGCTCTGTGCGCGATGGATGCACGCATGAGTCTTGTCTCTGGGTGGTCTGTAAATAAAGCCGCCGTTACGTCCTGCCTGCTCAAGGTCTCTGGAATTGCGTTCCTGAACAGAGTGATGAGGGTCGCATGCGGATTGGCGAGGGGGGGTTGGAGCAAAAACCCAATCAGGAAAAGTGTTTGGTGGATTCCATTAAAGCAGTTGTCTGACATGTTGGAGACCTGGATGAGGCAGATTAACATTTAAGCACTGGAGAAGTACAGACATGGCCAAGCTTCAGGCACCACCTCCTTACCTCTATTCGATCAAAATACCCGCTTTCAAGGAAACTAGTAAGCACGAGAGTCGTGTCACAGAAGAGTCGAAATGATACTTGCGAATCCGTAATACGGCTCAGAAAAGCTCGGAGTACTGTGTGAATGTGATTGTAAAGCTTGCCGTAAATGTCAGCAGACGCAGGCCCACTCGAGCTGTCTTCGACGTCCTTCAGAGACCATCCTTGGAGTGGATCAGCAGAGCTAGCCATCGGCCAGACATTACGAACGTGGAATAATGTCCTGCTATTTGTTAGATGCTTGCTTCTCGGAGACGTCTATTACTCACGGGTTTGGCTCTTGGAACTCATGGCGCGGAGCTCCGAATGGCAAAAGGAGTCCATCTTGCCGGGACCGCTGCTTCGCAACTCGGCGAGAAGGAGACTGAAAAATCAGATGTAGATCCAGATAGTCCCTCTTGGATCTGGCAAGGGTCACGGCCGTGCGGATACAGCTCGCTTGGTCTGCCGTTAGGCCTTCTGGAATACTCACGTAGGCCAAGAGGCGATCCCAGAATGATTTTGGTAGCACAAGCCTCAGCGAGCCCTTTTCGAATCTCCATGTCTTCCCCAGCGAGGCTATTCATATCCTTGTCTTTGATCTTTTCGCAAGCGCTTTCGATTAGAGGCCGAACCTTTTGCTGAAGCATGTCAAGATCGGACTTGCGGATAAGAGCCGAGTACCAGACGTGGATTATGCAGTCAACGGCCTCGTCGGCGTTATCAGACACGAGGGCAATGAGAAGTATAATGGCGTTGCGTGCCACCACATCAAGATCGTTATCGTTGATAGTAACTTCAATGGGCTTGGTATAGCCATCAGGAACCTGAGCAATGGTCTTGACAACATTTCGAAGATCTCCGGAAGCTACATCATTGGCAAATTGATCAGTTTGGAGGCTTTGTGTGATGAGATTGTGTTGAGAACATACCAGCAAACAAGAGGTTCAATTGCTTTCCGTGACCAACACCTTCGTTTGACTCAAGCTGAAGCCCATCGATGGCGGGAATATTTCCCCAAAGACGTTTTTCTTCGGCAAACGAGGGATATATGCTTCCCAATTTTACCATGAATTTCGGGTCTCTCCGTTCCAGAACCCAGCCAGGACGCCAGGCTTCATTGCCCAGGGGCGACTTGCAGTCGATTTTGTGAAGGGCCCAGTGAGACTTTTGGCAATCCGAACCGCAATACTAGAAACAAATGTCTGTTCAGAGGAGGCACACGCAAGTCAGTAAATACATCACATGTACTTACCACCACGAGATGGCATACGTTGCAAGTATATTTGCCGAATTTCTTGCAGCCAGTGTTGTCGGCGCTCCAGTTTGCGCACACAAACTGTGGAGTCGCCATGTTTGCCTTGTCCTTGGATCGAGCCAAGTCGAGATTCAGATGACTGTAAGCCTTTTAAGGTGATTTGCCAACCCAAATAAAGACAACGGGAGAGAATGATGCTCCTGATACTGATGCTGAGTTTCAGCACCAGTGGCTTCAAAGAGACGGAACGTGGAAAGGCGAGAGATGTGGGGAAGAGAAAGGTGAAGAGGAAGGAGGGGGGGAAGGTGAAGAAGGGGGAGGTGGTTGCCTAGGTAAACACCTGGCAGCCAGTTGACTGAGATAGTGGTAGCCCAGCTGTAATGATTCACTCTGGCCAGCTGCCTTCGTTTGCTTAAGCTGGCACGGAATATTTCCTCCGAGCCCATTCACTCAAGGCCGGTATCCACATATTGACACAGGTTTCCGAGCAAAGAACTCAAACGATTCAATTGAAAGGGAGCAGTTATTCAGCCACCCGAGTTTGTTATCCAGTATCCCATGTCTTCCATAAGAGCTATACGAACTAAAGGATAATCTCAGATACTAGAGAAAAACTGTAATAGCAGTAGATACTAGAAGAATATATTTATAATAATAGATACTAGAAGAAAGTGGTGATAGTAGTAGAAAGTAGTAATAGTAGTAGAAAGTAGTAATAGTAGTAGAAAGTAGTAATAGTAATAGAAAGTAGTAATAGTAGTATAAAGGTAGGTTCTATTCATATTCTTTTTACATCCTATTCTAATACTTGGATTTTACGCAGTCGCTAGGGTGTTGGATACCGAATTTGGGATACTGGATAACATTTCCCAATTGAAAAGGGTTGGCATTGGCAATGCGACATAGAGCATCAATAAGTCTATTCAATGGGAACTATGTGAGCCCTACATACACCAGTAGATTTGCCTTGATTTACATGAGCTTGCAGGTGAAGCCATCTATATACAGGGCATCGAATTTATATACTCCATCATCAGTCCGTTGTCCAGTATTACCTCCTGCTTTTGTTGCCAAAAATACACTAGCCATGGAATAGACAATCACTCCACTGTGGATATGCAACAGAATATACCAGTTGTAAACGGCCAAAGGTAAAAGAATGGCCGCAGATGGTATTTCATATGATAAAAATGGTTATTCGGTTCTTTTATCATGCTCCCCCCGAATTGGCTACGAAATATGGTTGCTAGGACTGGAGGCTCAGTTGGATTGGACAGAAGCAAGCATTGAATATCCGAAACATTCGCTCTTTAACAAGACATTATTCATAGATCTTCATCAAACACATCAATCTCTAAAAAAGAACCAAAAGCATGGTAGCTAAATACATGGGTGCATGTATATATAGAATATAAACCGACTTCCATCCATCATTCCACCCCACCGTGCCCAAGCCGTTGCAACTCACCCTCACCAAAACTTGAAGTTACAACAACCCATACAGAATTCCACCCAAAACAACCAAAGCCGCCATGCCATCCGCAGCAACCCTGCTTCCAGCACCCTTAGGCGTCGTAGCAGCCGGACCCGAAGGCGAAGTTCCGCTAGGCTTGTCAGGGCTCGTTCCGTTAGTCTGTCCCTTTGCATTCTGCGTCAAAGTGGAAACAACAGCAGACAGAGCATTCATCTGCTCGCCAACGCCAGTCAGTCCGTCAAAAGTGCTGTTGGCCCCAGCCCACGAGAATCCGCACGCAGTTCCCGCCTGGCCCGAAAAGCCTTTGGATGGCGATCCCGAGCAGGCCTTTGCCGCGGCCTTTGCATTCGTCAGGAGAATCGGCTGGATGGTGGCACCGGTGTAAGGAGCCAGCTGAGCCGTCTCTCCGAGCGATCGAATAAGGAAGCCCTTGAAAGCTTGCAGATCGGTGCTGCACGTCTTTACCGTCTCGCACGAAACCTCGACGAAGATGCCGTTGCTGACAAAAGCCTCCTGCACGCCCTTGAGCAGGCCGTCGACGCGCGTCTTCCACTGCGTGGACGTCGTGGCGTTGTACAGCGCAGCACTGCCGTGCAGGAAGAGACTGGCGCTCAGGCTGGTCTGGGTCTTGTCAATGTTCTTGCAGTTCTCGGTGTTGACGCCCTCGAGGACCCAGTACGTGTCGGTGATGAGGCCGGCGTCCTGCTCCCAGCTGAAGATCTTGGTGGCCCAGTCCGAGTACGTGCTGTTCTTGGTCTGCAGATACAGCCTGGCGGCGAGATCGAAGAAGACGCCGTTGGAAGCCGAGTTCTTGAAGTCGTAGCCAGCGTTAAAGGCAGCGATTTGCCACCGAAGACCACCGTCGCAGTTCTTGGTGTCCCATCGCTGCACAAAGTCGTTGAAGACATTCACAGCGAGATCCTGCCACTGAGGCTCATCCTTGGACGGGCTCGGGAATCCGCTCTCGGCCGCGGCGATGGCGGCCAAAGCCCAGGTGCCCTGGTCATCGTTGCCCTCGGCCTTGGACTGGTTCGCCGGCAGGAAGTTGTTGCTGTCGCCGACCTGGTGCAGCAGGCCCTGGGATGTCAACGAGTTGTACGAGTCGTCGCCCGTCTTGGCCCAGTAGTCGATCAAGGCCGTGAACAAGGCGCCGGTTTCCCACCCTGCGTCAAGTTAGTTCTTGTTCGCCATAACTCTTCACCCAGACGGTTGAATCAGGAGGGAAGGGGGGGCGGACAGAAGTATGGCTGGGGGAGATTGCCCGGAATCTGGCCCGTCTCGTTGCCGTTGTAATACTTCATGAGCCCATACGCAATGGTGCTCGCGCCATCCTTGATCGAGGCTGCCTGTCGTATTAGCAATCACGAATCACTAAAGCATCCAAGAAGCTGGCGTACCATCACTAGTAAAGTCGACCTTGACAGCGCCAGCAGAGGCACCAAGAAACGCAAGAGCCAAAGCAGACTTCATGTTTACGGCGTTGTTGTATCAAATGACTTTGACGATCGGTTTCACACCACAAAGCACCTCGTTCAACTTAGCGAGTGACAAAAAAACGAAAGACGATTTCAATCCGCAGACGCGACACAGCAAAAAAAGATAACAGCCAACAGAAAACGAAGGATTGCCGGCACAGAAATAACGAAGGACAGGCTGCTTTATGAGTCGCGGCCAACGAGAATAAGAAAAACAAGAGTCAGTCGAGTCTTTCACGCAATTAGAACACGAAGTGGACCAACCGCTACATTAACGCCGCTTCCCCTGGCTCCGCTGTCTCAAAACGGCATGACAACACTTTGTCAGCTTCGCCCAAATCAATTTGCCCTCAAAACCCGTTCGTCCATTATTAGCATCGAATCCAGTCTGGAGAAAGAAAGAGAAAAAAAATCCCCCGAGTCAAAAAGAGGATCCAGCGCCATTCCCCCTTGAGTCAAGTCCCACGACGCCAACCCGGCTACAGAAGCCGAAAGAGAAAATTCCAAACCCCCCTTCGCACTCGTCTATTTGCCCAGATTCAAAACCAAGTTCATTGTTTCCCCCGGATTCTTTTTTTTCTTTTCCGTTAACCATAACAGGGGGGTTTAAAAATCGACTTCGGCGATTGCCTCTTTGAGACAGTATAGACTCTTTGAGGAATATACGGATGTGACTTAGTTCCGTGTCTTTTTAGTGCCAGAGGGGAATACGATGTGCGTCGAGATAGTCGGGGTGTCATTCGTCCATTTGTGAATACGAAGCGGCCGCTTTTCCCGTCAATCATTGAGCTGTCAAGGGAAAGCAACAAACAACGTCCTTGGCAAGAAGACGCTTATTGGCGGAGAATACGATGGGACTTTCTCGTGTTCCTCGGGACAGCCCGTCAACAAATCTTACCTGTTCTAGGAAGATATAGGTAGCCTCTTCGCATGATTGGAGATGACTCGGTATTTCATAGCAACATCGAAAGCAACACGTTCATAACGTTCTCGTATAAGTCACAACTCTATGATGAAAAGCAAACAAACAAAACACCAGCTCAGAATCCCCTCACAACCCCTTCTCAACCAACGCCTTCATCTCCATCATAAACTCCTCCATCGAACTCTTCGCCAACTCTCTCCCCCTGGCCCTTTCTGCCCTATCCGCCGTCACCGTCCACTCCTTGGGCACCTCCACGCTCCCAACCTCTCCCTGCCGTCCCAGAATCATCTGCGAGACGGCAACGGCGCATCTCGCCGCCACGGGCATGCCGTGCCCGGTATACCCAGCGCAAACCCACAGCCCAGCTCCACCACCAAGCTCCTCGGGCACGTCCCCAACAAAGGGACTGCCGTCTGCGGAATATCCCATGATGCCCGTCCACTGATACCGCGCCCTCAGCTCTTCCTCCTCCTTCTCGCCCTCTGGCCGCAACTTCAATGCAGGACGAAGTGACCGTCGTAGCCGCGCCGCCACCTCATCGTCAATCTCATCGTCCTTCCACACTCCCTCCCCTCCATCAGGAACACTCAACCTCTCGCCCCCTACAATAATCATCTCCAGCGGATCGTCCCTCTCAATCAAGTAATTGTCGCTATCCTCCGCAAGCCAAACGTGACTGTGCTCCAGCATCACGTTCCTATCCGGCGGCTCCAAAGCGGAAACCTGCCCCCTGACGGGAACAATCAGCCCCGTCATCTTGGGCAGCAGGTGAGACGTATACCCATTCGTCGCGAGAAGCACCTCCTTTGCCACAACCTGTCCCCTAGGCGTGTGGACCACCCACGAGTCCAGCCCCTCTGCCTTCTGTACATGCGTCACCGGCGTCGTAGTCTGTAGATTAAACACCTCCGTCGACTGCTGCGTGAACAACGCTTCCAGAATCCAGGCAACTAGTTTATATGGCCAACACTTTGCAGCATACGGCTGCAGCACTGCTCCTCGAGCATTGGGCACTCTCAGCGCTGCAAGGTCCTCAGGCTTCGTAAACAACTCCGCTTTGCCAGCCAAATCAGGATGATGCTTGTTAATGTTCTCAATTCTCTTGGCCACAAGCTCGACAAACTCATCCGTAGGTAAAGCATGAACACCACCAACCCTCCTCCAATCACACGGCACATTGAACTTTGTAACAATGTCCTCCAAGAAGCGATACGTCTCAAGCTCAAAGCGCGCAATGTGTGGCTCCCTGCCGTAAATCATGGGCTGGCAATGACCTCCATTCTAAAACTCCCCATGGCAATCAGCATCATCAAACATCCTAGAAGCGGCTCGAATACACCGAATTCACCGCATGTAACGCAAATCCTCGTAAAACTCACCCTTCCTGTAGCCCCCCAGCAAGCCTCCCTCGCCTCAAGCATCAACACCGACCTCCCCCCGGCAACAAGCTCCCGCGCAGCAAAAGCCCCCGTTATGCCGCTTCCAACGATGACGACATCTGCCGTCGCGGGCAGCTCTGGCGTTGATCGACGGCCGAGAAGCACATATGACGGATCGCGATGCCAAAACGACTTGGTGCTTCGCGGGCTGGGCAACCCGGATTGCCCGTCTAGCAGAGTAGCGGTCACCATGGCTGCGTATATTGTAATCTATGGCTAGTATTTGGATAAAGAGGAAAGATGTGAAAGGGTGAACAAAAGCCACAGTTTAAATACTATATGGAAATGCGAGGAACCAGATAACGAGACACTCACATCTGCATTCCATGTGATATGAAGACTCACAGTTGGTTGCTTACACTCGGCTCCCTGCTCCGTTATTCGCAACGGCATTACGACGCGCTAATGCGGGGTCCGGGGGGTCAACAATTAAACCTTGTAGAATACGTGTAATAGTTCAAGTAACATTACACAGAGAGCATTGCAAGCCAAATCACTCATCAATCAAATGCACAGAATCGCAAGCCAAAATTACCAATCTCTAGGGATATCATTTCGTATTCATTGCATGTCGTCGTAAGCATCATGAGAGACAGACTAACCTCCCTACCAACTCCAGGGGAATCGCCCTCAAGATCCTTCCCAATTCCAAACCCCAACGCCGTAAAACCAGCTGTCCATTCCATCTGCATCGCCCTTGTCTGTTAATATTTATTCGTACATCAATTACAAAAAGGAAAAAGCAAGCAATTTCTTCCTGGTTCTATACATGACAGCTCCCTCTGGCCCTCACCTTGGACGCTTCTTTGATTCAAAGACACAAGATTGCGTGCTTTTCTCATCTCAAAAAAACTCCAACCAAGGTGGGTTTGCTTCTAAAGCCGTTCCAGTTCTAGCCACGCGTCATTGACATGTCTATTCGATCTCAAGTATAGTTGGTACACGCAATCTCGTCCAACGAGACGCGGCCTCCGCCTGCCGCCTGCGTAAGCTAATCGAAGGATCCGAGGTTTGGTGGAGAGAAGAAATCTAAGGGAGGATTCCTTCGATTGGCGTACAAGTAGAAATTCGTTTTGCCCGTTCAAGTCGTAAATACCTTTCCAGGTATATGAAAAGGCAGGCCGAGGTTATTTCGTAATCCATCAGGGCGTCAAGGGCGAGTGCCCGTAAAACAAAAGAGAGAAAAAAAAATCGCTATATGCAGAGCCAGAAGCTTTGATAAATTCAAACGTCGGCCTGTCGTATCCACTCGTACATATCTCGGTCCAAGGTAAAAGTAGCTGAAATGCTCATCATACGCATCTTATGTTCCTTGGATATATCCAGCCTCGTTGTTTTTTGAAGCAATCTGCTGTAAACAAAGAAAGAAAAAAGTACAGAGCGTAGTCAAATCTTATTCAGCAAAGAAGAAGAAAAGAAAACTTTAAGCATCTGTCATTTCGAGGTCGCTGTCGTGGACAATGGAGACGGGGAACAGCTCCGAAGGGCCCCAATTTCCCTCGTAGACAATGGCGGGCGCATTGCGGTGCTCTGCCACCCACCGCATGCCCTCCAAGGCCAAGACTTCTTCGATGCGTGGCCGTTCTTCAGGGTCCTGTTGTGTCATCCACCGAACAATGGAATCAAGGGAGCTGGGGTGGAAGGCCTCAACCATAAAGTCGGGAGGCTGCTGAAGTTCCGATCGCTTAAAAGAGCCAAACAGATTGCCAGAGCTGCGTGTTCTCTCCGTCTCGAGATCATCACTCGTCGCAGAGTCGGCAGGGTTGCCAAGAGCATCCCGCTGGACATCGCTTGATGGCGTCCAAGTGAGGCTGGGTACTTCAGAGAGATCACCAGATCTGAGAGCAACCCATGTAGGCCCGTTGTCGGGAAGCATCACATTGGCCGCCGTTTCCAAAGTCATGAGACCCAGAGAAAAGATATCGGCAGACTGATCGGCTTTGCCTTCCAACATTTCCGGGGCCATGTACTCGCGATCTCCTTCAATGTCTACCCGGACGTCTTCGGAAACAGCCTGGGCCAATCCAAAGTCGCCAATCTTGAGGACTCCCTCAAAAGTAATGAGAATATTCGCCGGTTTCATATCTAGATGCATAAATCCGGCTTCGTGAATCTCTTTCAATCCCTGTGAAGAAAAGAAAATGTCAGCGATTAGAGACTTGGACCGAGCAAGATTAGGGGATTGCGTCAACTTACCAAGCAAAGATCTTGCAAGATCTTGTAGATGCGGAAATCATCCAAACGACCAACTTGTCCGATGTTGGCCAAAAATTTATCCAGGGTTCCCTCTTCGCAAAACTCTGTCTGGATGTAAAGGTGAAAGTTATGCTCCCAATCGTCGATATATTGCACAACATGTTCAGCATGTGATAAGGCCTGTAGAATGCGAGCTTCGCGCAGCTTTACGTCCCTGTCTTTGGGGCCATGGTACGGATGTTTGCTCTTTTTGACGGCAAAGACTTGGCTCTTGAAGGAATTCTTGGTGTGGCTGTCAATCGGGGTGAATGAAGAAGATACAGAAAAGTCATTGTGGTGATCCTGCTTAGTTACCCGGTATACGGTAGAAAACTCGCCCTTGCCAATCTGCTCAACCTTGTCAAACTTGGAGTGTAGGCTGGCATCGACATCCACGTTACTGGTACGACCGTTGACTGGCGTGACGAAGATGCTCATAGACGATCGGAAGTCTCGGCTCGTGGTTGGTGTGACCGGTGGTGGCATGCTGGTTTCTCTCCGTCCGTCTCCAGCTCGGGAGATGGATAAGCGGCTGGCATCTATTGGCAGAAAAGTTTCCAGGGGAGTCTGAGGAGTGCGTCGTCCATCGGCAGGGCTCGCTGTGTCAACACACATCATCTTAGTACATACTCTGGTTCTGGATGACTTTAAAGATCCGCGACTAGGCTGCTGCGTCGTCGAAACTGGAGCCTCAGGATTGAGCGGCGGGGGCGCACTAAGCCCCCTCTGGGACCTTGCCCGTCCAAACGAAGATAAGGAAAGAGGGTCGGATGAAGCTTCTTCGCTGTCCATAGGGGTAGATCGACTGGCTAGCAACTGTGCTCCTTCGACTTGGTCCCTTGGACTGGCGGACTCTTCTGGGATCGACTTACAGCTGAGATCTCGTGGTCGTGGGGGTGTTGCCTTGACTGTTGATGACAAAAACGATCGGTTGGCACTTGGGCTTTCCTGAGAACTTTCACTAAGGCTGCTCAGACCACTGAAGCTTGGTGTTAGAAGGTTTTTGGTCGGAGTGAGAGAGGCATCGCCTTCGGTCGGACTTGCAAAGTCGGCACCATCATCAAACAGTTTCCGGTCGTCACCATCGACGCTAAGGATGCTTCCACGGCGGGCGGCTAGAGCACCACCGCGTTGGAAGATTGACAGGCCTTTTGAAGGGTTGCCAACGGTATCAGGGACACGACCCAGGACAGGGTTAAACGGGGTAGAGGGGACACCGCCAAACGATTTGCGATAGCTTGCTCTCTTCTTTCCAGAACTAGAGGGCGGCGGAAAGGTCGCGAATGGGTTGGTGTGTTTTTTGCACGGCGTATCAGGCGGCGCCATTTTCTTGTCAGCCTCCTCCTCAGGGTTTCGGTTCACTTTGGAAATAAGCCCAGTGGAGCTGAATGCGCCGATCCAGAGCTGGTGAGATTGGTTTGGCGTTCCTATTGAGGCCCTGTGCTCGTTGAAAGATCGAGCAGTGGGGCGAGTAGCACCAGGGGGCAGAGACCTTGAAAAGGGATGCGGCTTGTGGGCGACCTTGGCAGGCGCATAGAGCGACTGCTCTTCAGTCAAACTGTTGCCAGATGTAGAGGTTGTCAGGGTCTTAGACAGCGGGTGAGGCTGGTGATCTTTGCTTTCAGCCTTGGAAATGGTCGCGCTGGGCGCAAAGGGATTCTCGCGAGCCGCTGTTGGGGGCACAAAAGAGTCAGTAGAAAGTCGCGGCCGGCGTCTAACAGGCGTTGAAAATTCACTGCCAGGCTGCGAAAGCTGTCGCTCACCAGACTGCTTCCCCCAAGAAGTCTTTTCGCCGTAGCGCTGCTGCAGCGTTGATCTCCGGAGAGATGAAGATCGTTTTGGAATGCTTGATGCGGGAGAAGGAGATGCCAGGTGGTCACGGTGAAAAGCAGGTCCCGCCATGCCCGACAGCTCGTACTCAGGAAATGAATCTTCATGTATATCAAAGGCTCCAGGCGGCGATGCGCTTGAGCCAAATATGTTGAGATCCTCCGTTTGCACAGAGCTCGTAATGCCATGCAAGTGTCGTCGCTTGGCCACGGGGCTGCCTTTGGTTGACTGATCCAAGTTCATTGTTGCGTCGCTGCGCTTCAAAGCACCTGCTGTCGGAATCATGGGAGAGTCGCTCGTTGAATCCAACGATTTTAGAAACGAGAATTGAGAGGCTTCTGTAAGATCAAATTGCACACTTTGCCGAGTCGATCTGTCGAAGATTTTGCGCAGTGTAGAGCGGCTGGGAGTATTGTTGATGTTGATGTTGTTGTTATTGTTGTTTTCCTGTCCTGCAAATCTAGGTCTAGGAGAAGATGGCGGCGAGCGTGAGGAAGTAGAGTTTCCAGAATCGGGAGTGGCGCTCAAGGCGCGTTTCAACGGGCTCTTTGGGGACGCTCGTGTTCGGGTGATGCGCGAAGCAGGCGCCGTTTTTGTGCTTTTGGCGGATCGGAGCGAGAGCTTAACGCCTGGCCGAAGGGGTGTCTGCACAGGCGATAGGTGCGGGGCGCTGTCGAGGATTGACGAGCCGACAGCTGGCGGAGCTGACGAAGGGGGATTCAGCACCGGGCGTTGTTGGAGGGGTGTTGTAACAGGCCGTCGACTCGGAGACAGTGAACCATGTCGCGTGCTGCTTGAACCTTGAGAGTTTGTTCTTGTTCGTGCGAAAAGCTTGGTGGGGGATCGTGACATTGACCGTCGAAGGTTGCGAACAGATGCTGGGTCCATATGATGAACATGAGTGGGCGAGGGCAAAGCCAGAGTGCCACCGCCACCGTTGGAAAAGGACATGGCACTGGAATGAAGGCAGTGCAAAACAATGCTCAGAAGTTCTGCTAAGTGTTATGAGAAAGCCGCGGACCAAAAACCACCAGGTTAGGGAATGTCGACGGTGCTGAAGACGTGCGCAGCTTCGGATTAGTTGGTCTCCTCGCAAAGGTTTGATTATATATGAAGCGCGCTGTAAATATCTCCTTGGTTGGCAGGTCTAAGAAGGCCAGGAAAATCCGTGCATCACACCAAGGAATAAAATACACAAACACACAAAGAGTAAATCGGTCTGTGAAGGAATCGAAGTCTGAGATGCTTGGGAAACGAAATCCAGTCGAGATGGTGGGCGATGTGGGCAACGTAACAAGAGGTTGTAGATAGAGAAACAGCCCACGGATGGAAAACGTCCGGGAGGGTTATGCCTGATAAGAAAAAAGAGAGACAAGCCGTGAAGAAGCCCGAGCGGGTCGCAGCGAAGAATACCAAAAGAACGTCTTATCCAGTCCGCATGCTGAGATGGGCGGCAAGCAGGAGGAGCCGAGAGTCAAGAAGGCCCAATGAAGCCAAGTCGACAACTCAGAACAAGCGGATGCTGGCCAGAGGCAGTCACAGCATGGCGTGGGCGGACAGTGTATAGAAGGAAAGGCAGAGAGAGAGAAAGAGGTGCTCACGATGCGTATGTGCCCGGCGCACTCTCGCAGATATCGCCCGCTTGTGAAGATGGAATATGTAGATATTGATGGCAGATGTACTTGCGTCGATAGTCGGGCTGGGAGGATCGTAGAGCCAATATTCGCAGGTCCAATATGCCTCCCCGGATGCCTTTCAAGCACCACCCCTTGTTGAGTCGCCGCTCGTTGCTGTCGTCGTCGCCGGCTTCGTATCGTGGGTAAGTGACTCGGCTAGGGTTTCGAAATTGACTTTGGCAGCGCAGCCGCAGTTTCCCTTGTGAAGCAGCGTCGGGCTCGGCCACGGCTGTGACTCAATTGAGAGACAGAGTAAAACAAAATGCACACGCAGGGAGAGAGTGAAAATCCAGGTCAAACGCCGGATGGTATGCAAAGGTGTTGGAGGCGAGCGTGCAAAGGGAGGCGGGAGTACGAGTACGAGTACATGTGCAGTAAGCTCGATTTGACAATCACAGGTAACGGCTCGGTGGTACCTTCTGCGGTGTACTGTGGTTTGGGAGCAGAAGGCGCGACTGAGATGCTGCATTGTTTATCATCTTACCAGACAGGGCCTAGCGCAGCACGCGGGAACGCGTCTTCAACCAGCTAAAGTGGAACCCATTTGGCAACGACCCCTGTGTCCGCCCGGCAGAATTTTAGCTCTGTAGCTCGGTGCGCCACAAGGCCCTGTGACAATCCTTGCTATCTGAGGAGAGTTTTCTCGTTCAAGAGAGAACAATGTTGGATGGTTTTCATGATTATTGAAAAGTAGTTTTCCATTACTGCTACTGCTACCATTACGAAAAATAAGTATACTGCATGTATTGCGTTTAACTTCAGGAAGTATTCAGCAGTGCCACAATTATTGCTCTGATGGCGTGTTCGATATACCTCAGTCCATTACAGCGGACCAACGGGCAAGACATTGCATTTCTCGGCCTGCCCATCATCCACGGGTCCTTATCAATCTTTTGCACAGCCTGGTCACAAGCAGGTGTGACGACAGTTGACCAAGAATAGTACAGGATTTAACATTGCCACCATGATGTCAACCATGAGAGGGCACTGGAACTCTACCATATGCTCAAACCACAACGCAGCCTATCGATTCCTACAGCACAACTTACAACACTCTGAGTCTCCAAACCCAACCCAGGAGGGGCACGGGTCTCGCTGACGGGTCCAGGAACAGCGCCTTGGCCTTGGGAGGGGCATTGGCGCTTCTTCCTACGCCAACACCAAACTAGGCGATGACATCGATGATCAAGGTGACATGGATCGGATGAGCAGTGGCAAAGACTGGCCCAACCGTATGTTTCTCCCTGCATGTTTCGGGTTTCATGGTTTAGCTTTTTTCTTTCCCTCGCCTTCGCCACTTGTTCCCCAGACGCCAGGGTTCATGCAGCATGCGGGTAGCACGCGTCAATGCACCTCAGACAAGCTCATCGAGGCAAAAAGTATTAAGAATGAATGGTCAATGGTTTGTGAGATGCCGCCGGCTCAGCCGCCATGTCAGAGACAACACCGACTACTCGTGCGAGTATATGTGACAAGGTCGCCATTTTTAACTCATGTCTCTCTTCAACCCAGCCTCTCTTCCCAGTTTTTTCAATTGACTAGGTAGGTGTCATTGCCGGTGCGGTGGGCGATGACTCGCTCATCGATCAAAACAAACAAGGCTATTGTTGTTTACTTGCAGCCTTGGAAGTGTGCGAGTTGCCACTGTTTTGATATCTTTCCACGACGCGTTTAGAGGGTCCAAACAGCCACCCATTTTTTGAACTTGGGTAAACCTTGTTCAAATTGCTCCATACTACACACAAATCCAAAAGTTGCCCCTATTTTTTGGGTGTTCTCTCCGCCATGGATGAAGCTAAAGCGGTGGCATTGCTCTAGCCCATCTTACCCATTTACACAGTCACATCCCTTTGAACCTGTATTCCTTCGCTGTTCGAAGGACGGTGGCCCCCCTTTTTTTTAGTTTTCTGGTCATTTCGCTTCCCGGCTCGCCATTCCGGACCCGTCCAGCCGGCAGCTCATGCAGCGCGCCTCCATCCTCAACCTGCTTTCCCCAATACCTCTGCTCAGCTTCTTTGGTCAACGCCTGCGAGTCATGGCCTGGAATGTTCCCATATTCGATGATTAACAACTTTGCTAGGCAGCTGTATGTAGTATTTCGTGCTTTGGGACCTATCGCCGTCATCACATCTCTAGGCAGCCAAAAGATGTGCTCCGTATTGTAGCAAGGCACCGAGATAGCCTCCAGATGCACGACCAGCGAGTGGAGCAGCTGGAGTAGCTAGTCCATGACAACCAGTCTCTCTCTTGCCAGATGTGGGAACTTTGAATGTATCCGAGCTTTACTCATAACAGCAGAATAAGCCGGTATCGATGAATTGAGTTGCGGAAGCGCAGTATTGTACTTGCCAGACAAGGTCTTACATACGAGTACATCGAGGCTGCAGGGCAGAATGGCCTTGATATCACACACTTTATTTGGCCCAGAACTACTAGGTGCTAAGAGAAAAAACCGACCGGGCTTAATAAATCAGATACTTAACATTCCTGCTTCAGAGGATGCACACTCATGTATATCTTGATCATTCAGTACCTAAATACAATTGTTTACACTACGGCTTCCTAATGATGAGATACATCAGACGGTCGTGGGGCCTTTGCCGATTCAAGCTCTGTGACATTTTGTGGAGCCACCTGCAGGTACCAGACAACGGGCATTGGTTGCAAGTTTGAGGTCTACCCTACAATGATCGAGGAAAATGAAATATCGAACCTTTTTCCAAGTCGGCACCAGGCTTTTACGTATGAAATCGAAATGAGTTCTATGGAACAATGTAATCTCATTGATTGTAACACTAGGTTCTGGATATTGCGTCATATTATTGGAGCGACTGTCGGTAGATGCAGTAGATGACGAATGTCCCCAGCTTGACTTAGCACATATAAATCATGACCTCGATGATTCATATCTTGAGTTGTCAAGAGAATGCGGTAGTAACAACAGGAAAAATGAACCAATTCTCCCACAGGCTGACTCACATGTCCTGGTAAATGTAATGCTCTCCTACTCCGCAATAGACGCGCATCCAAGAATCTCTGGGATGCTGGATGCTTGCGGTCACTTCCCGTGTTAGTCAGGGCTCTGCAGCTGGTCCATCGATCCGAAACGTGTTCTGGGGTAAAATGGCGATCAAACCGCCGATTAAATTACATCGATCTACCGATTAAAACCGGGAATCTGGACAAGGGCATCTGCACGTCATGACGAAGTTTGGAGATTGACTGAAGAACATATACGTCATAAATACTAGAGTGCCTGATAGGAGGTATGCACAGCTGCCGTCAGTAATAATCACAGAGATTTGTTAGCCTACATATGCAAATTCGGTCCCAAAGAACGCTCCATGCCCCATATGCCGCGCTGTATATGCGCCCAAATCAATACAGTTCCATCTTCTCTAGGTGAATCAGGCCGTTCGGAGGCTGTTCCTTGTATTAGCAATTGCGACCACCATATGTCATCTGCTCACTCACCGGAATGAATTGACGTAGCTTGACGCCCGCCTGTCTAAACACCTCCGCCGTCTCAGTATCCATGCTGTATCCATGAGCGTAAACCACTTCTGCGATGCCGACCTGGCAGATCTTGATGCTACACGTCAAGCACGGACACGTATCGCAGTACAGCACGGAGCCCTCCCGGATACGCTCCCTCCCGGCCTCCAGAAGCGCATTCTCCTCAGCGTGTATGCACAAACACGTGGCCAGTCCAACCCCAGAGCTGCTCCCCTCGTTACATCGAGGACAGCCACCCTCTGCACAGTTTCGCAAGCCGCGGGGGGTGCCGTTGTACCCTGTGCTGATGACTCGCCGTTCTCGCCCGACCAGGACGCAGCCTACACGGCGTTTCATGCAATTTGATCGCTGTGCGGCCAGAGATGCTAGAGCCATAAAGTAGGTATCCCAGCCCGGCCTCATACGGTCAGGGTTGGGGATGTCGAGTTTCCCCAGAGTCGCATAGAGATGAGCCAGCGAAGATGAGGTATTGAGTAGCCTAACGGTGGCCCGCGATATGAGCGGCTGCAGGCCAGTGTGAGGATCGTACAGATGTAGGTCATTTTGGGTGACAAACTCCTCAAGGGAGATGGTAGATTGATCCGGCTGCTTGGAGCGTTGCTGGAAACGACGCCAACGCACGGTGAGCGGAGCGTCGATGGAGATGAGCAGGAAGAATGGCCGTCGGATGAAGACGTCAAGCACCTTCTCCGTGGGGATGTCCGTCGTCACAAAGCGGCTGCGCCATCGTCGAGTTACAAAATCCAACAGGTCTTCAGCCGTAGCAAAGACATAGGACGAGGAGGTCTCAGGCCCTTGCTTGGTACCATTAACCGCGGCGGTTACCCCAGCAAAGGCCGCACTGCCGCTGTCAGGGGACGAAGATGTCTTGTCCGTAGCGTCCTGGTCTGAGACCGACGCAGGGGGTTGCAGGTAGAGGTGCTTGAAGCCGTGATGCTCAACCAGATACTGGGCCACTGTCTTCTTGCCCGAGCAGATGCCTGCATGTCAGGTTAGCCCGCTATATCTCGTTTGAAGCCCTGTATGAGAAGACACTGCGCATGTGGATAACGTACTGCCACATATTCCGACGAGCATCTTGGCCACAATTATAGCCCTAAGAATTCACTGGCCTTGTGATTTCCTCTGAGCAAGTCCCTCCATAAAAGAATTTCAGATCGCGTCTGGGCATCAATCAAGGCGCGGCATTGGTAAGTGGGGCGATGTGGAGGAAGCATTCAATGGATCGATGGGCCTTACAGTAGCTGCTCCAAAAGAGCTGAGAGTTACGCCATCCACAAAAATTCAGAATTAGCAGCACTACATGGTACCGACAAACACAGATATCGGCATGAGTTTGACGACGGTTTACAATACGAAACATGGAATAGACGGCCATAGCCAACCAACCTGTCTCATATAATCATTTTACATGTTTAGATGGAAGCAAAAAAAGGAAAAAAAGAACTGCCCCCACACAGATTTGAACTATGGACCTTTGCATTACGAGTGCAACGCTCTACCCCTGAGCTATAAGGGCGCTCGATGATCGAAATGGAACTAAAGTCAAAGGCTTTATAAATCCTAGAGCCACTACGACAGAAGCTGCACGTACCTATGCCACAGTCGGTCGTAAAACTCTTTCCTGGTGGCGGGGTGCTTAGACGCAAGTCATCGTCATTGCACCTCTTTAAACATAATTCAGCACAATTCTTTCCGTTTGATTAGAATCACCAAAAAGACGAGGAAAAATGCAACTCAAGACAATTCAGAAGCTGGAGCTGCCGGCTGCAGCGGACATGCATGTCCATTTGCGCCAGGGCGAGATGATGGACGTCGTTGTGCCGACGGTTGAGCAAGGAGGAGTTGATACGGCCTTTGTGTATGTTGTTTCTCCCTGTGACTAACCTGGAAATGAGGGTTGTTAGGCATAGCTGACATGAGATATATTAGCATGCCAAATCTTGTATGTGATTGCAGTAGCTTTGATTTTAATACAACATTGACTCACACACGCTTCTTGACGGAATTCTCTCACTCACAACATGTTATTCATTGCATGGGCTGACAGGTTCATAGGTGCCCCCTTTGACAACCGTGGACCAAGTATGTTGCCATGCATGGCTTGCAACCACCTTTGCAGATGGCTAATTCTCATCGAGGTTCTCGAATACCAAGGCAAGCTCCGTGCTGCCGCGCCTAATGTCCATTTCCTCATGTCCCTCTACGTAAGTTGTATCTACGTATCCGAGTATATGTGGACAAGCACCTAAGACAGGTCTAGCTTCACCCATCAGTTACACCAGAGACCATCGAAAAGGCAGCAGAGGCAGGAATCACAGGCGTAAAGCTATATCCTCAGGGTAAGTTACTTACGTTGTTACGACTCAAGATGAAAGGCACTGATTCAACACAGGAGCGACCACCAACTCTGAGCATGGAGTGGCCAACATCGAGGCATTCTATGACACTTTTGCTAGCATGGAGAAGCATGATATTGTGCTCAACCTACACGGAGAGGTCCTTGAAGCCTTTGCTCCAGAAGGCACAACGCTGGAAGAGGCTTTCCTTCCCACCCTCAAGCAGCTCCATGAGAGATTCCCAAATCTGCGCATTGTGGTATGAGAGACTCTACTCGAAGTCCCTTATCATCTTGAGGAGACGTTAATATTTGTAAAACCTCACAGCTGGAGCATTGCACTACGGCTGCGGCAGTGGAAGCAGTCAAGGCCTGCGGACCTAACGTTGGAGGTATTGCTTTCCCCCTGTTATCACATTTGCCCTCTTTTCTAAAGGACTCCTGCTGATTGTATTGACACCTCAGCGACTATTACGGCCCATCACCTTTACTTGACAGAGGCTGATGCCTGCTGCGACCCTTTTGCATTCTGCAAGCCCATCCCCAAGAAGCCCACTGACAGGGACGCTCTGCTCAAGGCCGTCGTCAGCGGTAACCCGAAATTTTTCTTGTGAGTTATTCCGCCGCATTTGCACTCCCTTATGCCTATGCATCACCATTGTGTGATTTGACTAACGTGCATCTTCATAGTGGAAGTGACAGCGCCCCCCATCCGCTTACTTCCAAGACTACGGCTGCCGAGGGTAAGGCGCCGGCTGGTGTCTTTACACAGCCATACGTAGCCCAGCTCGTGCTCCTGGCACTGGAAGAAGGTATCGAGCGCGGTGTCATCAGCGAAGAGGATGTTACTCAGGAGAAGCTCGAGGGATTCCTCAGCAAGTTTGGAAGACGTTTCTACAAGTTGTCCGAAACCTCTGGGAACAAGATCGTTTTGGAGAGGAAGGGAGAGAAGATACGACCTAGCGTTAAGAGCGATAGTGGAGCTGTAGAAGTTGGCATCTCGAGAGCAGGCACCGAAGTCTTCAGCCTGACATGGGTAAAGGCGGCATGAAATATTTAGCATATTTGACTTTGTTGTATGGATAGGGGGGGCGTTTTCGCTTTATGCGAATGTGGTGCTTGAAACTCGGCCGTCTCGGAAGGGTCTGAGTCCGAGATACATGGCATTACGGGAACTAGGGATTAAACTCTTGACGGCGGTTAGCTCCGAGACGGCTCATGTTCCGGAGTGGCGTGATGGATATATCTACCTAGGTATGCAAGGATGAGGGACATTGGGCGACGCGAAGGTAAATAGAAGATGTGATAACGTCATGTCCAATTCCGAAAGTCTGTGGAATGTACTACCCAAATGATTCAAGACAAAGGCATGGTATTAATAAAGGTAACATATTGGTACATGTGATTAGCTCACTCAACCGTTGCCATGATTTACTTTATTTTACAATAGCTAAGCAAGGTGAAACGAACATTTTATTAACTCGTTCATTCTCCGCGGATGTATCCACGGGTGAATGGAACATGTCCGTCGATGTGTGCAAACGCTACATAGCCAACCAACAGCAAATTCGGAGGCTGCATATCGAAAACAAGCTTGGAGTATTCACATGCTGAATCCGCAACGAGACAAATTATCTGCAAATGGGTTTCGTCATACAAAGGGGTGTGTTTTGCTTAGTCGATTTGCATACGCAATCTGGTTTCGATTACCCAGACTAACAATGCAGTCTTCTCCTCCATGGGGGCGAAGAATTGCTCGTATGAGGTCAATACGGATAACCGGCCGGTAGGCTATCATCGCGCTATTCGGATTCAAGCTCCACTGGCAACTCCGAACGATGCCCTCAACTAGTCAGTCTTTCGTGGAAAAATGAATTCCTCCACTCTTCGCAACTGCGTACCTTGGCCCAGACCCCAACGGTCAATCATATCCCATTCATTGCAAAAGCCCCCAAATTTCAATCCACACAGGCGCCCTTATCGAGCCCACCCATAAGGCTACTGCTCGCATTAATATGATTAGAGCGGGCGCAGCTTTGCTTAGTCCTTCATCACGAGCCCGCGAAAAATTGCCAGCGAAAGAGAGGCAAAAGACCCCTGCCAATGGACCTATTTCCGGTCTCCACTCCCCAAGCAGTTCGTGCAAACACACCATCAAAAAAAGCAAAGAGCCGTGACTGGTCATTTCGAGTTATTCATGTCCGTTGTTTTATATAAGTTTGATATCATAAGCACCAGCGACAAGCGTTGCATTAGGGGAACCGACTCAGTTGAGCTGAAAGAAATGTCCAACGGCGAGTCACGGAGAAGAGAGCGGGGAGTGGAGAGCTGAGAGCGGGATTGATTGACAGGTAATCTAACTAAAGATTAATATACAGATGGTCTTGGTAGCTCCCCTCCCTTGTGATGCAATTTGTGTCGAGGGGGAAACGCTTTTGCTGTTCGGTGCTGTTGGATATTCGCTCGCGTCGCTGCCCTTCACCGGTTTCGTAACGAGCAACGATGGAGTCGCTCAGTGTGGCTCTGGTTTCATTAGCTAGCGTCGTGTTAGTGCTGCGACAGACAGACGCGACAGTTCCTCTGGCAGCAACATTTGGTCTTGTGGTGTATGTTGTGGGAACAGTTGTGTTGAAACTCGGAAAGGCGTTGATATACCCATTCTATATCTCTAAGTTGCGGCATTTGCCTGGACCAAAGGTATGGCAAATTAATGTGTTTATGATTGGTGGTGGGAGATTGCCAGAAAACACGAGCGCAAGAGAAAGAAAAAAAGGAGAGAGCTAATAGCTGTTGATGTCAATGTAGGATAACCAGTTCCTCGTCGGACAGGGCATTCGCCTGCTCAAAGCGGCCGGTCCCAATGATTTATATCTCGAGTGGGTGCGCAAATGGCCCGATGCGCCCTTCATCCGCCACCTCAGCTTTGGCAACTCGGAGGTTCTCTTGGTGAACAGCCTGGAAGCAGCTCGCGAAGTTCTCCAGACACATGCGTACTCGTTTGTCAAGCCCAGCTTCTTCGTGAAGCTGGTGGGAGAGATTGTGGGAATTGGCATCTTGTTCAGTGTGGGCGACCAGCATAGGCAGCTACGACGAATCACGGCTGGTGAGTCGTCCATTTTTGAAAAGAAGTCGAAAGCTCTGCAATTGAGTTGATGCTGATATGGTGCTTGTGATAGGACCTCTTTCGAAGCCGAGCGTGCGAAAAATGCTTCCCATATTCAAGGACAAGGCCAGAGAGCTGTCTGTCGAGTTCGATACGGCGATTGGAGAAGATAAAAATGGAGTAGTTGAAGTCGAAGCCCTAATGAACCGAACAGCCTTCAAAGTCATCAGCACCGCCCTCCTTAGCAGAGACATCTCCGAGTTTCGATCCAGCTCATCGCCGCTCAGCTTCGAGGAGTGCTACAGGGCCGTTCTCGTCCCGCCGCTGCTGGGAAAGCTCATCACGTTTCTAAACCCATTTATTCCGCTGCGGTGGCTCCCGATCGAAGCGAATCGAGCCTTTATCCGGGCTAATAATGCTCTGAGGGGGATGCTCACCGAGTTGGTTGAAGAGCGTGTGCAGCAGGTCCAGCAAGATAAGAAGAGTGGCCAAAGCGATGAAAAGGCCGATACCAAGGACTTTTTGACCAAGCTGATTGAGGCGAATCTGGCTGAGAAAAAAGGTGTTTCTGACCAGATGTTGGTAGACCTTGTAAGCGGTTCCCCCGTCGATGTGATGGCCAATTCCGGCACTGACTCGTCCAATCTAGATTATCCAAGGCGTTTCTGCTGGCCATGAGACTACAGCTGGTGCCCTCACTTGGACTGTGTACTCACTCATCAAATACCCGGATATGCAAAAGCGACTGCGCGAAGAAATCCTATCTGCCCAGCAGAAACAGCCCGACCTGGATGCCGCAACCATCGACGGTCTCCCGTACCTCAACAACATCATCAGCGAAAGCCTGCGCGTCTACTCACCAACCCTCATGGCACCATGGGAAGCCGGCGAAGACGTCGTCATTGCAGGCGTTCTCATCCCCAAGGGCACCACCGTCACAACGATTCCCGCCATGGTTCACCTCAACCCAGCCATCTGGGGTGCAGACGTCGATGTTTTCAACCCGGATCGATGGGACTCGACGACAGGAGCGGCGGCCAACCCTTTTGCCAGCGAGTCGTTTATTAATGGCCCGAGAACGTGTCCTGGTAGAGCGCTTGCGCTGCTAGAGATTAAGACGGTGCTGGTGGAGATGATGAGCAACTTTTCGCTGGAGGCTGTTGATGTGGATGTAGGGTTTGAGCATCCGACTTTGACACTGAAGCCAAAGGGGGGATTGCATGTTCGAGTGCAGAGGCTATGAGGTGATGATTGATACCTGTATATAGTATAGTTCATATTCGTATTTTGGAGTTGACAGCGACATGCTAGGTAGAAACTAAATTACCCACGATGTTCATGCTACATGGTATTAAGTCATATCGTAAACGCCCTAAGAAGAGTTTTATAGATCCATTCTGAATGCTGTAAGAGGCTGCCACAACACTGGAGTTGTGGAACCTCGTATTCTATTATGCAAATGCAACTCGCAAAAATTCAAGGTTCACAACTCTTCGTCAACTCAGTTGACACCATCACCAAACCACACTAGAAAGACTCGAAACAGTTGGTCAGCGCCGCGTCTAGCCTCTCCCGCTATGGGGCTGACGCGCCTTTTACGGCCTCCGCCTTTCTCCAATTGGCCTGTCTCCGCGTCAGCAGCGCACTGAGTCCTCGAGCAATGCAACTCTAATAAGGGGCAACCCAAGAACTCTAGCAAGCGAACCGGTCCTTGAAACCAACGGCCACCTAAATGAAGCATACACCTCAACTTTAGTAGTTACTGTAGTAGTACGGAAACTAGTTTTGATAATTAATCATCGTCCTTTTCTCTCTCTTCATCCTCTGGCGTTCCATCTCACAAACTGGTTATTTTGTCTCCTCCCCGCCTGTCAGTGTCTCCATTCGTCCATTTTTCGCCCTTCTCCACGATCCAAGCACCTCCGGATGTCTTCGAGCCGCCAACCACAGCCGAGACGCAGCTCGGGCCGCACGCTGTTAGCCTGCGAGCCTTGCCGCAAGAGGAAATCAAAGGTATGGACCCCCCGATTTTCCACGTTCAAATCTCGTCCTTTTCTGGGGGCCAGGATTCGATGAATTGCGTGCATATGTGTGTATGGGTTAGCCCAGTTTACATGGGCAATGCCTGTTCTGTTGTCTATCCTGTGCTGGTATTGATGAGAGAGTCTGACTGGTGGAATCTCGTCCGGCCCCATCACGGACATCAGAATCCTCCCCGGGCCCCATCACGGAGGTGACAGTCTGGTGCAGCTTCTGCTGGGGGACCGGCATGACTAAACCAATGCAAATGGAGTTCCCCTGATAGATGCTGAAGCTGAAGCTGATGCCTTTTCATTTGTAGTGCGATGGCGAGAAGCCACAGTGTGGCTCCTGTCGGTCCCATGAGCTGGCATGTCACTACGAGCCAGCTCGAACCACACGGCGGTATGGGCCCTTGTTCTCCTACCTCCGTCCCATCTAGCTTGTATTCAAGATTCAGCATGAGATTATACGTATGTATCTGTAACAAGAACCGCTGGCTAAGTCCTCGACGTGTTTCTCCAGACAAAAGTACTGGGACCGCGACTATGTCCAGGCCCTCGAAGACCAAGTCCGGCTGCTGTCCGCGTCTCTGGAGCAGTCCAAGGAATCCAGATCGTCTCAATCAGCTTCCCCGGCCAGCCAGCCGTCCCCCTCGGAGCCAAAACAACTCCCGTACGGTCCGAAGATGCTCAAGGCCCTGCACGACTTCGGATCCGTCAAGTGGGCCGACGTCACCGGCCGGGATGGACTCCCGATGCTGGCCGGGCCGGGCCGCTTCTCCTTCTACTCCAACACCCTGCTGCCAACGTTTGAGGACGGCACGAAACCCTCGCCTCCACCCAAGGAGGTGATGTCGAAGGAGACGTTTCTGTTGGAGGTAGCCTCAAACTTGAGCTTGAAGCAGCATCTTAAGGCGCACTTCCTCGACAACATCAATCCCTACTACAAGTTTATTGATCCTGTCTGGCTCAACTTCTCTGACTTGTTCCCGCACAATGATACGGCATTGCAGCTTCTTTACAGTGCCCTTTTTGCGGCTGCCGCGTACTCGTCGCCTGTGGCTACTAGAGAAATCGCCGATGCCTTTATGACATATGCTGAGGGTCTGGTGCAGCAGTGTTATCTTGAGCATTTGTGTCTTCCTGTGTTGCAGGGCCTGATGATTATTGCCTGGCAAAAGCATGTGATGCTGGATGCGGCCAAGGGCCACCTATATCACTGTAAGTCATGGGATTAATCTGTTCGTTGTTGATCATGGGCTGAATGGGAATCTCTATCCTGTAGACATGGCCATCGGGCTATCCAATCATCTAAAAATTCGAGACTTGCCGGCCCAGGAGCGGACTGTCAACGACGTGGCCACCATTAGGACCTTTTGGTCTCTATTTTTCCTTGACCGGTTTGTTCACCATCTCAGTATACTTGAAGAATCTGATGTGAACTAACCCCTTTCTTTTTTCATGTATATAGGATTTCTACTCCAAAGTTAGGCGCCTCTACAGCGATTCCATGGGACCCTGACAACATCACGCCGTATATTGATACAGTATCACCGGAATTTGTCGACGTGTCCGCCCTCTCTTTCGACCACCACTGCCAGTTATATAATATCCAGCAGCGGTACATCGACGTCATGTAAGTAAAAGACCCTTTTCAACTGGGGTCCATTACTAGATTCTGATGAGCCACAAACGACAGGTACTCGCCCAACTTCCAACAGCGACCAGCCGCCGAAAAGCAAGCCATCTTCGCCAAAGCAAACAACGAGATGCTAGCCCTACGAAAAAAAATTGACAGGCGCCTCTACATCAGCCGTAACGTAAAGCCCGATAGAGTCCAAGTCGTCTTTTGGATCACATATCACTCCATCTTGATCAACCTCTACCGCCCGGTTCTCAACCCCAAAGACCCCGGCATGGTTCACAACATCCCCACAGCCTTTCGATCCTCGACGGCCTCAGCAATGGCAATCACTCGACTGCTTAAAAGCCTGCAGGCGTCTGACGAAATCAAGTATCTTCCCCCGTTCATCATCTACCACGTCTTTCGCGCGGCGTTGGTACACGGCCTTAACCTTATCGCCGCCGAAGAAGCTGGTGGTCAGCGAATGTCGTCAGGAAACTTTTGGTCTTGTTTCCGCGTGCTTGGAGAGTTGAGTGGTATCTGGAAGGAGCTTTCTGAGGGCACGATGCCTTTCGTGCTTATGGCTACGAGGGGCTGGGGATTCCAGGAAGAGGTGGGTGGGACAGAGGAAGATGATGAGGAAGAGGATGATTATGAGGCGGGAATAAACGACCTTCTTGGTGAGCTTGAGGGAGAAGTAGTGTAAGATGTGTGATTGTTCAAGAAAGAATTTCTTAATGGCGTTGGCGGAATTGTTGTATAAAAGCGTCAGTCGTAAAGTGGATGTAAAAGGTGAAGCGTTTTAATATATTAAAAAGATCAAACATTGCGCACAACAGGCATATTTGTGTATCTATCTCAATGTATACCTATTGACTCAAGCATAGAAATAACATCATTCAATCAGAGTGTCGACACAAGTCTCCCAAACAAACATCCCATCTCTCACCATCCCCATTTAGTCGGACGTGCAAGTCACGAAGCCAACTGCAGCAGGCGGGTGAACCGGCACAGTTGTCGGCTTGCGGATCGAGACGGCCCCAAGGCTCTTGTTAGTAGGAGCCTGGAAAGAGCACGAAGTGAGGACGTAACGGCGGCCGTCAAAGGGGGGCGCGACGAAGACGTCAGTGACGGTGCCGCCAGAAGCTATCGAAGAACTGTATTAGTCTTTCACTATCTTTTGTATATGAAGATTGGGTTTACGTACACAGCTTCTGGGTGCCGTTGTTGATCTTCACGTTGATTGGCTTGGTGAAGGTGCCGTTGGAGTATGTATAAGCAATCTGAGCAGTGCTCTTGTCTTGGAAGTGGTGAGCAGGCGAAGCGGCAGCAAGGCCGGTCAGGGCAGTAGCGATGAAAGCAGAGAAATGCATCTTGACAGTGTAACTTTTATATGATAGACAAAGTATACGTATGTACGAGAAGTGAATGACAGTTATCTTCAATGTGTCTAAGGAGCGCGAGACGTTAGAAGAGATTGATGTATGTTGAACGAAAGAAATCGCTCCCTCTCCCCCCTTTTAAGCAAAACCATTTCCACAATACCCATCTTATAGCCTTTCCATCTGTTACTTCTGTCTCCATTTATGTTGCCCATCTTTTCCCAATTCTTGCCATTATGGAGTAGAGAGTAATATACCGTATCAAATCCCGCTCTCACCTAGTGTTGCACGCGCCTACTAATCACAGCTAATATCTTTGCTGCTGTCCAAGCCGGCAGTGGCAGAGATCAACATTAAGGGACCACGGTGAGTTATCTCAAAGTCTGACAGGTCGGTGTTGTCAAGGGACGGGGGCCTGAAGATCATTGCCTAGCTCGGAACAGTCGGTTGTTAGCTGGCAAGGGGCTGACAAGGCTATGAGGTTATCTCGTTGCCAAGATTTGTGAGGCGGTACTATTTCCTCCACCTATATGATCGCTTTTTACTTACTCGAGTTGCTGTTTCGAGGGCCACTGTTTTATCTCTGACAACATAGACAATTGAAAGCGTTATTTTTTTGCGATTCCTAATGTTTCTTGAGTCAGTGCAAGCCACCAGAATATTCTGGGGCCCTTCGTTTGAGGTTGTAGTGATCGACAACAATTACGGACCGACGCTCGGTGGAAATATTTCTCTGTGCACCGTGCTTGATATCCAGGCATATGACGCGGCATCGCCGACAATTGCAGACTGATAGACAGGGCTTTTTTTTGTGGAAAAAATTCGAGTCATGTCAGATTCTTGTGCTTTTCGAATAGTACACAGTTAGTCCTACGCCTTGATATGCAACTCCTTCGCACGGCCATCACACGGTAAAGCAGCATCTGACAATTGTTCCTGCTGCTTATGTCTGAGACGCGTCCTGGGTTCTCTTGCAGAACTTGATCGACGTAAGCGTCATACCGAGATCTGCGCAAGATGCCGAGAGTGGCAGGTCGCAGAGAGTCTGAGATGATGTTGTGAGATCGACAAGTCGTGAGAGATCGCCAGCATTGCGTCTTACCCACTGTAGCATATTGATAACGTGGTAATTTCGTATGATCAGTCGATATTAATATAATCAAAGGCTTGGTCTGACATGAGCCTTGACGATGATCACAGGCTGGTTCTATAAATGCAGCACAAGGTAGTGATGGAGAACTCTATCTGAGCAAGTAAGGAACATCATTACCCATCTTCTAGCTTGAAGAGATGCGAGTAATGTTGACGTTATCAAACTCTGCCTCTATCCCAAATACCCTCACGCCGTCCATTCCGCTCTTATAGACATCATCTTTTACGCTGATGACAGCGTGCCGCTCGCCTTTGAGCTCCACATGTATTGAGCTACCATCTGCCGTTACCCTGAGTCGATGTTGCTCTGCCGGCTCAATACCAACCTCTTCTCTTGCCAGAACTATCACCCCGGTTGCATCTGTTCGGCCGAGGACCAGAGAGCCTGATGTGCTGATGACCGCATAGTAACCTTTGTAGGAGTCATCGTCACTGGACGGGCCCGACACTCGAAAGAAAAGGCCTGCATAGCCCATGCAGTTGCTGTTGCCCTCTTCGGAAATTTTCACGTCGGCCTCATATACAAAGTCGGAAAAGTTGGTATTGAGCAAGGCCAGGCCACCCGATGAAGCTTTGCCTCGCAGAACATTTGTTTTGGCATCCCAGTCACCTCCATGGGTTTCCCAACCGATCATGTTTCCGTCCTCAAAGTTGTCATGGACCAGCATCTTGACTGGTTCAATAGTGCCATCCTCATTGAAGTAGAGCCGGTCATATGCCAAATGTCGGTCGTTTCCGTCCGTTGACCCCAATGGATGCCGATGGTACAGCATGTAATAGATGTCCGTATCGGGGACTTGAATCACGGCATTGTGGCCGGAGCCTGTCGCCACGGCTTCATCTTGTTGCAGTATCTTTGCGATGCGATCAAAGGGCCCAAGTGGTGAGCTGCTCATGCCATATGAAACCGCATAGTCAGGGCCTCCCCAGCCACCCTCGCTCCAGAAGAGATAGTAGATGCCGTTACGCTTGAGCATCTGTGGCCCCTCAACGTAGTTCTCCGGAGTAATCTCCTTGAAGGTGGTGTCATCGTCAAAGGTGTCGAGGCTAATCATGTCGTCGTTCAGTTTGGCGACGTTGGCGTAAGAGTGTCCGCCATAATAGATGTAAGCTTGTCCATCGTCGTCAATGAAGACGTCTTGATCGATTGGCTGTGCGCCGTTGTGATATGCGCCGATGAGTGGGTGGCCAAGAGGATCTCGATACGGGCCCTCTGGCTTCTCTGCCACGCCCACGCCGATGCCGCCCAGTTCCGAGTCTGACTGGATATCATTGGCGCCGAAATAGAGGTAATACGTGCCGTTGCGATGGACTGGCGCCGGAGCCCAAACAGCCCGATGTGCCCAGGTGAAATCGCCCGCAGTCAGGATCGTCGAGTGCTTCGTCCAGTGAACCAAGTCTGGAGATGAGAAGGCGTCGAGATATGTCTGTTCATCATATGGCCGCGACGCCGTCGGATACACCCAGTACTCACCATTGTAGAACTGAGTGTCTGGATCAGCATACCAGCCGTCGACAAACGGATTTCCCGCTTCAGACGTGGCAAAGTCGGGCGTCTTGGATGCAGCAGCCAGGCAAGAGGCAGACCAAAGGGTCACCAACAGTGCTTGAACCGATCGAGACTGCATCTTGAGATGGTGAATAAGCTAGGTCAGCTCTCGCATCATTTACTTAGTATTTCACTCTGTGGTTTCTGATTGCCTAGAAGCTGAAGCCTGTTCAGCATCGAGTGTTGAAACAAGCAAGGCACGATGATCATGCGGCGCAGCTCAAGTGATCCTTCAACAAAGGTACTAAATTCTAGCGCTGCGACGGTACAGCCATCAGGTACCGAGGTACAAGCGCCAATCTCATCACGTAAATTCCAACGCCAACAGACAGCTGTCGTTTATTTTAATCAATTACATGGAGCATGATTGAGGGAATCTTCGAGGTGGACGATTGTAGGACTGTACAGGTAAGTGTAAGGTAAGCTGTCCAACTTCTTCTACTCCACGGGATAAACTTGATAGAGAACAAGGCCCACAGATTGATAAGATCAAATGCCCGCCACCTCCATCTTATCAGCTCATCTCCCAACCCTCAAACAAGGTCACCCAGTCATTCAATTTTTCAAAAAGCCCTTCTTGACCAATCGATTCTCTGCCCGAATCCTGAAATTGGTATCGCGCGCCACCATTGACAAGACGGTATTTCGGCACGGCGTTCTCCAGCCGAAAAGTCCACTTTACGGGGACAACTCCATCAATAGTCCCATCCGCGTTCTTGCACAGCCGCTACCCGACAGCATCTTCGGACCACCAGTCTGGCCGCTGTGGAGAAGAATGGGCGTACTTTTGCTGTTTTTCTTCTCTGCGGGCTGTCCCGGAATCGAGTTTTGATCTCCGGATGGAGATGACGATGATGTCAATCTCGACTGAGTGATATATAGTCTAAGTCGCGGCTGTTGCGGAAGGGACTGTTGAAACGGCACCCGGCGTGATAATTTTGAGAAGGAGGAAAACTGGAGAGGAGAAGTGGTCGTAGAAGAAGAATAGGTTCAGACGTATTCACAAGCCTCAGCTTTGTAAAGATGAAGGACTTTTCTTCTGAATCCTGCCGCCTGGATATACCAGACCACGATAATCATTCCACGGCTCCAACAAAGGCTTACGACAGATAAATAGCGCCATTATCAATCAATCAGTCGTAGCAGAAATCGGCTCAACTTTAGGAATGCCAAGTTGACGGCTCCCCAAATCGGCCACTAGGGCTGATCGTGGGTCTCTGCTGGCTTCATGTTCGGAAGAGCAACGCCGACATCCATAGAATGCCAACTGCTCGTATATAATCAGATACCTCTGTCTTCTCATCTAATCTTATCTGATCAGATCATTGTCAATGGTCAGCCAGCTTCTCCTTCATCTTCATGCCCGCCATGGAGACCAAGGCACCGGAAGCCACCGAGGCCGGCGAGATTGGATTTCAGAGCAGGAGATCTAGCATCTCTGAGGACAAACGGCCGTCTGGTATGAATTCCTTCATATCCTTGAGCATCGATGAGCTGACTGAGTTATGGCATATCAGAGGAATCGAAGACGCCGACAGAGGAAGTCCTTTATGCCGCTGGGGTTGGACACCGGACAGATGACCCGTCTTTGCCTTGCCTCACTTTGCGTATGTGGGTGATTGGCATTGGCTTCTGTCTTATCGGCAGCGGTGTCAACACGTTATACACCTTTCGACTTCCATCAGTCACTCTATCCCAGTCTGCGATCCAGTTCCTGGCATATCCTCTAGGAAAAGCCTGGGAGTTCATCATCCCAGACTGGGGCTTGACTGTTTTTGGAGTTCGACACAGCCTGAATCCCGGGCCCTTCAACTACAAGGCATGTATACAACACTATCATCTTCCAGGGGGCAAAATCTAATCTGGGTCGTACGAGTCAGGAAAACATTCTCATCTACATCCTGGCCAACTTGAGCTACCTCACCCGTCTAAGCGCCGATGTATTGACCGAGCAGCGAGTATTCTATGGCGCCAACACTGGCTGGGGTTTCGAAATTACAATAACGCTGGCCACTATTCTCTATGGCTTTTCCTTAGCAGGTTTTGGTAGATCACTTGTTGTCGAACCGAAGAGTCTGGTATGGCCTGGGGTATTGGCCAATACGGCCTTGAACGCTGCTCTGCATCCGGTAGGAAAGGAGGACGAAACCGAGTATGCTATGCTATCCATGCCTTTGAAGAAAATAAATCTTGACTGACTTTAATCAGGGCTAAATGGAGGTCTTCACGGTACAAGTTCTTTTTGATTGCTTTTACAGCGGCCTTTGTCTGGTACTGGCTCCCAGACTTCATCTTTCCAGCGCTGGGATATTTTACCTGGGTTTGTTGGATAGCACCTCGTAACCCAGTGGTCAACCAAATCTTTGGCATGAAGAGCGGCATTGGACTTTTACCATTCACCTTTGACTGTAAGTATTGTGTCTCTGATAAGTCATTCTAAGCTCACCCATTGTGAAAGGGGCGGAAATCGCATATATCGGGAGCCCTTTGGTGGTACCAACCTGGGCCATTCTCAATACCCTTGCGTCAGTCGTCTTTTGGATCTACATCGTCACACCGGCGATTTACTACTCGAATACTTGGTTATCGGCATATCTTCCCATTCAGAGCAATTCCATTTACGACAACACTGGAAACACATACAACGTTTCTCGAGTCATCAACAAGAAACAAGGATTCTCATTCGAGCCGGAAAAGTACGAAGAATATTCACATGTAAGAGTGGCCTGCTGTTAGCTCTACTTTAGTTGCTAACGAGAACCAGATTTATCTTCCAGTTACCTACGCCCTCAATGCTTTTGGTCTATGTTTTGCCTGTATCTCATCACTGTTTGTCTGGATGTTTCTCGAGAAGCGCCATGAAATCGCTCAAGCGTTCCGAGAATCTCAGCTTCCTGCTCTCTTTGGACGCAAAACAGATGTCAGACCAAATATACAGCCGCAGTACAACGAGGTTCCGATGTGGTGGTACGGAGCCTCTTTCCTTGTGTCTTTGGGACTTGGCATTTTCGCTTGCGAGGTTTATCCTGTGCAGCTACGCTGGTATGGAGTCATCTTTGCCATGTTTGTGTCTGCAGTCTTCTACCTTCCTGTAAGTCACATACACCCCATGCTAGTGCAACCTAGATACATGTGCTAATACGACCTTGGCACAGCTGGCTTGGGTCTATGCTACGACCAACATGAAAGTCCAGATTGACATTTTCTGTCGCATGGTCGCTGGCTACATCTGGGAAGGCAAAGTCCTGGCCAACATCTGGTTCTTTGACTTGGGTTACATCTCTGGTATCAAGGCTCTCTCATTTGCTCAAGATTTGAAGCTGGGAATATATTCCAATGTAAGTATAAAACTGCATATGGAAGCTCTGCTAGAAGCAAAACTGATTGATCGCAGATCCCACCAAGGCATCTTTTCATTGTCCAGATTGTTGGCTTGGTCATGGGGACATTGGGCCAAGTCTCGGTTCTAAACTGGGTGCTGGGTCATGTCCCAGATATCTGTTCTCTGACTGCAAAGAACGGATTCACATGCCCCTATTCTCGCACCCACTTCAACACTAGCATGGTCTGGGGCGCTCTCGGGCCTCGTCGGTTCTTTGCTGACGGTACTCTATATCGTGACCTCTTGTGGTTCTTCTTAATTGGAGCCATCCTGCCAGTGATTGTGTATGCCATGAAGAAAACTTGGCCAGAGCATCGATGGCTAGAAAAGGTTCACATCCCACTATTCCTTGGTGGGCTGAATTACATCCCCCCAGCCTCTGGCACAAATTACGGCAGCTGGGTCATTGTTGGCCTGGTTTTTGGATTGTGGATTAAGAAGAAGAGCCGAGGCTGGTGGCGTCGATACAATTTTGTGCTCAGCTCAGCCCTGGATTGTGCAACAGCCATTGCAGGCATCATCATCTTCTTTGCCATATTCTATACTGGAGCAGCCGACAAGGTCTCTTGGTGGGGAACCACCGTACATGAGGTTAGTTATACCACGAATTTGTAAGATATGAGCAGCAGCTAACCAGATGTTCTCTAGGACACTTGCGACTGGAAGAGCTGTACATATAAGACGGTCCAGAAGGGGCAGACCTTTGGACCATAGTGACACGATTTAACATAAAACAGCGAAGCGTTGAAAGCACTAGAGTTAGACAAAATTAAACAGCCACTGGTTGACCTCTTTTATGGATGAAGAGTATATGTAGAAGTGACAGCCAAATAAGTTCAATTGTGGCGCATATTCCATTCAGTCCGTTGTAACAGCCAAGATTCAATGCTGTACCCCTCGCGGATGAGACACAGCGCAAGCAATAAACATGTCCCTCATGTTTCTATAATGAGTAATTACATCATGAAAATTAAAACAATATCCAAGAAATTCGAGATACTGAATCAATTCTGACTTAAAAAGCTAATTCAACAACATGCGTAATAGCCAAGAGTTGTTTCAACACTTGTAGCCGGTACCTCATCGAGAGAAATATACACGACCCCATTTCCCGAACATCAGCCGTCCCAGCCAATCACAGCCGCCCATTTTGCAAGCAGCATTGGCTCCAGCCATTGGAACTCCGATATATGCCATTTCAAAGCTCAAAACCGCCAAAACCTCGAGCCACCCTCCCCAGGAATCAAGCAAACCGCCTCCCCTCCTCCCGGAACCACACAATGGCGAGCAAAATCACGCCCTTCCTCCTCCGCTCCGGCGTCCGCTGCGCATCGCGCGTCGCCCGCCCGCAGGCCCGCGCCTTTTCCATCACAGCCAGCCGGCCCAGCGACACCCTCCAAGTGGTAAAGTCTCCATCGCCCCCAAAAACCTCAAAAACTCACCCCCGGGCCCTCGAATTCGTTTCGCTGCCGCAATTGCGCTGCATCTCCCCCCTTTGAAAGATAGAGAGAGCCGGATCGCCCATTGAGACACAAACCGTTCCAGAAGTTTCGCTGACCTCGAATTCCTTCCGTCCAGCACCGAAACACACCCGACAACAACCCCGACCTGCCCTTCAAGTTCAACGCCCAGAATGAGAAGCTCATCGCCGAGATCCTCAAGCGCTACCCTGCCCAGTACAAAAAGGCCGCCGTCATGCCCCTGCTCGACCTCGGCCAGCGCCAGCACGGCTTCACCAGCATCAGCGTCATGAACGAGGTCGCCCGCCTGCTCGAGATGCCACCCATGCGAGTCTACGAGGTCGCTTCTTTCTACACCATGTACAACCGTACCCCCGTGGGCAAGTTCTTTGTCCAGGCCTGCACAACGGTACGCATTCCTTGATTCTTGTTCCTACGACTCCGTTCCTATTCTTTCTCCATTGGCCGTCTTGGGAATCACATCATATATCACAGCTACAATTGGAGAGAACAAGAGTGGGAGGGGTAGCATCATATCATCACATTCCCCCTCCAAAAACACCAGATATCAGAAAAAAAACATGCAGCTAACCAACCCCCTCCACATCCAGACCCCCTGCCAGCTCGGCGGCTGCGGCTCCGACGCCATCGTCAAGGCCATCACCAACCACCTCGGCATCAAGCAGGGCGAGACCACAAAGGACGGCCTCTTCACCTTCATCGAGGTCGAGTGCCTCGGCGCCTGCGTCAACGCCCCCATGATCCAGATCAACGACGACTACTACGAGGACCTCACCCCCGAGACCACCGTCAAGCTGCTCGACGCCCTCAAGGCCTCCGCCGCCTCCGTCGGCAGCAGCACCGCCAAAGCCCCCGTCGCCGGCCCCCTCACCGGAAGGAAGTCGTGCGAGAACAGCGCGGGATTGACGAATCTGACATCAGAGCCGTGGGGCGCGGAGAAGACGAGATCCGATTTGTAAATTTAAGAAGGGAATGAAATGAAATATAAGGGGGAGGAGAGGGGGAGGGCGGCGTTTGACACGGGTTTTAAATGTACATAACGCCATGTTGAATGTCAGAAAAAGTAGTATAGACCAAATTTGGTGGTTGTGCGATAAATACAGTCAAAGTTGATAATGCATGTGCATGCTCCTGAATAAGAGGACATTTCATTCGTTGTATTTCTTTTCATGCGGTACATTTTTCGCAATCTTGACTCATATGCAAAAATATCAAATAAAGATATAAAAAAGAAAAAAGTTGAAAGGGAAAAGGTTTATGCAAGTCGCATGATCCATCCCTCTCCGCGCCGCCTATTCATATCATCCAGGCCACCCCAAATCACAATTCCAGTCTCTTCCAAATCAAACATCGGGGCACTGGCCAGCCTGCCCCGACCCCTTGGCACTTCCAGCACCTCATCGTCATAGGGCCCCATGGTTACCTTTGTCCATTTGCCTTCGCCAGTCTTGCGGCCCACGGCTGAGAACATGGCTGCCGTGAAGCTTGCGGCTGTCATGCCCACCGGCGGAACCTGGAATACCCACACGTCGTTGTGGGATTTGCCGGCGCCGTTGTAGCCGTCTGAGCTCGGGCTGGCTTCACCCATGGTCAGGACGAGATACTCGGTGCCGCCGCCAAAGGTGATGGCTTCAAGAGAAGACACACTTCGCGGTGCGGGCCAAACCTGGACATTCTCAGAAGGAATCTCATGCGAAGAAGCCTCGGGCATGGCCTCCACGATGGACTGCCAGCTACCACGGGCTCGAACAGCCACCTCGCCCCGAGTGACACGGTCATCAAACATTTCAACCTCGAGGTTCAAAAAGTCGAGCTGGCCTCCAATCTCATTCTGTCCGTCGTATCCACCAAAACGGAAGATTCGACTCTTGCTGATGCAGATGGAAGTGCCGCTACGGGCAGGTCCTGGCGCTGCAGGCAGCTCAGTCCACATGCGTGAGTGGACGTCGAAAGCCCAAAGGTCACTAGTGCGATCACCGTTGGCCAGAACACCGGCATGCACGAAGAACGTGCCGTAGCCGCTCGTCTCCTCGTCAATTGCATTCTCGGCAACGTTGCCAACAATGGGATCCTGGGGGATGCCCGTCTTGGAGGTATCACCAAGCGCCCACTCCTGCCAGGTCTGAGGCTGGGTTGGCGGGGGAGGGGCAAAGTCGCGGGGCCGATCCGTCGCGGTAGCACTGTGATAGCTTCGCGGTGCTGGATGAGGAACGATGGATCCGCCCTTGACAGCCGGGACCGGGTCAAGATAGGTCCAGAGTCGAGTGCGGGTATCAAAGATCCAGACACGGCCTCCTTCATCCAAAGGCCTCATATCTGGCCCACCACGGCCGCCGTACAAGAAGATGCGGGACCCAATGACGGCTGTTGCATGCCCAACTCGTGGTGACGGGACATCGCCCAACTTGTCAGCCCGTCCTTTGCCCTTGTCCGCTGTTGTCGGCGTGGATTCTCCTTGGTCACTCTCTTCAGTGGGATCATTGTTGTCGCTGTCACTCTCTTCCTCTTCGAGTTCTTCACCAAGGTCTTCAGCTTTGGCCTTGGCCCTTTTGGAAGGCTTATCCAATCCATCTTTTTTGCCCTTGTCCTGGATCGGTGCCGGCACAGGGATCGTGTGGTCTGGTTTGGCCGGGATCTTGAAGTAGTCGGCGGGAGCGCTGCTAAAGGGAAGGCGAATGACAACAATGTCATTGTCAACGGGTTCGTGGGGGGTGATCTCGCCACCAAAGATGTAGGCGCAGCCAGAGATGATGTCAAGAGAGTGGGAAGAACGAGGAACCGGGGGCAAATCAATGCGCTCCCAGGTGCCTTTCAGGCCTTCCTGCTGGGGTTGCCTCCGGAAAGCATCAAACGAAAACTGTGGCATGGCCGGCAGAGAAGGGAGATTGGGCAAAGAAGGCATGGCCGGCATAGAGGGCATGGTGGGCATGTTGTTCTGCGCAGCCTGCCATACCTCCGTCGAACGGCGCTTGATGGTGCCGCCGATATTGTCCATGGTGTCGATGTAGAGCTTCCCAGAGCTGGTGGGGGAAGCAAAGTATCTCAAGAAGATGCAGTGGTGATGACGACAAGGGAGAGATGCGAGTGTTAGGGCAATGGAAAAGACCAGCTCCGGCGGGAAGAGGAGAATTGGAAGGGATTAGTGAGATGCAAGATGGTTGGCTGCTGACTTTGACTTGCTGTGGATGGGAGAGGATTGAGCGCCGGTGGATGACGTACGAGGAGCTATTTCAGTACTACCTGGTAACGGGTGCTAGAGGTGCTCCCAAGTCCCCTGTAAGAGAGCAGCTGGAGGAATCTCGGAGGCCCTACGGAGCAGAAGATACCAAAAGTGTCCCGATTTGTGCAGCTCATCCGTGCCGACCGTGGCCGAGTCTCGATCGTGTGGGCTGCTGGGCTGTGATCCTTTCAATCCAGAAAACGAGAGTGGGGACCGTATTCAGTAACAGGTAAGCATGGATGAGAGAGGCGGAGCAGCAAGAAGGCGCTGGACTTGGGTCTCTTCTTGTTGCTTTTGCTAGCAGTAGTGTAGATAGCTAGCAGGATTAGCATGCATCCATCCTGTATGTAAGTCAGCAGGCAAAGCAGAACAGCTTCCAATGCATTTGCAATGGATGTCCTTGTGTGTCCGACATGTGGCTGCTGCTATTGAATGCCAGACAGGTGTGGACGTGAGCTGGCGGCAAATCGTTAGCGGGGCTTAGCGTGCCATTTGATGCATCCAGGCATTGATGGACCGACTATTATGGCTTGGAGCGCTCAATCGTATTGTCAAACACGTGTCAAAGCAATTCGATGGAATGGATGTGGGAAAATGCACCGATGAGAGCAGCTATACATGGACAGATAGCATTGCAGAGGTTACCTCAGATGAATAATATATACAAAATAGTAATAGTAGCAAAAATCGCCGAGTGTCCGATAATGAATCCTGGATACCAAAAGCTACATACAGCCTGAGGTTATGAAGCTTGCTCAGGGAAGTGGGAAGTGGGGGAACAGCTCCAGCTCTAAGCTGTCGAATAAAGAAAAGAGGCCTCGCACTCTGCCTTGCCCTGATTTGGCTGCCCCCCTCTGGCCGACTTGCATTGGATGTCGAGAATCATCCGATACGACCATGGTGAGCTCCTTAAAGGGTTGCATTACAGGGGCAACCAGGGCACGGCAAAGTTGCAGGACTTGAGGACTTGAGGAGCTGCCTAGCTACAAGTACCAAGTCGAGATCCTTGCACTTGGTTACGAAGCAAGCAAGATGCCTAGCAGTACGGAGAATACAGACAAAATCAGCATGCAGCTCCAGTCAAGCTGCTGCGCCATCGGGGATTGATTGAAAGGGACTGATTGATCATTTTCTGCCTGCAGAGCATTGGATTCTCTTATAAGTATCTTTTGGAAGTCGATCGCTACTCCAAAGACCCGCGATCGATCTCTTGCACTCTTTTGTGTACACTAACCTTCAGTAACAATAGAGTGAAAAGATTCATCATATTAAGCCACGTCTTCTTACAGCTTGTTTACAGCATCATAACGCTCCCGACCGCAAAGAATACTCAAAGCGACGGCATTGCCGCGCTGTTCCCCCCTTGCATACGTATGAAGCTGTTGTTGGTCATGCAAAATTCGTCTAGAAGGGCGTCTAAGCCACATGAATCCCGGCCAGCGCTATGGGCTGCGAACCTATCATCTGTGCTTTTCGGATGAAGACATCAGATCAACCAACAACATACTCTTTCTCTCTCCCAGTTTCCTGACGACATTTAATTTATTTCATGTCAGAGCCTCGTCCGCTTGCCCCACGAGATCCTACACTTTGTATCTATCCCCTGCGACGTCGCATTCATCTTGGCCATTCATCTATCGCTGACATGCTCAGCCATGCTGGACAACCCTCTTTGGGAGCATGCAGATCTTGAGTGCCGTACGAATGGCATCTTGGATGTTCATTTTCCCAGTCAGGACTCCGATAAACCATTGATCTTTTCATCGCTTGATGCTTCTGGGTCGCATTTGAGGTCTGCGAACTTGATGCATGGCCGGCGCTTAGATTCTGGGGCACGCGCCCCTGTCGCGGCTTGCCACCCTCTCGGAACGTTTCATCCATCAGGCTCTGGCTGAACCCAAGATGGTGGTGGCTGCAGTGTCGCGCGTATGCTCGCCATATATAGATGCCCAATGAACCCACATGAATCCGTTGATGTAGACATCAGAGGGGTCAGCCTCATGCCCGCTTGCCATCCGATCTGGTCGACTCTTATCCGCCTTTCCAGCCTTTTGGGTTGCCAAAGTTTTTTTTTAAAAATTAACATCATGGAAGAAATTTATCAAAGGCTAAGCGCAGTAAATCTATGGCAGGGCTTCAGCAATTCGGATGAGACATCCTTTGAAGTAATCGAGGCGAGGCTTCAACATGCGTCTGGGGAAATCATCACCGATCGTAGGACTGTCCACTTGAAAGAGCTGGACACCTGGCTAGCCGAAGGATCAGAAGACGACGAAGACCCGAAACAATCTTTGGTTTTGCGACTAGCTTTAATCGGCTGCGATATTAAAACCAGGGTCTTAAAGCTGTCCAAAGATGTGCTTGATCCCATGCTTGACGAATTCAATCTTGAGTTGGCCTACACATACTCACAAAGTTGCATCACAAATGTGTCCGCTATTCCATCCAAAGGATCCCAGACATATTCATTTTGCTATATGCCCAAGCTAGTTGCTGTTTGGGCGCAGAAGCAACTCAGCACACGGAGTTCGGCTGATCGACCGCATCTTACGCAAGGGCTCATATTCGTCGAAGAGTCTAACAAGGGATTTCTCTCTGACAATCTCTGCTCATCTTGGAACGCCCTACTTTATCATAGCCCCATGTTTCCTGCTCTTTTATTCAGCATGATCCTCAGCATGCAAATTCATTATGAGGAATCAAAGATTAAGATGAAGCTGCGCGACGTGGAAATCGAAACGGGCCAAGATAGAATGGCCGATCGAAAACACAAGGAGAATACAACAGCAAAATATATCAAGCTAGCTGCCCAGGTAGACCGACACGCTGTAAAGCTTGCTAGCGTGGGCAGGAAGAGCAAGATGGCAGAAAAGACTCTGACTTTCATTTTGGAAAATACACAGCAGCCGTTCGGTGGCAGAGCTATAACTGCATCGACCAAGGCCCATCAACTGCTAAGAAGCCATGCGTCTCTTTTACAAGATAGACTATCGATGCAGGCTGTCGACATAGAATTCACCCTGAAGCGTGTTCAACTCCAGGCCAATACAGTAGGTTTCGCAACTAAAAAACGCATTATTGATTCCATATGAGCTAATACCTTGAAGCTTACGGGTATCATCTCCAGAGACGACGTCAAAGCGAACCTCGATTTAGCAGAATCTCAGCATCGTGACTCTTTGTCAATGAAGACATTAGCCATCGTCACCATGGTTTTTCTTCCAGGAAGCTTCATCTCCGCGTTGTTCTCAACTTCCATGTTCGATTGGGACAGCGTCGATCCTACTTCGAATAGCATTGGGGTGAAAACAATGCCTCAGTTCGGCTTGTACTGGGCCATTACCATTCCGCTCACCTTCGTTACCTTTCTGCTCTACTTTTTCTGGCTGCGAATGATGAAGCAGCAGCGAGACCGCAGAAAACAGAGCTTTGATCAACTCTCTGCTGAAGAGAAGGGTGACCCGGATGCGATTGAAATGGTCAAACTGCGAAAGGACACTGAATTCAGAAAGAAGTCGTCTATGCCTTTCGGTAGCTGGTAAGAGAGGCGGGTGTGCTGTTGGCGGTGCGAGTATGCTTCATACATTTTCTTTTTTTGTTTCCCCGGCACTGAATAAAGGCCCATTTTCCTTTCTTCAATATGATTCCCAACTTCGATTGCAGTATATGTATCTAGAGTATATTATACCTAGCATTATCAATAACAAATGACGATATTGACAGTTTCAAAATGACAGAAATGAAAGTAATTAAAGCTGAAATCAGCGCATGACAAGTTGTTTATAAATAGAAGTAGTTTATAGTATACATGCAAAGTGTTGCATCATCCCAAGACTAAGGTATTCATCGCCTCGACATGTGTTGATCCAAAAAATGGAGGAATGGTATACTGATGTCATCAAAGGCTACAATGTTCATGAATGTATGATTAATGCTAATGAAAAAACAAGTTTCTCGCTAATGAATTTCTAATTTGTACTATGAGTATTTTTGTATCATGATATTTTCCCAATGAATGGAGGCTATTCATTCCATCGGCTTTCTAGACGTGAGTTAAGTGAGCTACCCTGCTATAGGCAGTTAGTCGCGAGCTCAAGCACCAAACATGTGCTTTCCCCCACCAACGCTTAACCTCTGCTTTGCATCACTCCAAATGCTCCCTCGATTCAAGCACCAATTTGCCGCGGGGCAATTGCATTTCTCTTCTTAAACTACAGGCTGCTGGCCGAAAGCGGCAGGGTTCTTGTCTGCAGATCTCCAAACTCTGCTAATTATGTCGATTTCTACCACTCCATAGAGCCTCATTCTCTCGACCGGCGCCGGCTCCATGGCTGCATATGCCTCCACGGGCGGCATCGTGCCCGCGCAGCTGGGCTTCCTGGCCTTGTTCAACCCCTCTTTAGGCCAGACGGACGAGACGATTGACGATCAGATCGTCTACTATGCCTCCGTTTCGACGCAGTCTTCCAGCCGCAAGCGGAGGCGCGCGCGCACGAGACCGACAGATGGGCTCTCCCAAGAGGAACGCCACGAGCGACTGCGACAGATAGGTCTTGCGCAGGGAATGGTTAGCTTCGGCCGCGATTTCTCGGACGGAGCCCCGGTAGATACCATCGACACAGAAAAATCGAGGGTGATTGCGCATGAGCTGGAGCCGGGATGGTGGATACTTGCTGTGAGCCTTGAACAGTCGGTTCCAGATTGATCAAGATAAAATGCTGATCCAGCTGCTGATAGAGTATCGACTTGAATAAAGTGCCTCTGCCGCCGCGGCTACCTACCAAGACGGGAGAGCAACAGGAAGAGAGATACGAGTATTCGAGCCGGGAGATGAAGCCTGCTACATTGCTACTGACGGATCTTCTGCGAGCACACAGCATTTTTCTCTTGCATCATGGATCATCGCTGAGTGCCTTGTTTGTTCGATACCGCCGAGTGAAATTCATCGCACTGCTTAGTCGGTACTGGGATCTATTCCTTTCCACCTGGAATGTCATGCTGCATGGAAATCCTGCAAGAGACATTTTTGGCGGAATCAACTTGGCCGCGTCTGGAGAGCTCGGCGTGGGCGTTGGTGAAGAAGACCGAGGAAGCGGGGAACGAGAGGTGCTGGAGGGCTTGGTGAGCAGAGTAGAGGGGCTAGTTGATCTTGTCGTCTCGAGGTTTGGGCCCGATGACCCTGAGGCAGAATCGAGCAAGTCGGATAAGATTGAGCTAGAGCCATGGCTAGGAAGTGGTAAAGAACCTAGAGCCGAAGACGGCGCTATATTTCTCGGTACAGGGACGCTATCACGGAAATCCTTACGAGACGTAACCCATTGGATGGAAGATCTTTATACCTGGGGCGAACACGCTTATGGTCTTATTGACAGCCCAACCTCTACGCGACGAGCCAGAGGCAAGAAGTCGACATCAAAGGTGCCGATTCTGAGCGAGAGTCAGCCCCCAAAGACAGATGCAGCATCCAAAGCGGCGGAATCTACACCCGAAGCTGGCGAACCTACGAGTGATGCCCAAGATACTCAACCAAAGGCGCCGGAAGCTGCAGCGAGCCCGGTAAACCCTGAGCTTGAGGCCGGAAGGCTCGACAAAATGGTTAGCTACTTAACGCTGGGGTACGGTTCATACTGGTCGTTTCCCGGCGGCGGCGGTAACTCATCGGAGCCAGCCAACCAACAACCTGCAGCCGATGGCAAATCGAACGCGGAACAGCATCTCCAATCGCCAAAGCTGCCATCTTCTTTGGAGTCGTCCGGCCACTACTTGATTGGGCTCAAAGGCGACATTGAACATGACTCCGCAGCTGTGAACGAAGTGGAAGGGACCCTCGGCTCAGATGATGCTGAGGACGATGACGAAAACAACTCCCGCACCGTCCTTCGCACTCTCCACGTCGAGCTGGAAGGCTCTGCTGCAGAGAACCGGACAGAGCGCACTGTCATTCGGGATTTCGAGCACGAAGTCAACCCGTTGACTCGATCTCAGGCGGTGGGCGGATTGCTCGCGGGCTTCGACTCTCACGACATCAACATGGCGGAAAAGCTCCGCGTCGTCGTCTACGTCAACAAGCCCTTCATCTTCACGTTCCTCTTCCGCCTCCGCACCGACTCCCTCGCCTGGGACACGCTTTACCGCTCGCTGCACTACCAGCTGGCGCCGCTGAGGAAGCCCCTCTTGGCATCAACCAGGTACCGTCCCGAGCGCCCAGACGCCGGGCCCGTGTCCTCCCACATCCAAGACCTCGTATGGGATCCGCCCTCGCTCACTGTCCACTCGTCGATTCCCAACATTCCCGACTTCTTCCCCGACTCTTCGTCTTCATCTCCGTCGTCATCATCATCGTGGTCTCGCGCGGATGCCGTGAGCACTCATCTCCATCTCCTCAACATCTACGCCGCGACGCGGTCTCATATCGCCGACCTCGAGCGCACGCAAAAGACAAATCGCGGATGGTGGATCGTCTGGACTCGGGTCCTCCAGCGCACCGCCGCTACTACCCCTTCCACCACCACCACTGCCACGGCACTGCCGCTATCCACCATCCATGAGTCCGCATCGTCATCATCCCTGACCTCGCACGAAGCATCCACCCAGGACCAGGACAAAGCCCCTTCCTCTCGTCGCTCCTCGACGTCTGCATCCTCCCATTCACCTCCGCCGGCCGTCGACAAGGAAATCTTCCTCATCCGGCGCGCGAGCGACCACATCGGCTTTCGCAGGGCCGCGGACGACGGAGCTTCCGGGGGCGGAGAAAGTTTGGGGCGGTTGGCGCAGGGAATTGGCGTCGATACGAGGAGATATGTCGAAGAGCTGTTGACCTTGCTGTAAGTGAAGAATAAGGCGCTTTGTGGTTAGAGGCGGTTGGGTTGCAAGGGTCTGGGGTGTAGCTTGGCGGGGATTTGATAATTATACAATACGAATAGCTGATGCGATCCGCCTATCACTATTTCAAAATTAGGTGATGGCAGGCCACTTGGACCCAGTAATGCAATGGATGAGTTCATGACCAGCCTGATAATTTCATCACCCCAGGGTACTAAGAAACCCTGGAGTACTAAGAATAGGTACACATTGGAAAGACAGAGCTTTGGTCACATTCACAGAGAGGTACCTTCAAGGAAACCCATTCATTCATATAGCATTCAGATACACCCAAAGTCCCTACAACATTCACGGCACAAAAGATTAAAAACATTTCAAGTGATAGCATCTCAAATAATGGCATCTAAAAGGGGTATGTCATTCCACGTTGTCTCCAAGATGAGAGGACATGTCTATAAAGTTGTGTCTATATGTACATAGAAAATAGGTTATCCCGTTGATTTTACCAAGAAATGTGTGTTCTTTTTTCCGTCCAGGGATATAAAGAATAATACTTTGAAAAAACACATCATTTTTCCTATCCATATCGCATTCCCATCCGCGCCAGGGATGATAGAATCCAAACAAGTAAATCAACGAATGAAGGGTATACGTGAAAAAAGTTGACTTTGACATCTTGTCCAAATAAAAAAGTCATATAGAAATGTGCACTGCACATTGACAGATCCTGGTGTGCGTCAGGCGCTTTTCAGCAAACTACCTAGGTAGCCATGATGATGATGAAGCACCAACGGCAGCGTCCTCTTGCACAGCTTAGTTGAAAGACCAGGTGACGGGCTCACGACCGCCGTCGAGGCTGCCGAAGAGCTCGAGGAAGACCTTCTCGCTGACGTCGATGTCGTGGGGAGCGCAGCCCATGCACTTGTCCTTGACGGTGGCAGTGGTCGTCTTGCCGCCACCGTGGATGGTGATCGTCTTGCCGCACATGGGGTTGCCGTTGGACTGGGAGCCCATGAGGCCGACAGCGATGGCGACAATGCTGGCGCTCTGGTCCTGGCCGCTGTCGTCCTCACCGCAAGAGCCGAGGCCGATGGTGTAGTAGGTGATGTCACCGGAGTACTCGTCGCTGCTGGAGCTGCTGGTGCCGACGCTGTTGTCGGGAGCAGAAGCAGGGGCCTGGCTGGGAGAAGGCGAGGGAGAAGGAGAAGGCGAAGGAGAAGGCGAAGGCGAAGGAGTAGGAGTCTCAACCGGAGGGGGAGGAGGAGGAGGAGGAGCCGCAGAAGAAGTGGTATGCTGGACCGGAGGAGGAACCACGACAACCGGAGCCTGAGAGGTGGTGGTCTGAGGAGGAGGAGGAGGCGGGGTGAAGACCGAGCTGCTGGAGGCCGGAGCGGTGGTAGGCGGAGGAGGAGGAGGAGCCTGGCTGGTGGTCGAGGTGGCAGCCTCAGTGGTAGAGGAGCTAGGCTCGAAGAACTCGCCAGCAGAGGCCGAAGCGGTGGTGGTGGCACCAGGGGCAACCTCAGCAGTCTTGCCGTCCTGAACCCAGACGGTGGTGGAGGAGTCAACCAGTTCAGTCACGTAGACAGTCTCGGTCTGCCACTCGGTCTCGGTGACGACGACATCACGGGCAGCGTGGTGGTGAGCGTGGTGACCGTGGTGAGGCTTGGCGGCAGCAGCTGCGATGAGCAGGGCAGAGGCGAAAGCGTACTTCATTTTTGCAAGAGTTCGTTGAAGGAGCGGTGGTTGTCAGGTGGATTGTTCTGTTCAACAGGAACGTGATAGCAGAGTGCCGTAGAGGCAAAGGGTTGCAAAGATTCAAGGAATGTGGGTTGCAAGAGGAAAAAGAGTCCTGCTCTGAGAGAGTGGGAATAGATGGACTTTGAACAAGTCGGATTTGCTTTGAAAGGAAGAGACGAAACAAGAACGACCAGGGGGGGAGCGAGTCCGATTTATGAATGGGATTGCAGCTTACATGGCTCCAGGATTAATACGGAGCGCTAGAACAAGCTGTTGCCCGGGGTTGTGCGCGAGTGGGCCGGACGTTGCTCCCTGCTGTGGTGTGGCCATTGTGGTTCCAGAGTTCCTTTTTTTCTTCCCACTTGAATGGATCTTTTCTTTTTTTTTCCCCGGTTACTGTGCTAAATGTTAGCGCCGCCTACCGCAGCCAGTGTCGATGCACAATGGCCGAGACTGGGTTGCATGGAGATGGAGTCAGTCAGCGAGTGAGAGAGAGAGAGTGAGAGTGACGAGACTTGCAGCTGAAGTGACAACGGCGCGAGTCTGCTTGGTACTGGGTCTGTACCAACGGCGTGCACTGTCAACGGATCACAGCCGCGCCGAGCTAGGCGGTAGCGGCCAGGCGGCGCTGCCACGTCGCTGCTGGGCGCTGCCATTGGCCGCCAGGGGGCCGTAGCGCTGTATTACAGGGGCTAATAGCCTTCGCGGGCTCTGCAGGGGCCGCCATCCGGACCCGTCGCAGCGTCGCAGTGCCAACCAGGTACCCGGGCAGCCAGCCAATGGGCGTTGGCCGGTGCCTGAGGCGCCGTGGGGCCTTCGCAGCAAGATGCAGCAAGATTGGCAGGACTTGGGCATGAAAACTCTGCGGGTCGCGAAACGTGCGGTGGGCCTCGTCCTCTTCCACTTCGCTCCATCAAAATGCTTTGTTCACCAAACTCACTCGCCATCTCGGTGGGGACACGCGTGAGAGAAAAACGCCTTGCCACGCAGGTTTTTTTTGTTAGTTTCTCAGTCTTTGTCTCCTCTGTGAGTGAACGGCTTACGTGTTGCATGTGCATGTGCCAGCAGCCTTCATGACTTGTGCAAACACCTCACTCCCTTTAAACTGAACCCTCTCCCCCACCCCCCTTGCTCACAAACGGCATACCGACAGTGAGGGAAATCTTTCATTGTCTGAAGACCCGCTTCTGCCTCTCTCTCCATCCACTTGGATCTTGACATTGACATTTTACCGTCCGGCTATCGAGATACTTTCCGTGGGGACAAGGACATCGACAACGGGACGCGTGGTGCGGCTTTTTCTCGTCCTCTCGGTTTCAAAGAATGAATCCATCTACGCATGTGGCTCTCCGTCACAAACGACACCATCTTGCGCCATCCTTATAAATGGAGTGCGCCTCCACGTGCTTTGTCACTGCATTCCAGCACCCCAGAGGTACAATGTACTCGTACTGTACGCCAACGCTCGGAGATGAGGCGAGTCAGAGGTGATCCGCCCCTCTTTTCATTCCGAATACTGTGCCGGTGTGGATGGTAGTTTAATAGGGTCAATATGCGGTAGGGGCAGCGCACAGTATGGTGTTGATTGGCGTCGACGGGCCATGTTTTTTCCCGCCTTCGTTGTGCTTCCGACCACGCCGACCAAGGCACACTCGTCCAGTCTAAAATTTTGTGGCGGTTGACTCCTTTGCGTGTCGGGCCTGTCGTCTAACTTCATCCATGTATCCACCGCCTGTCTACCAACCGGATGTCCCTATCCAGAGCAATTGTGGGCAAATATGGAACCGCTGGTACCTCGGGGCATTCGCTGAAAACTCGAAATTGGTTCCAGAAAGGGACGACTATTGCCGTTTTGCAGGTCCGAAGGGCGAAAAAGAAAGGAAAAGAAGGGCGAAGGGAAGAAGCAATGCAATCGCCACAACATCGAAAAATTTTCAGCTCAACGCCCACGTCTCGCGTATGCTAGCGCTTTGCCTCTTTTCCCACTGCTCGGCTCGCCATCCCCAGCATGTCTGAGCTGGCAAGATGAACCTGGGCGAGATCGAGCCTGCGCCAATCGTTAATTTCGCTCAGCAGCTGTAACTGTACCACGGCATAATCCCCCGCACCCATGCTGTGATGCTCGTACTAGCAATATGCCATTCCAGGCTCGCTTGACAGTGTTTGGCGGAAGTGCATGCAGGCTCCCTCCCGTCTCTTTTTGCTTTGCTGAACCGTGTTGGTGCAACGACCGGCAGGTTTCGTCTTCCCAGCGCCCTGCAGCAAAGCGGAAGGAAAAAGAGGAGTCAGGTCCAATCACAAGGAAAACGGTCGTCCGTTGTTGTGTGTAATCAACTTTGGATTTGTATTTGGTCAGCATGGTTGGCTGCTGTGCCGTTTTTCTTGCTCGAGGTGGTGCCACCTGTCGCCCGCTTTCTAAAAGTAAAAAGGAAGAGTGACTCTCGCTGAAACACTGGCCTGTCCTCGTCGAAAATCTCCTCGACCACAAACGCCTTCTTGGCGGCCTTGACAAACTGCATGTCCGCTCGTCTCCTCTTCTTGAAGCAAAAATACACCACGGCGTTTTCGTTGAGCTCAAACAGATCCTTGAGCGTCTGCATCAGTAGCGGAAAGGCCGGCTCAAAGTAGACGCACTCTGCCGCCAGTATCACGTCCGGTTTGCACGCCACGACGGCTTCTGGTAATGGCTCGCCCCTGGAAATTTGCACACATTGCGTTTTGATCAGTCAAACTTGGCTTACAAGATCGAGAACACGCCACTCAGAAGTATTGGCAGGCAACGTAGCACAGCCAAGAACAAATCCCCGTGCAGGCAGCGGTGCTTGGTGGGTACGCCAAAACACACCGGTGGGAATTACATGTGCCATGTGCAGCAAAAGTCACAACGTACCAGTCCAATATTGAGGCCGTAGCCTTACCATCGAGCTTGTTCAGCTGAATATTATGCTTCATCAGCTCCAGCATCACATCCTGGTCGGTTAAGATGAGTGGCGCCTGGAGCTCGCAGCCAGCCGCCACAGCCAATCCGACCAGTCCTCCGCCGGCGCCCAATTCAAGTCTGCACAAGAAGAAACTGAGTCAGCATCCATTCATTCCGTGTTTGCTACCTGCAGAAAAAAGTTGCTTGCATGAGGGTGCTAGCCCAGCGAAAATGCACAGAACTGGAGCGAATATCAAGGATCAAGGAGCGAAAATTTCTCACATTCGCGCAGTCTCTAGTTTGCTTCTGTGATAGCGCAGCATGTGCTTCCCCAGCACCATGCCTGCAGGCCACGTCTGGCCTCCGCAGCCTGTTCGCACATCCTCGTGGAGCTTGATCGACTGTGGCAGCAGTCCGTCAAAGTCGATGCTTGCGTCGCCCGCCTTTTTGTAGCTGGGCAGCGACACCATGTCTTCCGTGATGCCCGCCACGGGGTCCAGGTCTGGTGATGAACTGCGGCTGTCCATGTCTGTCTGCATATCTGTGAGAGGCCTGCCTGTTGTAGAGGATTCGACGGAGAAGAGAAGAGGTTTGACGGGATGAAGTTGAAGTGAAATGTCGTCAAGTCAATACTGTAATCATGTTCCCCCGCAGCAGCTCGTCCCTCTTTTTTTGATAGTGCTTGCCTTATCTGCGATGGCCCTACGGAGTAAAGTTGATGTTTTTCCTGGTCACGACGCTGATTCCGAAGGCCAGACCCTCAATTGTTCCGGGTCGCCTGTCAACGTCTCTCACCTGCCACAATCGGCCATGGCGACTCGAGATGAATCGTGAACTGATATCGCCCCTGCTGTCAATCTACAAGGGTATTGATTGACGTCTTGATCGATCATCTACAGAGCCGTTACATGGCCTGAAGCTTATTTGCACATACACTCTGACAGTGGGTCCAGCGCTTCAACGACAGCTGAGCTCACCAAAAGCTTCCTCTGAAGCCCTCGTGTAGAACCAATTGCCAGAGACATGACTTTACCTATGGTCAAGGGAGGATTCACGCTGCGCGTCTCTTTTGCTAAAGTGCCGACCAACCCCTCCCACTTCTTTGTCTCTCCTCTCCCCCCATTCTCAAAGCACAAATAGTTCGAGTCGCCATTCTTCCGAGTGGCATCCCATGTCTCACTGCCCGCGCGGGGCATCTCGGGCTCAGGAATGCCACAGCCTCTTTAACCAGCTCTCTAGCGATGCCGGGCCCGCTGAAGCCCTCTCATTTTCTGAAACATTTCGCCTCTCACCGTAATGGACTGACTGGTGTGCTGTCATGATTCCCTCGGCATTTATTGGCATCTCAGGCGCATGATGGCTTCGAGGACCAAGTGGTGGAATGAAGGGTTTATACCCAGCCATCCACCTGATGGACTCAATATGGCACATTATGCTGTCTCTTCCTATGTAGTTTACGATTTTGCTCCTTTCCCCTTCTCATCTATTCCATCTTTGCCTCCTAGACTTTGCCTCCTCTAAAAAGTATTCTCTCAGTTAAAGCTTTTGGTGTCTACCGCATGGCTCTTTTGTGTTCTGCTACTGAAGCTATCTAGCGCTGCATAGCGCAACACTTTGATACAATGGCTTCACTCCTCGCGGCTCTTTCAGCCTTGGGCTTGATAGAGGCCGTGTGGGCTGAGCCTACAGTCTCGTTTCCATTCAACGCACAACTGCCTCCAGTCGCCAGGCCAAATGAGCTCTTCTCATATTCATTATCTCCAAACACATTTCGATCCAACTCCAACATGACATACTCTCTAGGAGATCATCCCAAGTGGTTATCAATCGAGAGCGAGAATCTACGTCTTTACGGGACGCCAAAGGACGAGGATGTCCCTCCAGGCGAGGTTGTAGGCCAACAGTTTGATCTCATTGCGACGGACAAGACTGGCTCGGCTTTCATGAACGCTACTCTTGTCATCTCACGCAACCCACCGCCGTCTATACAGGTCCCAATCTCACAGCAGATGAATAATTTCGGGCAATTCTCAGCTCCATCTTCCATATTATCCTACCCATCGACCGAATTCCACTATACCTTTGATCCGAATACATTTGGCGCAGGGAAGAACCTCAACTACTACGCATCAACCAACGATAACACTCCTTTGCCGGCATGGATCAGGTTTGACGACAAAACGATGACCTTTTCTGGCAGGACTCCAGACTTTGAGTCGTTGGTCCAGCCTCCACAGACATTCGACTTTAATCTTGTTGCGTCTGACATTGTCGGCTTCTCGGGAACGTGTCTTTCTTTCGCCATAGTAGTTGGAAGCCACAAGCTCTCTGCGGATCACTCAGTCGTTCTTCTAAATGTTACAAGGGGGTCCAAGGCGAGCTACAATGGTTTAGCAAAGGGTATTCAGTTGGACAGCGAGGCCATTCGGACAGGTTCTCTCAACGTATCAGTCGAGAATATGCCATCCTGGATTACTCTTGACCATTCAACGCTGCTTCTAGAGGGAACCCCGGGCGGCGATGACCATTCTACGAATTTCACAGTCGTCATTCATGACTCTTTTGCCGACACGCTCAACGTTTTAGTTCAGGTCGATGTGGCCTCGGGATTATTTCAGTCAAGTCTTGAGGACGTCAAAGTACAGCCAGGAAGTGAATTCAGCCTAGACCTGTCCTCACATTTCCGCGATCCAAGTGATATCGAGCTCAAAGTTGATGTTGAACCACAAGAGAGCTGGCTACAAGTGAAAGGGCTCAAAGTATCAGGCAATGTCCCCAAGACGGTGACGGGCAAATTCAACTTGTCCATCACAGCCGTTTCGAAGAGTACTGGTCTTACAGAGACGCAAGTTGCTCATGCCGATTTTCTCTCACTCTCGGAGGCGACGAATACAGCATCGTCTTCCAAGCCTACGAAACCTGCCAATGTGGCCTCCGAGGACTCACACCGCCATCATCTAAGCGCTACTGATGTTCTCCTTGCAACTATCCTACCAGTTCTTTTTGTTACTTTCGCCATCATGATGCTCGTATGTCTCATGCGGAGGCGACGGCACCGTCGCACTTATCTATCAGCAAGAAAACATCGGCCCAAGATCTCGGATCCAATACCGTTTACTGTACGCAACAACGACTCAGATGTTGAAACAATCTACCATGCAGAGGACGCTATTCGTTCTAATAAGTCTAACAGCCCTCAGCTGTATCACAAAGGCGACGGATACCGCGTTGGGGGGAGGATTCGCCCCCTTCGCCCCCTACGGTCCGGTACAGGACTATTTAAGAAAGGGGATGGTATCTTTGCAAGAGTTGCATCACGAGTATCACTGAGGTCATTAGCATCAGGCAAATTGGGCGGTGGATTGGCCATGCGTGGTCCACCATATCCGATGGCCTCGGGAGCTCGGTCTGCCACAGGGAGTGCTAGCCTTCTGGGAGAAGATGATCACGGCTCCTGGTTTACTGTGGAGAGAGCAACAGTTGGTGAAAGAAGCCACAAGTCGTCAGACAGCAGGCAGTCCGACACGACCCTACCTGAAGTCGCTCAGCCATACTTACCCACATCTGGATTTCTTTCAGAGGCGGGGGAGAGTGCATTCAGGAGCGGATTGGATCTGACTCTGCCTTCGTTCGATGACTTGGCCAACATCCAACCCATGCCCCCTGTGGCACAACAAAAATCGGGCCAGCGAGCTACCTCTCCAACCTATTCAACCATTACATCGAGCTCTGCCGCACTGCCAACAGATCTCGCTCTTATTCAAGAGCCATTCGACCCCAGTCTAGTCAGTCGAGCAAAAGAAACGGCCAGGAAGCCTCTGGCTATTTCAAAAGAAGCAAGCGAAGCAGCAGAAAGCGCCTCAGAGATAAAGCAGCCACGCCAAGCGCGACTTCCAAGCCAAACATGGCTCAGCCGCTGCGGCTCCTCCTGGAAAGAAGGAGACTCTGTGAACGGGGCCAAGAGCTTCCGCACCGAGCCGTCATTCGGATCCCAAGAGAACTGGCGCGTCATCGGACGAAGGGACCCAAGCGTGGCATATCTAGAGCTCGTAGACGAGACGCCCTTCCTCCCATCTAGAACGAATTCGAAGAACAACCTAGGCCAGCCGGAAGAGAGGCGCAGTCTCGAGCTCATGTCCCCGAGCAAATGGGGTGAAGACGAGCGGAAGAGCACAATACGGCCGATGCGGTCGACGAGTGTGCTGAGTAATGGCAGCTCATCTGTGTTTGGGGAGCGGGAAGCTTTGGCAAAGGCAAGGTCGACGACTTTGAAGACAGAGGAGTTGGCGGCTGAGAGATCGGAGAGGAGCTTCCTGGCGTTTATATAAAGAAAAGAGAGAATGGCTTTTGGGTTGGTTTTATGTTTATTTTTTCTCTTTATACTGTCATTAAGAGCATGTTGGGATACCATATGGAGGTTAGAGTTTTTTTTGCTTGGGAAAATTAGATGCAACTCGCCTGATGAATTACGTACTCGTATGTATCAAATGAGATTTTTTGAATCGACGATCGGGCTGCGTGTGAAGTCTATTGCACTTGGTTGATGTCATTGATGATTCAAGCTTGTTTTTGTTGCCGTAACTGTGGCTGGATGTTGTTGGATAGGGTACCCAGCCAAGCCAGCTTCTGTATGCCTAAAATTAGTAGGGGAATGCCTATCCAGCATCCCGTGTCGTTGATAATATCAAATACAAGACAAATTTCATTATCATTATTATGGATTATTTTTAAAATAAATGGCCATTATAGCAGATACTAGAGGGATGTAGTCATAGTAGCAATCAGAGGAATATAGCCAATTTGGGGTACTGAACAGCTACTCCTAAAAATAGAGGCTGTCAAGTGCCGAGGAGGTACCCTGCCTCTGCAATTGCAGCCGCGCGGTACCAGGACATTTCCAGTAGGATCAGTCGCTTGGCGCATGGAGGGGCTGGCTGCGCCAACTTGCCCACGGGATCGCGGGGCTGTCAGTCAATTCAAAGCTGCAACTCTGATCATCAAAGGGCAAACCAGTCAATGCTTGTGCTCGTGCTCTAGGCCCTCTGGATTTCTCCGCTGCCCCAGGCCTGCCCGAGCTAAACTAAACATAAAATAGAAAAAGCTCCGCATCACTAAAGAAAATGGAGCAGAAAAGAAACCTCTTGCGGGCTACTGTATGTACGCACAGGCATCTTGAGACTACCTACAGATACCTTTGTCTTGTTTGGTCCAGGCAGTGTCTTGAAAGAGGTGCTGCTAGCACGCATGCAGCAGCTTCGCCACATCTGCCTATCTGCCTATCACTATCTGCTGCCTAGCGAGGGCGAAGGGAGCCAGTAGCGGACGAGCCTCTGCTGGAGCGAACCGCCGTAGCGCCCAGCTGCAGCGCCTGCGGAGAAAAAAAAATCAAACACCTGCGAAAAAGAGGGCACCGGGAAGCCCGTTCACAGCACAAAGGAAAAAAAAAAGTGTGGCGTTGGCCTGGCTGATGTATCGTGGTACCCCGCTTCCTGCGAAGCCGATTTTGCGCTCTGCTGGCATCACAAACCAAACCACCACCACACAATCCTCCATCCGCCTGACGTCCGGTGTTTTTTTCTACACGCTCCGCGTCCTGAGATCCAACAGCCTACGGCCCCTCCCGAGGTCTCCCGCCCTTGCCTCTCTCGTCTACAGCCGCCCATCTTGTCGAGTCGCTTCGCATCTCGTCGACGTTTTCCCTTCCCGTTGCACTCGATCCCTTCCTGGCCCTCGTGAGACGCTGCAGCCATGGGCCAAACCCTCTCGGAGCCCGTTGTCGAAAAGGTGCGTGTCTGAGCTGCGATGCTGCTTGTGAAATGCTTGCTGTTTCTGCTTCTCGCTTGATCCGGGGCGCGCCAAAGTGCCTGCCATCGCCCGCAAGCTGTTCTGCTGCTTGGCTCCTGGCATCCTGCGACGCAACATCACCCCCACGGTCAATATCAAACATTACTTGCGCGGCCTCGTGCCACTATGATTTCCACCCTGCCTCTGCCTCGGCTTCGTGTGTCCTGCCATGGGTGTTCAAACAAGATCGCCCTCAAGCCCACGCAGAACAACCCCGCCGCCCACAGCTTCCCACACTATCCTGCTCGTGGCCTTTCACTCCCCCCAGGCCTTACCCACCGTCTCTCTGTCTCGAGTGACCCTCACAATTGCTAACAGCCTTCTCTTCACCACCATCTAGACTTCCGAAAAGGGCGAGGATGACCGACTCCTCTACGGCGTGTCGGCCATGCAAGGCTGGCGCATCAGCATGGAGGATGCCCACACGGCTGAGCTGAATCTAACCCCACCTGACAACGACACCAAGACGCACCCCGACAGACTGTCCTTTTTCGGAGTCTTCGACGGACATGGAGGAGACAAAGTCGCGTTATTCGCAGGCGAGAACATTCACAAAATTGTTTTTAAGCAAGATAGTTTCAAAACCGGTGATTATGCTCAGGGCCTCAAGGACGGTTTCCTTGCTACGGATCGGGCCATTCTTAGCGGTACGCAGCGTGATTGCTCTATATCCTTTGTTTGCGTGCGCCAAAGAGGAAGCGGCGTCAAATGACTTGCGCAAATGTTCCGCCAATCTCCTCGGCGCACATTTTGCAATTATCCCTCACGAAGCCGGATTTGATGCTAACGATGTGGTGTTTTGGTTGTTTACAGACCCCAAATACGAGGAGGAAGTCTCCGGCTGCACCGCCTGTGTTTCTTTGATTGCTGGAAACAAGCTATATGTCGTACGTCTGCACACGTCACAATCAATGAGGAGGGCTCGAATTAATAATATCTACGCAGGCAAACGCTGGTGATTCTCGAGGTGTGCTCGGTATCAAGGGACGGGCTAAGCCCCTATCCAACGACCACAAGCCTCAGCTTGAAAGTTTGTTCATCCACTCAATCAGTATTTAAGATTGACAATACTGATTGCGTGCCCTCGTGGTTTACAGCGGAGAAGAGCCGAATCACAGCCGCTGGCGGCTTTGTCGACTTTGGTCGTGTCAACGGCAACCTGGCACTGTCGCGTGCCATTGGCGACTTCGAGTTCAAGAAGAGCGCCGAGCTCTCTCCTGAAAACCAGATCGTTACCGCCTTCCCCGATGTCGAGGAGCATGACCTCACAGAAGAGGATGAGTTCCTGGTAATTGCTTGTGACGGTGAGTGGGATTCGGTCATTGTTGGGAGGGAGCATGAAGTCGAGTTGGTTATACACATGAAGAAACGTTTCGCTAACGGATATTTCCCCCCCTTAGGTATCTGGGACTGTCAATCGTCTCAGGCTGTCGTCGAGTTTGTGCGACGAGGAATTGCTGCCAAGCAAGACCTTGACAAGATCTGCGAAAACATGATGGACAACTGCCTGGCGTCAAACTCCGAAACGGGCGGTGTCGGCTGCGACAACATGACCATGGTCATCATCGGTTTCTTGCACGGCAAGACCAAGGAGCAGTGGTATGACGAGATTGCCAAGAGAGTGGCCAACGGAGATGGCCCTTGTGCCCCCCCGGAATATGGTACGAGCGAGCCATTCCCCAAATTCTCACAACCAGAGATAGACGCGGAGCTGTGAAGACTGACCATACATGTTGCTACCAGCCGAGTTCCGCGGTCCCGGAGTCCATCACAACTACGAAGATAGCGACAGTGGTTACGACGTCGACGCCGAGAGCGGCGGCAAGTTCAACCTCGCCGGATCCCGTGGTCGCATCATCTTCCTGGGCGACGGCACAGAAGTTCTGACCGGCTCTGACGATACGGAGATGTTTGATAATGCTGACGAGGACAAGGACCTTGCGAGCCAGGTGTCCAAGGGCTCCGCCAAGCCCGATGCCAAGGAAGAGCCAGAGGCTAAGCCAGAGTCAGATTCCAAGCCTGCAGTTGAGGCGGAGAAGAAGCAAGACGAAAAGGCACCTGAGGAGAGTAAGAAGGATTAGGTGGTCCTCTCGCCTTGCTCAGGCAGCCCGCCTTGAAGCCCGTCCTAGTGTTGTTGTCGGCGTGTATGTGTGACATAATTCTTTTTTGGCTGCTACTCAAACCCAGGCGCGAGGGTATCTTTAGCAAGGATAAGGGAGGGGAGGTTTTTCAGGGACGTGGTGGAAAGAGGCAAGAGGGTTAGGGGGCGGTTAGACATTGAGTGTGTTCCTTGTTACACGGTTTCTTCTATCGTTGTTGATATTCGGTGTACCGGTGGTATAATATTTGGATCAAGGAGAGTTGGGTCTCTTGCAGCATCATGGTTCTCTTTGACGCCTCAGTTTTCTCCCCACGTCTTTGGCAGAGGAAGAACCGCCACTCGGATCTTTGATCGCTTTCCGCCTCGTCTTTTTTTTTTTTACTTGTCTTTTCTTTGTTTTTCTTATTTTTTTTCTTCTATTTTGTCATTGCTCCAGAACCCCCATTATTATCATCACTCTGATACCCAACCAACCTTGTCCAACAACATGTCCTTTATTCAGAAACCTGGGTGACTTGACTACTTTCTTTTTTTACCGAATGAGGAGCCGCAGGTTCGTCGCATTCTGGACAACTCCCGGAGCTGGCCTTTCCGTCTTGTTTTGTTGTCTACGTGCATCGCCCTCCGGATTGGCGGATATTCTTCTGGAGAACCACTTCCTGTTCGGGATTCCAGGCCGCGCTATGAAATGAAGTTCTAGGATTGCACGTATGCCGATTTAAGAGAGCTTGGTGAATCATTTTAACATGGTGGGTTTGGGGCAAGGCTCGTACACGAATGGGTGGGTAGATGGCGTAGAGGCTCTTTCTTGGGGTGGTATTATATCTACACATGTTATACACGAGATCCTGGTATATGCTAGTATACAATGTAATATTCATACAAAAAAAACAGTCGAAAAAAGGCAGCAGTTCGTCCTATGTCATATATCATCCCATGCCGCCTTTCCCAATCCTGTACAAGTTCATCAGCTGCCTTCTCGGCTCATCAAGCATTTCCTTTGGACTGAGGCGCCTTTTGCTCGTCGCTAGGTTTCCTTCTATTCCGGTCAAGCCATTCCTGGGACTTCTTCTCCCTCTCCTCGTTCCACCTCTTCACCATAGTCTTTGGATCGAAATGCCAGTTTAAATGCACATTCATCGATTTTCCCCCAGCTACCTCACTCTCCATCCTAATCGCCAGATCATCTGTCGGAGCATCAGCACCCTCGTACTGGAAAGACTGAGGATATCTATGCCGTAGAATCAGTGGCCAATCCTTGGTCCGCTGAGCAATGTCAAGAAGTTCAACAAGGGGTTTCGCCGGCTTGTACCCCTTGCAAACATGATTAATAGCCCATTCCACACGGGAGACAACTCTAGACATCCCCTGTGCCTTTTGGTTCATGAGGAGGCGTCCCATTTCCTTCGACAACAGCTTCGGTTTATGTCGTAGCCAAAACGTATCCTTGACGTGGTCAACAAGATGCCGACGAAGAATCACGCGCGTGAGATCCCTCAGCTTATACTCCAGCGCAGCATAAAAGACAGCCACGCCGAGAGCATGCGGCAGCTGCATCCTAATAGCCAGCCGAATCACATACTGGTACGTCAAAGCATCCGCCTCGCACCCCGACTCGTGCATCTTAGTGAGCGCCCAGATGGCGGTATCCCAGTCCTTGTACGCAAGGCATTTTTCCAGAACCAGATTGATAGTATCGGCGCCAATCTTGCGGCCGTCCTCAGACTGTTTCTCGATGAGGCTCCGAAATTCGTCATAGCGGCGATTGTCCCGTTCGTGGAACCGGAAGAATTCTGTCAAGATGCTGTTCATGGCGTCCGCCGTGAACCAGTCCTCGCCATACCGCGACTTTTGCTCCGCCATGAAAGCGTCAAGCCGTTTCCCCGACCTGAACGCAACGTAGGCGTCGTGCGTGGCCATGATCCTCGCGATTCCTCTGCGGGTAGCAGGGTCTTGGAATAGCCCCAAGTCGTACATTGCCACAATAATCTGCCTTCTTTCAATCTCCTTTTCAACAAGTTCGAGGAACAACAGCCAAGTTCGAGCATTGGGTTGGAAATAGCGCTGCTCCATCTTTCGAAGCAGCCAGTGGAAAAAGGAAACGTCACGTTTGGTAACGTAGCCTTCAAGCATGATGTTGAAAACCTCCGTGTCCAAGGGAATGCCCCATTCCTCCGCCAAAGTCAGCAGTCGATCTGCGTCGGCTCGATGGCCTCCCTTGTGGGCCATGAATGACATGGCCATCTTTAGAATTGACGGTGTGATGCATGCCCTGGCGCCGTCGTCCGTGAGGGCATCCATGATGAGCTTGATTCTGATGCCATCCGTATCGACAAAAGTGCCGTCTTTTTCTGGCCTTACATAGTAGCGCAGGGCGAGATGTGGACGCAGCCGGCCACAAACAAGTATCGTAATGTACAAGTCCAGATTCTCCACTGTCCATTGCACCGGCTTTGGAGTCTGCTCGTACGGCGTATCGATCCAGTAGGTCTGATGTTCTTGATGCACCCATATGTTATCGAGCTTGTCCTCGGGAATAAACGATCCTCCATCCGCTGCATCCTCGATGGCGGGCCATAGTCGCTTCTCCTCGTAGCCAAACGCCGCAACCTCTCCGAGTCTATACACCTCAACATCCTTACACGCAGCCACCAATTCCTCCGCCGCATTCGCCAACACCGAGCTCTTTCCACGCAAAATAATCGCAGAGGGGTCCTGGTGATCCGACGAAACCCGCAGCTTTGCAAGCAACCCCGTCGTGGAATCCACAAACTCAATCTTCTTGCTCTCCAGCTCCAGCTTCCACGACTTGGGCAGAACAATCCTCATGGCCGCCATGCTCGACGGCTCGCTTCTCTTGGTCATCATCCTCTTGAGCAGATTAAACGTCTCGGACCAGTCTGGCATTGCGGCCTGGCCAAAATGCCGCCATATCACGTCAAACGCAGTCTGCACCCTCGCCACCTGCAGTGCGTGAACCTTGCTCTCCTCGGCCGCATGTGCTGATGGATAGTCCCTCACCGTGGGGACATATGGCGAAGTGAGCTTCCGCTCTACGTCTTCCCTCCTCGCCTCGCTATTATCTTGAAAGGCTTGTCTGAACATGCGATTCCGAGCATTGTTTAGGCGTGGGGGGTTTACGGGCGAGGCTGTAGTAGCGGAGGGACTCGTCCCATCTTCTGTAGGAGCATCTTGTGATCCCACAGAAGGCAATTCATTCGTCGAGAGGGCTGAAGATGCACATCGCCGGGCCGTGGCCAGTGTCACCGGAAGAGACGCTGCGGTGCGCCATGGAAGCAGATGAGGTGGACGAGATGCTGGCGTGCGGATGAATTGGGACCGAGTCCTCCAAATCGACTTGATCCCTTGGAACATTGGTCATGAGGTGCGCATGTTGTTGCTTTATATGATGGCAGAGGGAGGCAGATGGGCCGTGACTATGAGGACTTGAATTCAATTGCACTGCCGATAAGAACCGATAAGGAATTTCCAGTTGTTTCTTTTTGCCTCTGCACTTTTTGGGTGGTTGTCACGTGCCACTTGCCCATATATCTCACTCAACGTCTACAGTACAATCACTTAACCTAGACTCATGAGCAAAACGCTTAAAAGAACATCTGAATATCCGATTTACAGACGTTTATTTTCATGATTCGACTATCAAAATCAAACTCTGGGGTGCTGCTGCACCAATCTCGAAGCCAATCGCCAAATGCTGCGCTCCCATGCAAGTAAATGCGTAAATAAAGCTCAATAGCTCAATCCCTCCCGGCTCTCCTCCCATATACAACGCCAGTTTCAAGGCCCAGTGTCATCATCTCTCAACCCATGGCTTTCAAATTATAGCTCAACCAAGTCCTTTCCTTTTACAAACACAGGGGGTATATGCGTAAACCCGTATAACTCCTCGAGAAGCAAGCCGAGGCTCAGTGCTCTGGCTTCTTGCCGTTTCTGGGAGGCTCTGGAGCACTCTTGTCCAGACCTTGCCAGGGATCTGCTCCCAGTTCTTTGCCAGAACCAATCACATCTCGCAGCTCTCCGCTCTCAGCCATCTGCTTCACATCGCTCCAGTAAGCCAGCTTGCAAACCTCTTCTTCAGCATGCTTTGCAGCCGCGTCGAGGGCCTCTTTGCGGTGCTTCAACTCCAGACTCTTGTCCCCTTCCCACGCCTTTTCAGTCTCTTCGTGTATCTGCATCAAGTACGATACCAACTGCCTGCGCGATTGCTGAAATATGAACAGAGACATGATTTCATGCATCTCATTCTGTAGCTCTGAGAGATCGATTGCATGTGCGATATAGTTCTCGACGGCTTCTTTCCTCTCTCGATCAATCCTGGCAGAGCGGAGAACCTGAAGAAGGGTTTCTATATCCTCGATATCTGGTCGCTCCCGCTCCTCTGCAGTCGATGCCTGTGTCATACTAATCCTGCTTGGGGCTCTGCTTGGAGCCCTGCTGCTGGCTCGACTGCTCTGGGATCGTGGACTGATAACGGATGCTGGGCGGATGTGGAAATAGTCGACTCCAGCAAGCATATTTTCGGTTGAACCATCTTCTGGTCGCTTCCTGGCCCTCTGACGGATCCAGGCACGCCTCCTGACAAACGAGTTCCACCACTTAGGTCCATGCCATGAAAAGCATTTCTGAAAGGCAAAAGAATATTCCCAGCCGTCTTCATCCATATCATCTTGCTTGTTGACGCGCCATTCAGGCCATGCCCACTCCCATGAAGGATCGGGAACCTGCGCAGTATGAATGTTTGTGGGGGATGGGTTGTGGTATGCATTGGCTAGCGGAAGAGTTAGTCAGATTGTGAGTCTTGTCCAAACCATGTTCTTCTGCGAATCTACTCACTCCAGGGGGTGGGATCAAGTCCACCGAGAGCTGCGCTGGCAAAGAGGCCAACGCCACAGAAAAACCCTCCTCTTTCATTCTCATAGAGAATGTCTATGGCCGTCTCTCGTTGTTCTCTCGACCTTGGTCTTGAGCGGTTGTCCCAGTTCGAGGTACGTGGCGAAATGATTTCGCCGCTTGGAGCTGTTTTCAAAACGTTAGCTTGTTCCGTGGCGAAGCGCAAAGTATGCAACTTACGATGAATCTCAATGGATGGTCTTGTACTCGAACGCGGGGGCTCAAGGCTTTTGGCAGTCTCTAATGTGTTTGATTTGTATATTGAAGCTCTGCCATCTTTGCCCTTGGATGCAATCGGCTGCAGATGACTCGGATCTCCTTGCGCCCTTTCGCCTTGTTCTGACGACTGCCCCTGTTCTTCCTCCGTCTCTGCCCCCCGATCTGAAAGCAAGCGCGTCGAGGTGTTTGTAAGGAAAAGGCCTCCGCCCTCAGAGTTTGTGGCCTGCAGCGACGGAGCCTCTTCGTCATCCGTAATTGTGATTTCGTGATCGTAATCGCTGGGCTGCAGACTCGCAGCGCGGCGGGAGCCGTGCATCTTGTTCACCGTCGTCAACAAGTCATGAGGGAGCTCGCTCTGGTCGGTTAGAGCTGCAAAAAATGGACAAGGAATATGGCAACGAGGCTCTGAGTCAAAGAGCTGAGTATGGGTCGGGTCGGGTCGAAGTCGGATCGGCAGAGGGCTTTGGATTCACGTCATCGACTTGCATGCAAGGGGAGGGTCGCGATGTAGTATCCAACAAGTATCTTCACACTTAAACGTATTATAAAAGGGGTATTATAAAAGGAGTATAGAGAAAGAAAATAGAGGAGCCACGGAGGAAAGAAGCCTCCAGCACAAAGAACCAGGAACGCTCCACGAGAAGTAAAAGGAGATTAAACACCAGACAGCTGAATGAAGCAGGTTTTACTGCTTGCGGTCACTAACAAGCGGCGACTAGGAAGTAATAAATGACCCGCAAGTGGGGAGGGAAAGGGAGATGCAGTTGCAGCACTAGTGCCGTCTGGTGTTAATGTGTACATGCATCATGCCATCTATAATTACTCGTACATAATACTGCTGAGGTACGAGGCATAGCTAGGGGAATCTCTCAATTTTTGCGTCTTCTTGCTGTATGTGATTGAAGGCATCGTTAGTTGGATGAGCTAAAAATGCCACAGAGCTGCGTCTGCCTGTAATTTTTACGCGTGAGGCCGCCATGATGTAATGGCAGGGTTGCAGCCGGCGCGCTAAAAGGCCTTAGCAGTCGCTTCATTGGCACGTTCTGTTAATTTCCAGGGAACAGACAGGCACAGGAGGAGATGCTCCAGTGGGGTTCTTGTTGGGGATCGACAATGGCATCCCATTGAGTGCGATAAGGTGCCACCTAAGTACCCTTCAAAGCTGCAGCCAATCAAAGAGTCAGATGTGAAGTATTCTCCCCTCAATATAGAAGAAAAGTGGACACGGTACTTAGGTGGCACCTTATCGCACTCAATGGGATAGCCGTAGTGCCATCGATGCTCTACTGTACGGAATACAGTCAGGATCTTTACAGTTGTTACAGCACCCAGGTATAACTTGATTTCCATCGCAGATTACAGATTCATGCATCCGCTGAAAAGAGCTCTATTAGATGCCGATTCAAGGCCCCTGTTTGTTTTCAAAAGTCAATGCCTTTTTTTCCTTTCTCTCCTTTATTTCTTCATCTGTTCTTGTCCTACTAAATCACCTGCCACACTCAATAGTTTAGTCAGTTGACACCTCAAGTATTCCCTACCAATACATTAGCACATGCTTTTTCAAAAATCCGGGGTACTTGTACTCGAGGCCCCGCTCCATCTGCCACACTACGTCATGTATATCCAAGTCACCATCTTTGCATCACCATCACGAAGCTCTCGCCTGCGCGCAACCAAATGCGTCATAATGAAGTTATCCAGTCCCGTCCATGTAAATCGATACAGCAAAATGCCAAACTTTTACAAAATCGTTTCCAGCTTAGTAGCACCGGAAACAACAATCCGTAGACTACATATTTCTCCAATCAATCAGTCCAATCTGCTTGAATCCGTCCCTCCATCCCATTTTATATACATTCCCATTGATTCCCTAAAATAGCTCTCTCTCTGTCTCCTCATATTCCTACCTATTTCCCCCTCCTCCGACTAGTAGCAATCTCAAATCTTACAACCTCTGCTATTTCGCCACGCAGCTGATCTCCCGTATCCTACACAACAACATCGCAGTGTAACTACACAAACCAAAAACTCACCATCATGTCCAAATCACGAATGCCCATGTACCTCGGCGTCGCTGCCATTGGCGGAGCTGGATACTATCTCTACAGCGCCGGCGGCAACCCCAAGGCGGCTGAGAAGAAGTTTGAAAGTATGCAATGACCCCCCGTCCTCGATATCTCTGCCTCTTGCGCAGGTATCGCAAGTTAGTACTTCTGTGTCGCATACTGACGTCTTCATCTTTCTCCCAGGCGACGTCGACAAGGCCTCCGGCAAGATCAGGGCCAAGCTCCCCGGCGAGACCCCCGACGCCGAAAGAAACCTCAAGGGCTACGGCCAAGAAGCCGGCGCAAAGATTGACAAGGCTGTACGCCTCCCCGCCTCCCAGCCCTTTTTACCATTCTCGTATTGAAATAGAATCGTCATTCTAACGAAAACCCGCTCTTATCTTTTCTTTCAGTTTGCCGACGCAGATAAAGAAGCAGCCAAGCTCAAGAAGGACGCCGAAGCCTATGCCAAGGACGCAAAGGTCGAGGCCCTAAAAGCCGTCGACAAGTTTGACCAGAAAGTGGAACAAGGCGCGTCCAAAGCCAAGAGCGGCATCTCTGGCTGGTTTGGAGGGAGCAGCAAGTGAAGGACGTTGAAATGATGCAGACTGCTGAGGAAAAGAGGAGAGAAATGGGCGGTGTGTCGACAGGAAGATGCAGCAAAGACTGTATCTATAACGTATAACCTAATGTTTTTGTTGTTTTCTTGATGGAAGAGGGAGATCAAGGTCCCCTTTGTTATGAGCAAACTAGTAATGGAATCATATCCCATTCATTGGGTCTACTATGCTATCTGTCTTCTGAATACTAGTAGGTATGTGTAATCATAGATGTTCCAAGCAGCTTTGGCATCAGGTGCTTTACCATTATAACATAAAATTTCAAAAAATCCTATCCCTTCTGCAAACTCCCGTGCCGTTTCTAAACCATATATACGCCCCTTGCAAATCACTGCTCTAGCTCCGCCGCAACAAGCTTGAGAATCTCTTCGGCGTTCTTCTTCGCATTCTTCGGGTTCTTCGCAACAGACTGCCACACCTCGCCGTGTCTCGGCTCGTTGAGCACACATTTGGTCACCACATCCGCCCTCTTCTCGTCCGTGCCGTGCTGTACCAAGAATCTATAGTACCAAGCCCAGCTGTCGCCGCAGTCCCCGTCCAGCACAAGAGCCTTCTCGAACCAGCTCTGCGCCTTCTCCAGCTTGCGGTCGGCCCAGAAGATGCGGGCGACGGCCACAAAGAGGATCGGATCGCTGTCCACCTTCTTGATGGCCTCGAGACTGCGGGGCTTCCGCTGTGTGCGAGGCTCCAGGTGCCAGATCTGCTCGACCCAGAGGGGGCCGCTCTTGGGAACTTCCTGAAGCGCCTTGGCCATGAGCGACTTGGCTTGAGACAAGTTACCGGCGCGCCGCTCAAGGCGAACCGACTCACACCAGAGCTCGCCGTTTTTGGGCACCGCTAGACGTGCTCGGTCCAGAACCGAACGGGCCTTGACAGTCAAGCCGGCGCTTTCCTCCAAGCGGGAGTAGAGAAGCCATAAGGGCACAGATCTGGGAACCGCTTTGACTCCCGTAGCGTACGCCTCTCGAGCTTGGCCCGTCTTGCCTAGGTCCTCGTAGATTTGACCCTTCAGCATCCATAGCTTGGCTGCTGCGGGGAAAAGCTGTAATGCCTGGAGCACGAGATCAAGTGCCATTTCGACATTGCCCAAGACCCGCTCAAACACAACGCTCTTCATCCAGACACGATCTGTGGGTGCCTGTTCCCGTGCAATCTCGAGCAGTTTCCGGGCCTGCTCTTCGTTGCCATTCTCTGACTCCAGCTTGACGGCAGCCAGCCAGATATCCTCGTTGTTTGGGTTCTGGTTAAATGCTCGCTTGAGCACAAGTCTGGCGTTGTCCACATCTCCTGACTGCCACTTCTCCTTGGCCAGCATCATCCACAAATCTTCACTCTTCGGACATGCCTCCACTGCCTTCTCCAAGACCTGCCACAGGGACTCGCGCGTTCCGTGATTCCGCTCGAGGTCCGCAGCAGCCATCCACATGGTCCGGCTATTGACAAATACACGCAAGGCGTAGGCGTAGATGGCCCTTGCTGTTTCGTATTTGCCTCTGTTGATGCTCGACTTGGCGTCCTCTGCCCATGTATCCTTACGGTCGTCATCTTCATCCAGCCCCCAACCTAGAGTCTCTTGAATGATATTCTGGCAAGTGATAATGGCACCTTCTTCCTCGCACTTCTCCGCCTCGCCAATCCATTCCTCACGCTTCGGCATGGCTGACTCCTTTGCCAAAACTTGAACGGCTCGCTTCATGACCGCGCTCTTCTGTCCTTGGCCAAGCTGCTCCTGCAGACGAGCAGCTGCAATCCAAATCTCGTAGGACGTAGGAACGGCTTTTCGAGCCTTGTTCAAAACCTTTTGTGCATTCTCAGGAGATTCTAATCGTGCCAAGGCAAGCCACAAGTCTACGGAAAGCGGGATGAGCTCTGTAGCCTTTGCCAGCATCAGTTTGGCGTCTTCAGGGTCGTCCTCCAGGTTTACAGCCTCTTTCCACAGTGCCTCTGATTCTGGGATGTGGTCCAGCGCCTGCCGAATGACTCGTTTCTTGTTGTTGGGTATGGTCTCCATTCTCATCGCCTCAACCCAAAGCCTGACAGAGCGGTTGTTCGCCTCGATGGCTCGCCGTGCGATAATTTTGGCGTTTGGTGAGTCGATATTCAGTCGGATATTCTCCAGCCATGCGTCTTCGCTCTTGGGGCATCGGGTACATCCCTGATCAATCGTTTTCCGCGCAGCAACAATCTTGCCTGCCAGCTCTTCCAGACGAGCCGCGGCGATCCAGCCCAGGGCATTGTTCGGGTTCGTCTTGACGACCGATTGAAGCAGCTCTCGCACTCGGTTGATGTCTCCAACTTGCGCCTGTGATTCATTCACCTGCATCTTGTTGAGGCTCGTAATGTATCCTTGCGCATCGATACTGGACGAGCTTCCAATGACAGAGTCGCCACCGGCAGTTTGTGAGGCCTGTTCTAGCCTTGACTTCAACACTCTGTCACGGGCAGCACCAATCTTAGCAAAATTGGTCATTGTGCCATCGGATGCGTCTGTCGTGCTTGTCGCTGCGCCGTCATCAACGACCGTTGTGCCCATGTCTCCAGAGGCCCCCGCAGCCGCAAGTACACTGTCCGGCACCGCATAAAATCGCTGTCGTAAGGCCTGCTTGCTGCGCCGGTTCTTGCCAGTCAAGTCTCCCACCTCGGGCAGGTTG